AGCTTTATGGGCCGGACTATAACCCACAAAGATAGCATCTGAGGATACCGGAGAGAACACCGATGTACGTTTGGCCGGAGGTATCAACACATGACACTGGACACCAAACGGATGCAGCACAGAATATAAGGGGTCATATCCATACCAACGAAAGAAAGGTGACTTCCCGTCCAATAAAGATGACGGGTACCTGTTCACTAGAAATTCAGCCGTCTTGACTGCCTCGGACCAAAAACGCGAGGGAAGACCTGATGAATGAAGAAGGACACGAGCCTTCTCTTTGAGTGTGCGATGTCTCCGCTCGGCAACACCATTTTATGATGAGTTGTACGGAACCGTCAACTGATGACTGATCCCTTTTTCAAAGAAGAACTGATTGATTGCTCTATTGTCAAATTCTGTTCCGTTATCAGTACGAACTTGGGAAACTTTCAAACCACGTGAGCTAAAGTGGTTTTCTGCAGTCAAGATAAAATTCTTGAAGTATGCATTAGTTTCATCCTTCGTATTGAGAGGAATGATTTGAGACCATCTCGAACAATCATCAACAATAGTTAGAAAATATTTCTCATCCGCAAAACCCGGAGTTGAGAAAGGTCCGCTCACATCAGCATGAAGTAGTTGGAGCGGTGCCTTTGCCCGTGGGGATGAAGCGTGCTTGGGAAAGATTTGAGTCATCTTTCCTGCAGCACACGAGGCACACTCAACCATCTTAGGACCAGAAGGTACTCCCATCTGAGCCATAACTGCGGGCGAAGGGTGACCGAGGGCCGCATGACTAATACTACCAGGAACTGCTAGTGCATCACCAACTAGCGGAATGTAGTCAAACTCATACAAGTCTGGTCCACAAGCGGTTGCAATTTTACTAGCTGTATCATCAGAAGATGAGAGATAGTGGACCGCTTCATGAGAAAATGTAAATGAACCAGTTTTGGAGGCCTTTTTGATGGATATTAGATTTTGGGTGGCATCAGGGACAAAGGAGACATCAGACACAGTAAGAACTTTTGAGGTAACTGGGTGCACAAAGCGGATAGTCCCAGTACCTTTAACGACCAGAGGATTGGATGAGATCCCAGTAATGCAGCCAGACGCCGGAGTAAATTCAGCAAAATGAGACCGCTCATTTGAAATGTGAAGTGTAGCACCAGAATCCAAAATGTAGCTCTGACTTGGCATAACTGAGTCTTCTCTTGAGTTGAAGACTGCCCAAGAGATACCCGAGATAGATTTGGATGAGGAGTTGACAAGAGCTGCTGTATTACCACTAGAACTGCTAGCAGCAATCGGGGCAGCAGCTGGACAATCCTTAGCAACGTGGCCTCGTTTCTGGCATCGGTAACACTTCTGCTTATTAACATAAGGTTTCTTGGAAGTAGCCGCAAATACTGATCCCTGCGTTGTAGGAACGAGATCCCGTAGAGTGTTCTCAACCGCTGACAACGTAATGTTCGGAGTTGACACATCTAAAACTCGAGCATTCGCTTGGTCGGACTTAAACATCCTTAAGTAAAACAAACCCATCACTTGGGTAATTTCCGAGGAGTGGTTAAAGTGAGCACATATATCTCTGAACAAGGACAGAGCACTTTCATCACCGGCAGACTTACTGACCGAAGCATCACAAGCTTTATTAACCATAGCATACAATTGGCGTGATGTAACCTGGGAGTAATCACGTCTAATCAACATAAGTAAATCAAGTCCGAACGCATTATCAGACTGATACTTTAACAACACTTTTGACGACACAGTATTCAACAGTACAACTTGAATTGCATTGTTCAAGGCAACTTGGAGCTGCATAACTAGAGTGTCGTCTATCGGTTCAGCTGGAGGTAACATCATATCTCCAGTTGTAAAATAAACGTCAAGGCCAGCACCTTGAGTGGCAACAAGCATACCAGTGTAACTGTTCCATTTAGGATAGTTCATAGACGAAGAAAGCTTCAAGCTCTCATCTCTAGGGCAAGTGAGAGCGAATTGGCTCATAACCTGTTGTAATCTAGCTATTCTATTATGAATATCCATTGTATATGTAAACTTTTTTCTTATGTTTGTTACTTATTTAAAAACAACTTATACAACTCTTAATAACTAATGATTCTAAACACAGATAGGAGACAAAACCTCTCCTATTTATACACTCATGACGTCGGCTAATCTTTCCAGTTTTAGATTACTTGATGCCTTGTCATTACAAGGCTCTTTTCTAATGCCTTGTCTTTAATAAGCCTCTTTCTCTAATTTATTGATATTGACTTCGGCATCTTATCTCAACACACTGGATAGCCCAAAAACTCCGGAACCAACGATTATGATTTTTGAATTCTTAGCATATACCATTTGATGTGAAACAACTGTACCTAATGAAAATACACCTTGAAACCAGGGCTTTTACTAAATACAAAATTGGCATCCCTTGAGGAGCGGAATATTGCATATTTATACTAGTTGCTTGTTAGGACTTGACTTCTAGAATATCAGAACTTCATAAACTGTGGTTATGTTATCTTAAGACTGGCTAATCGCAACAGCCACAGCAGCGGGATAGTATCCATAAAAAGTAGATTTGTTCCGCACTCCGCAGTGGTTCGGCGATCATTCCCCCTACACGTTTAATTTTCAGGCTACTCTGTTTATGGGTTTAGCGCTGTGTATTACAATTAGGAAAGAATAGGAAAGAAGGATAGAAGAAAAATTGACTTAGGCAGCAAAAAAAGAAAATGCATCATTTTTTTTCTCCAGTTTTAAAAGGCCAGTGTTCTAAAATATGTCGAGAAGCAAAAGAATTTATCTGCTTTAAGACATTTTAAAACAAGAGCAAATGTGGTATCTGGCTCTATCGAGAAGAACGTTTATTTTTTCACAAAACCCCAAATCACTATGCTGTTGTTTGAAAATAAACATTTCGCTTAATTTCGGCCTAAACTTACCAAAGACACATACTGTAATAACACTTAATAAGGTTTATATTTTATCAAGCAGATTTGTAGGTAAAAATGAGTAGAACATTTATGTTTATAAAGGATAAATAAATCTCAAGTTCTCTAAATCAGTTAAGTCAAGCATAGATACGTCTACTTTCTTCTTAACAGTAGTTCCTTCATCATCCACACTATCAATGTAGCCATAGTCCAACTCATCAATAGTACCTTCTTTTAATAACGTTAATTTCTCTTTGTTCCTCCTGCTTAAGATAAACCTAATTAAAAGCAAAACCCCCGGAGCTAAAAACCAACTAAACACAATTTGAATAATCCATGGTAAACGATATCTTGGCGAGTACTGAGGTCTCCACATCTGAGGTGAAACAATGTTACCAATACCGTAAGCAAGCATAAACATTACTGTTCTGGTCAAACGTTTGGTGTATCCTGCTGCTGTTGCCTGGGACAATGATAATCCAATTATATACGCTGTACCATTTGTACGTGTCATAAAAATGCCTGCCAACAAACCGGCTTTATTCTCGTACGAAATTGAAATGGCTATGATAGCACCAACAAAAGCTGGAACCATAAAAATGGCTCCAACTATACACGATTGCTTCTTGAAAGTGTATAATGCAAGTGAGCCACAAATTCCACAGAAAGTTGAAAACCCGTTTTGAACTACCATTAGTAGAGTACTTGTTAGACCGCTGAAACCTAAAGAAGTGTATATTATTGAAGCTTGATAAGTTGTTGCGTTTTCAAGCATGTCCATTATACAAAATAAGAAAAACAGCCAGCTGATTGGATCTTTGATAGCTTCAATAAATTGGTATTTTTTGAAAACCTTTTGCTCAATGGCTGACTTTGATGCCTTTTTGATTCTTCTAATGATATGAATTTTCTCTTCTGTCGTGAAAAATACGGAAGTGGCTGGATTATCGGGATAAAAGAAATAGCTGAGAATGCATACCAGTGTGGATAATATTGAAACAAAGAGCCAATACCATTCCCATGGTCTCCACTTAGTGGTGAACTGAAGACCATATGCAATGAAACCTGTAGGAACATCGATTCCTAGGCAAGAGATCCAAAAAGTTGGGTTGACGTAAGCTTGCTCCTCAATAGTGAAGAACATACTTATCGTATGTTCGATACAGGGTGTAATACCAGACTCAACAACTCCCAAAAAAAATCTTAAAACAGACATACCTGCATAACTTTTACATCCAAGACTGCAGAATGAAATCAAAGCCCAGCCTGCAGTCGCTAGTGTGATATACTTGGAAATCGGAATTTTTCGGAATAGCAAATGAGAAGGAATCTGTCCTACCAAATAGCCGACATAGAAAAATGTTTGAATGTTATTATACTTAGCTTTGTTGATACCCATATCATGGAAAACACCTAATAATGATGAATAACTGATAGCATCTTTATCAACAAATAGTGTTGCATTAACAATGAAGACAGTTGGAACAATAGTTAACCATAGTTTCCTAACAAGTTTTTTTTCTTTTTCGGGCGTTAGCTCACCTACATCTCCTCCATTTTGTTGCAGAAGATCATAAGTCTCATCAGCGTATTTCTTTTCTATTTCTTGGCGTCTGTTGTTGGATCTCTTTTGGCTGTTCACCCAGACAGTGGAAATTTCCTGCTTCTCCTCTTGGTTCGACGAAGAATCGGTCGAAACCTTCTCTATGTTACCCAAATCTGACATCCTTCGCGAGCACTTCAAGTAAAAATTTGATGGTACATACTAGCAGCCCTTTACTTCAGTTATCGATTGTTACCAAAAGAGATACTTTGGGTCGATATAAATACACGTACCATTATCTGAGTAAATTGACGGCCATCGGATAAGTAATACTTCTTTGATACATAATTTCCGCTTTTTGACTATAATGTGGCTGTAAAATATTTTAAAAACCATGTTTTCTCACCATGAATCAAAAATGCTCCAGCCTAACTGGAAGCTGCCGCAAAGGGCTTTGTAATTCAAAAGGGGTCTCAGCCACAGTTTTACTCAACTCTGCTTACTATTGTAAAACTGTTACATCTAAGTAACTGGTATGCTTTCAAACGTAAACCGTATAATATACGTGATTGGAGGTACATAACTTTCAACACCACTTCACTACTCTATTAAGCATTTCACTATTTACAAAAAGAGGGAAAGATTTCAGTAGAGTAAATAAGGAGGTTATTCATTGAGAAACCCAAGGAAGGTAGTCAGGCTTATTTATGGTATCCCACATGCTTACCAACACTTTCCTTTCTCCTTCCCATGGGCATCTTCCATGACTCACCATGTAGTTGTCAACTATGACTATATCGCCTTCTTCCCACTGGTGTTTATAAGCCATGTTGATCGATTTTTCTAAAACTAGGTCAAGATACTTTTCTGGGATTTTACTTCCATCATTATAACAAATACTCTTGGTTTTGCTATAGCCACCAATTTTATACTTAACATCGGCAAAAAATGTTGCTATGCTGTTGAAAAAACAGGGAAACTCTTCTCCGTCTCCTGCTTTATACATTCTTATCGGCTCTGTGTATTGACGGATAAGTAAATCATGATCAGCAGTAAATTCGCAATGGGGACTTGCAGTTTTCTTTGCAAGCTTAATTGCCTCTGCTTTCTGGTATTCAAAATCATTGTTGTTCGCGTCAATATATCTTCCGAAGCAAAACTGGTTAGACCAATTTGTATCATTGTCCGACTTTAAGGGCCAAATTTGTTCCATATACAAGCCTTTTCGAGATAACTCTTTGAGAAAGTCAGGGGCAATTCTGTAAATTTCATCAAAGAATTCTCCACCATGTACCACCGGAGTTTCTCCACCTTTAGCATTGTATGCTTCGCAAACAAAAAAAAGTTTGCTCGGATATTTGGTAAAACGGGAAAACTCATTATGTTGATAAATAAGTCTATCTGATGGGCCTTCATTGGCTGTACTGAGCACGTTTGTCACCTCTGTTCGTTTTGCGGTGGATCCATTTTGAACAAAAATTTCATCTCCTGAATTCTTCCCAATCGCTGTAAGGTATTTAGAAAGTGTTTCAGGGTCTGTTTTGCTTGGGTTTCTGATAACTATCACACCATGCTTTTGCAAAAGGTTCTTGAAGAATCCCTCTTCTGATTTTTCCTCAAGAAATTTCAAGGTTTGGCCAACATTCTGGGTATTTCCTCCAAGTCTGAATGCTACTGGGAAATCTTTACCTCTGAATTCTCGTTTGTTTGGAAGATCAACTTGATCCAACGTGATCATCTTCGTTATCTTCTATTATATAACACAACTGGCTTAGCTTGGTTAAGCATGAATCTTGTCTTCACCTCTATTTGTCCTTAAGTTTGGCTTTTTTTTCTTTTATAGCTTATTTGCCAATTTAGCTTTATGGCTGGTTACCTTTTTAACACGATGTTGAAAAGCCACAGTGATCTCAATAAATAAATAGCGGAGGTTTTATCCGAGTTTAGTATTTGCCTAATGCGGAAATTCATTTCCGCTCGCCGGTCTTGAGTGTAGATTTCAAAAGCAGGTACTATCACGGGTTAACTGTGCGCAAAATTTATTGCCACTTTCCTATTTACAGCATGAATTTGAGGTGGAAAAGTCCATTTGCTAGAGAACAGCAATTTATATAAGTAAAGATTAGCTGTTTCAAGTTTGACAAGCTCCTCTTTGGTTTACTATGATAAAAAATAAAGAATGTACCTGCGCCTGATCGATAAACTGTCTTGGCAGCGGTACATTTACTCCTCTGAAAACTAGAAACGAGAATATTTTTCAGAACAGTTGATTTGATGTTTTGTTTACATCGCTATCAACCGGTTTAAATGGCAAATGAAACTTATTACCCTAGTGTATATTTTGAGATTAGCAACTTGCAGTTCTCATCTCATGGTATCTGTCTTACAACTGTAAGTAAACTCTTTTAGTTGACTCTTGTTTAATGGGTGAAAGTTGTGAATAGGTTAAACCTCTTTTATTAACAATGAATTATTAAGCTACACTCAATTTCTAAACGCCAGAATTAATTTTGTTTGATCTTGGTGAATACTGAGAAGATAATTTTAATGACACGCTTTCAATAAACGCAACTTATTTCATTTTCTTTTCTGAAGAAATATACAAATTTAGATAATTTACGAGCAATATACGAGAACTGAGGGAATTAAGTATAAAAAACGGTGGTATCTATGAGTTTATTCTACTGGCAAATAATATGAGTTTAAAAAAATATTTGACTGTACTGCCCAAATAATATAAATTTGCTCATAAATGATTTTTTTTGCACTAGAAAGTTTTATCGAAAAGTTTCAATTTTTATTCTGATTTCCAACTGATTACTGTAAGTTCAAATAAGGAAAGTTTGGTTAGATATGCTGAAAAGTTTATAAATAAGCAAACGTGTCTCACAAAAAAAGTTTCACCTGATGTTAAAACACTTTAAAGTGACTATTTTAGAAATTATAGACCAAGACAAGGCTTTATATCGGCATAATGAACTTTATTATTTATATCATACTCATAGTATGTTCTGCAGATTTTTCCAACGCTCTAGTTGGTATTACAATAAATGACATGTACATTCCAGATCCATGTGGTGCTGCTTGCTTTTCTTACTTTCAAGTATTCAGTCTTGAGTGTTCTACTACTATTGAAAATGAAAGGCTAACCACACCAGGGTGCCGTTCATCTAGCGAGCCGTATATGAGTAGTGTTGCATGGTGCTGGGAGCTGCAATGCACTAATAAAACTAGTGTTAGTACTCAAAAATTTATTGAAGCTTGGAACACAAAACTTCCTTCTAACAACTTCTCTTTCTTTGATGCTTTAAGCTCAGGGAAACCAAAAAACAGTTTAAATGCTTCAAGCTCAAAAATTAACCTCAAAGAACCAGCACTAGTTAATGACACACTATTCTACATTTACTATAAATCAAGTAAAGACTTCTTGGATTCTGAGACTTACCATGCTAGAATGGCATTATCTTTAGTAATGATCACTTGGTCCTTGGTATTTTTTGGTACGCTCTATAACATCAATGAAAAATTTCATCTGGACGAAAGGTACTTGCCCAAAACTGTTAGACTTTGTTTCCGTAAATATCTTTTGCTTCCAGCACTGTTTAATGAAAAGTGTTGTGTTCCGATAAAACTAAATGAAGGGTTTCCCATTGATTATGTTCCTCCAAGAATTGTGGCAATCACTATCATTTTTTACTATATCATTAATATCATTTTTTGTGCCGTTCCTTACAGGGGATTCTGGGAAGATCTTTCTAATCCGCATGATACTGCCAGTTTGATGTACACCTATGTCGGTAATAGAACAGGTGTTTTATCCTTTGCTAATATCCCAATCCTGATATTATTTGCTTCACGGAACAATATTTTCCAATGGTTAACGGGTTGGTCATATGCTACATTTCAACACTTTCATAGGCATGTTTCAATTATTTGTGTTCTAGAGGCTTTTGTTCACTCTGTTTGCTATACAATCAAATATGTCAAAAAGCCTTATAGTGCTCATTATTACGCAAATGAAGCCGCTAAACCCTATTTTTGGTGGGGAATCTTGGCAACTGTTGCTTGTAGCTTAATGCCCCCATTGACTGTCTTAAAGATAAGGATTACAAGCTATGAATTCTTCCTTGTTACTCATTATATCTTGTCAATTCTTTTTGTAATTGGGTGTGCTTACCATATAAAGAAAAGGTTCAGTACTGAATGGGGCTATAACTACTGGCTATACTGCTCTTATGCCGTTTGGGGGTTTGATTTTTTTCTTAGAATATTGAGATGTGTGCGTTTGAAAGTCAAAGGCTGCAAAAGCAAAGCCATTGTTGAGATTGTTGATATTGAATCAAAAACTATCAAAATTACTTTTAAGATTCGTGATTTTTCACAAGACTGTGTTGGCAATTACTATTATATTTACTTCTTCACAATATTTCCATTTTTTACAAGTCATCCATTCACTGTTGCGGAATGGAAGGGTGCAGCTTTAAACTTCAATAGTCCAGTCCATGAATGTACTACTGAATCTGAAAATGAAGATATGATGAAAGAAATAAAAAGTCAAGAACAAGCGATTAAGCTCCCTCTTCCATCCGCATTATCATCAAACTACACCTTTTATGTCCAATGTTTGAAAGGCACTACAGGAAAGATTTTTAATAGATTGGAACAAAACAATTTTAACCCATTTGAAATATTCTCTGTGTTGGAAGGACCATATGGCTCTTCTGAAAGAGATGTATTTCAGGACTATGACTTTATGATACTTCTTACAGGTGGTATTGGAAACACGGTAATTATTAACTACTTGCAGAGCTTCCTGGATTATAAAGAGCGGAAATGTTTTAGGTCATCGCATGATACTAAAATCAGCATTTTGCACCTTGACAGATTCAAAGGAAGACTAAATTTTTTGCGAGAGAAATTGAAGGATATAGTTCCACCAGATAGTTTTCCAGATATTGAGATCCAACTACATGATACAAGCGCGGCTGGAAGAATAGATTTGAAAGAATATATTTCCAAAAAAGTCGACAAATTTGAAACTGAATACTATTCTGGAGTAAGGAGAATTGGTGTTATATCATGTGGTCCTGCAAAGTTCAATGATATATGTAGACGCACCTGTGTTGACTTGCAAGAGAAACTTTGTCAAGAAACCATTATAAGTTATATCACAGATCCCTTTGAGTGGTGAACTGAACTTCTTTTCTGCAAAAAACCGAATTCTCAATCCTTATTCTAATAACCAGCTTAAGTATACAGTATTTTCGATACTAGTTCTAATTTGTTGAAAAGTTGTGCGCAAAGTTGTTTCTGTTGTCACATATGGAATGGACAGGTTAAAAGACTATAAAAAACTTTTTGGCAGATAAATCGCATATAAAGAGAAAGATACATAGAAAGGTACTTTTTGTAAAAACAAAACTATTTGCTGTCCATCAATTCTCCGAGTGGGTGTTGCTTGAAGGCCTCGTAGAACCTTTCAACGTTGGCAGGGTTTTCAACTGGTAATCCGAACGCTTTCATGGAGGCAAGCATTTTGTATGCATACATGTCGGACACCAAAGGAGAGTCGCCACCCAGGAACTTCGTTCTAGACAACTGCTCATCAACGAAAGCTAGATTGAGTTTGACTTTTTCCAAAAATTTTAGTTTTTCCTCGTCAGAGTTTGCAGTGTGCACCGAATATGCAGAAGACAAAAAATCACTATTGAGGAAAGAAAGCCACTTTACTTGTGAAGCTTTTTCCTCATCAGTAACTCCAGCAAATTCCTTCTTTCCCGAAATTTGAACAAAATAGAGGGCAATGGCCACCATCTCGGTCAATTTGAAGCCATTTTCGGAAATAAAAGCTGGAGCCTTTTTTAACATGAAAAGTGAAGGAAACTCGATCGCTTCAGTAGGACTTTTTGCCTGGATTTCAAGCTGAAGGTACTTGGCTAGGGGGAGAAGCCAGCTGCTTCTCGGAGAGTTTGGATAGTAGTATAAAGTGCCCAATGCCATTTTAATGTTAGTAATTAACGTTAGATTCTCGTCTTGTAAATCTTTTTTTCTCTATGTTTTCCCTGAACAGTTTTGGTTGGCTAAGAAGAAGGGGAAATCAGATGATTTTATACTGCCCCGCTGGCACGAACACGGAATTAATAAACTCCGGGCGTTTCAAGGAAAATGCGGAATTAGCCCTCCTGACAAAAAAAAATTCCTCGGAGCTGATTAATCACGAAAAAGCCTCCTGGTCACACACAAGCGGTGGCCGTGCACAAGTGAATGTATGAGCAGAGAGTGTTGCAATGATGCAGGCTCAAAGTTTCAGAAACAAATTCAATGTATAAAAGTTCAAAGAAAAAGAGAAAAGGTTAAATTAAAAAAACGCATGCAAAAGATTCAACAAGTGGCCTATCCAACCAGCTCAACATCTTTGTTCGAGCCAGTCTCTATCTTTTCTCTGTGAACTTCTATCTTAGTGGCAACACCATTGTCGTCGGTCTCGTGCTCTTGATCCCACTCCTCGAGGTCTTTCAATTTGACTTTAACAATCTTGTTTCCGAGTTCTCCGTTTTCAAGATGGTAAATGACTTCACGGTGTACATACTTGCCCACCTTAGGTAGCGCGAAACGCCAGACGAGGTAGTAGAAGCCGCAGGCAAACAAGATGCAGATAGTGACAATTGGGTAGGTAGCGTAGAAGAAGGTCACGTCACTGCCAATCAAAGTCCCCTTAGGTGGAACAAATGCGATGGCAATGACCATGATATGGAACAAAAGTAAAATGATGATGCATGGGAGGGGCAAGTAATGGCCCTCGTTACCAAGGCCCTTTAACCTCCGCTCTCTTCTGATTTTCAACAAGCCGATAATCAAACAGAGGGTGAAGATGTAGCTAGAGTAGGTGCCCATGTCGAGGATGAAGTTGTAAGCGGAGCCTGCTGGCGGAGCCACAATCATGATGAAGTTGATCAACCAGGTGATGAAGATGGGACCAATCGGGGTGCCGAAGGGCTTCGTCTGTGTCCAGAACTGGCTGAAGGGCAAGACGCCTTGTCTACCGCACTCTCTGAGCGCTCTGGAGTGGGAGAGAACAGCTGTGACCAAGTGTCCAAAGGACGACAAAGCCACCATGGCAGCCAAGCCCTGAGTAGCGGCCCTGTTGCCAAAGACGTTTTTGAACATGGTGGTGGCAATGGTGTTGCCTGAGTGCTTGAGCTCCTCTGGGGTGGCGGACGCATAGTAGGCGGTGATCATGAGGATGTAGAAGACAAAGATGACGCACATGGAGATGGGCACGTAGAAGGAGTAAGTTTTCAAGAGCTTCTTCTTGGCCTGCTCCTCGGAGTCGTTTTCGTGTCTCATGTGTTCCGCTACAACACCAAAGGCGTAGCTGAAGCCGCTGTAGGAGAACGCCACCTTGATGATGGAGTTGGCAATCTCGTTGCCGTCGGAGGTGGTGCCCTCCCACACGTTGCGGAAGCTGGCGTGCGGGTCCTTGACCTTGGTGTGGCCGCCGAGCACCACCCAGCCGAGGATCACGAGGAAGATCATGAACACGACCTTGATGAAGCCCAACAGGTTCTGTAGCCGCAAGGACCACTTGGTGCTGACGGCGATACACAGCGCCGAGAAGGTGAGTGCGCCGATGGCTATGCCCCGGTAGTGCCACACCTGGGCCTTGTCTTCCACCGTGGAGAGGATGTACTGGCCAAACGCCAAGGCGCTGGTCGTGGTGTAGGACAACACCACCGACACCGCGGCGTACACCGTGGGCACCAAGAACTTGGGCTTTGGGTACGCCTTCTCCAAGTACGCCACGTCGCCCCCGTTCCGCCGTGGGAAGTACCCGGCGTACTCGATGTAGATGTAGATCGAGAACAGCGGGAGGAAGAAGCACAAGAGCCAGAGCACGTACGTGGACCCGATCGAGCCCATCGACTTCAGCACGCTGCCGGGAGTGCTGAAGATACCCGTCCCGACCACCCCCTGGAGGATGAGCACCACCACGCTCAACGGGCCCACCGAGTAGCCCAACGGGTTGGACTTCTCCACGGGAGTACCCTGATTCTCCAAGTCCGACCCGCCGTCTGTGTCGTTTGTCGCGTACACGTAGTCCGAGCTGTTGCTCTTACTGCCGCCTGCTGCCTCGTACGAGCTCCCCGACTGTGTTTCCCCCGACTGTGTCTGCCCCGTCTTGCTTCCTGTCCATCTGAAGTTTTCTAGCATGCTGTCTTTGTACATCAAGAGACACTTACCAGAGCATAACTACGCGCTCCACATCCACTACCCTTCCTTTGTCACTGCTGCTGCTACCAATGGCAGCCGCTGTCCTACTCTTTATACTCCACTGTTCCACACCGCTGCACACCGCTGCACACTGCTCTGCTCCGCCCCACCCCACTATCTTTTCTGTCACCTGCTCCCTACACCACAGCACCCCTAGTTCTAGCCAACACACAGAACAGAAGAGGCATCCCTGGGAGCAAAGCCTGCATCCACAGTCTTTTGGGGCTGTTGCGGCGATGCTCCGGTGTGCTCGGGGCTGCTGTCTGTTCCAGGGGGCTCTGCGCTGCTCTGCTCTGCTGTGCTCTGCTGTGGCGGAGAGGGCAACTTGCCCCGCGGGGCATTATATCTCCGCCCGCAGAGGGGGAGTGCCGTCCAGCCGTGCCACAGCAGCCGCCACAGCGCGGAACGGTTACGTCAGCAGAAAGTATGCTCTGCTGACGTAAGCGGCGGCGCGGGCGGCTCGCGCCGCCGCGAGGTGTGTGTCTTTATCTGGACAACGGTGGCGGTCGGTCGAAGACGGGAGAAGGCATGCTGGGGCCCGGAGCACCACAGGGCGCCGAGGACGATGGCGCACACTACAGAGCTGGGACGAACGCAGAAGACGCTGCAGCGAACACGGCCACGGCCACGGCTGGACCCGAAGCTGGGCGTGAAGCCGCTGGCGGTGCGGCCCGTGGGCAGGGCGCATCTGGCGTGTCTGAGGTGTCGCACACAGAAAATCAAGTGCTCCGGAGGGGAGCCCGCGTGCGAGAACTGCGTCGGGGCGACCAAGGCGTGCCGGTACCCGCAGCGGGAGAAAAAGGTGACGCTGCTGGAGTCGCAGTTGGACGGGCTGGCGGCGAGAATCGAGTTTTTGGAGGCCCGGCTGGCGGAGGCGGAGCGGGGGGCGGAGGCGGGGGAGCCCGGGGAAAACGGCGGGGAGAACGGGGAGGCCGGCGGGGAGGCCGGCGAGGCCGGGAGCATCCCGTTCCGGTCGTTCAAGACGGACCGGGCGCTGAGCGATACGTACTTCGGGACGTCGTCGGGACAGGTGTTTGACTCGGAGTTGAAGTCGCATCTATTTGCCATCACGCGGGAGTCGGAGGCGCCGGCGGCCCCGCCGGCAGCAGGGGCGCTGCCGCAGAGACGGCACTTCTTCAAGGACCCGTCGCTGGACTCGCCGTTCTCCGGAATCGTGATGCTCCCGGACAAGACGTACGCGCTGCAGCTGGTGGCCACAGTGGTGTCGTTCCTCGGACACGAGTACTACCTCTTTGACGCAGAGCAGCTGTACGCAGAGATCGACGAGGCCTACGAAAGGCTGCGAGACAAGAAGCCGCTGTGGATCTGCTACTTCCTCATCACGCTGGCGGTGGGCGAGCAGTACATGGCGCACTCGCCGTCGGGCGACATCCCGGGAATGGGCTTCTACATGGCCGCGATGCGCCTGTACAAGTCGTCGTACGAGGAGCCCACGCTGCAGTTTGTGCAGACGCTGATCCTCATTGCGTTCTACCTGCAGGGCCTCAACAGCGCCAACGCCGCCTTCTCCTTCTACGGCTTGGCGATGCGGTCCGCCCTCATCCAGGGGCTGCACCGGAAGCTGTCGTTCCTGCCGCCGCCGGAGCTGGAGCGCCGCAGGCGGCTGTGGTGGACCATCTTCATCATGGACTCCATCTGGTGCTCCAACCTGGGGCACCCGATCCACGTGCAGTTCGACGACGTGGACGTCGACCTTCCGGGCGAAAACGTCCTCGACTTGCACGACGGCTTCGACATCGAGCTGTCCGGCTACAACGTGCGGCTCGCCCAGATCCTGGGCACCGTCATGCGGGACGTGTACCGGCCCTGCAAGGGCGCCACCACCATCGAGGTGAAAACCGTCCTGTGCTGTGTCGACCAGCTGGACCAGCTCCAGAAGCTCTTGCCCGCCAGGGTCCAGAACAACCTCCTTGTGTCCGAAAACAGGTCCACGGCAAACTTGTATCTCCGCCTCAACCAGTACATCGTCGTCACCACCCGCCCCCTCCTCTTGTCGCTCTTCGAGGGCCATGTCCAGCCCACCGACGCAATCAAACGCGTCGTGTCTAGGTGCGTCACCGCCGCCATCCTCAACATCGACATACTCGCCAACTTGCAGAACAACGGCTGGCTCTCCGCCTTTGGCTTCTGGGATGCCCAGTACTGCTTCTCCTCCCTCATCATCTTGGTCATTTGCAGCTTTTCCGGCAACAGATACCCGCAGGTGCACACCGGAAGACGCATAAACACGTACATGAAGGACGCGGGGAACTTTACCGCAATCGACAACGAGCACAGGCTGCTGGAGCTCGACGACCTCATGTCAAAGATCCCAGGCCTGTCAGCCGTCGGAGAGAGCCAGAACGGAAAGGCTACCCCTACCAGCTCGGCTCCCACCCGCGGCGAAAAGGCTTTCGACCCGAAGATCGTTTTCCCTACAGACTCTTCTCCTTCCTACGATACCGACACCTTGTTACCGCCAGATGTCTCCAAGGCATCTGCAACAGGCAGCAGCCTCAACCCAAACACTGCTCCAGACGCTAGTGTTTTGGACTCAAATGCCCGATTTGACGCCCTGTCTCCCAACACTCGCTCGCTCTTCCAACAGCAGAGCTTGAGTGACTTCATATCGGACATGAGGGAAACTTGTTCGGGCTCGATTGGAGATTTCGCCGCTTTCCGTAACAACGTTTCCCCCGATACGTGGAACGAGCTGGCCTCCAATTTACAATTTTGGGATCACTCCGGTCTTTAGCTGAGACCGGCAATATGGTGCGACTTCTCCGAGTTCTTTTCCTGGCTGAAAAATTGCCCCACCTATATGAATCTCGGACTATCTTTGGGTCATTTATCGACAAACCACAATTTATTCTTCACTTATCATTTCTTATTCCTTTAAATTTAACCAATATGTACAAACTTTTATTGAAAAAATCTACACATCAACCCACTGGATCCTACTCATATCGCGATATTGATAGAGTTGGGAGCAATAGCAAGTCCGGACTGCAACCACGATCATGAAAAAGCAGGTGGTTATCGTAGGAGCTGGAGTCATCGGTCTTACATGCGCCTGGATTCTGTCAGAAAAGGGCTTCGACGTGAAAATAGTATCATGCAGACTACCTTCAAACTTCAAAGATGAAACTGATTATGCTTCCCCTTATGCAGGCGCTCACTTTAGGCCATTCCCCTCCTCCAACGCGGGAGACCTCAAAGACTACCCTTTGACAAGAACGTCCTTCAACGTTTTCAAAAAGATTTCAAAAGAATTTCCGGAATCTTCTGTGAAGTTTGTGAAAGCGATAGATTACGTTGAAGCCGATGAGGAACCTTACACTACTCTTTCCCCCGGATATGCTGAAGGTCTTCAAAGTTTTGAAGTTTTGGAGAAAGAAGTGTTGCCAAAAAATGTCAAGTTTGGTGCAAAATATGATTCTTGGTGCCTCAACGCACCTCTTTACCTTCAGTTCCTGGAAAGAAGATTGAGGATGTTTTATAACGTTGAATTCATTATTGCAGCACTAGTTTCCCTGAAGGAAGTTTCACAAATGTACCAAGGAAGTACCATCGTTAACTGCACTGGAATGGGGCTTACTTACAAGGGCGGGTATGACAGCAACTGCTATACTGTCTGCGGTCAAACTTTGCTTGTTCGAGCACCTAAAGATTGCATCTACAATAATCAAACAATCACATACAGACTTGCAGAAAATAAATATTCGTTTGTCATCCCCCGCCCGCTAGATGGAGGAATTATAGTGGGAGGGACCAGGCAACCTGAAAAATTGAGCCCAGTCCCTGATGTTGTTACAAAGAAGGAATTGATTGCTAACGCAATGAAGAGATTCCCTGAACTCATAGTTTTTCGAGACGGAAACGCTACTCTAGATGTGAAGAAAGTTAATGTTGGTTTCAGACCAATGAGAAAAGGTGGTGTAAGATTGGAAAAAGAGTTCACTGAAAATACTCAAATAGTTCACTGTTACGGTTTTGGCAGTTCTGGTTTTGAAATGAGTTGGGGTGCTGCCGAACTAGTCTCAGAACTCGTTCAACGTCTACCATCAAAATTGTGAATAAGATTTTGCAGTGCTGTATAAATTTCTAGTAACTGAAGCGATATATGATAATCAGAGCCAATTTTGGCCACGAGCAGTACGAGATTCAAGAGAACTGCAAAATAATCCTCTTTTGGAGGTTTTCAGACCAGAACGCACAAGCCCTGAGAGAATGTTCACACCGGAAACAACTCCATCGATTACAATCACTCCATATGGCTTAACCGCATCTTCTACAGCTAGTTTCATATCGGTCATTCCAGCACAACCCAAAAGGAGGGTATCTGCATCCTTTTCCGTAATCAACTTGGTTGCCACATTTCTCATAATCTCTAGAACTTCCTCCCTTGGTTTTGTATGTAGCTCTGCAACTTTCAAGCCAGTCGAAAGCAGACCAGCACACCCGTTGCTTATTCCGTAATTCATCACCCCATCCTCGTGCCTTATCTGAGATCTATAAACCGTAGTGATAATGCCAAACCTCCCTCCAATTATCTTGGCACTATAAATTGCGGCTTCCATAATCCCACATACTGGAATGTCAAACTCTTCACGAATACAATTTATCAACGGATGCTCGGAAAAGCAAGCAACAAGGCAGGCATCGGCTTGCGCAATCAAACTATACGCATCCCGCATAACATCTGCAGAGGAAATAACACCATCTAAATGTCCTTCAACAGTAGTGGGTGCCGTCTCAGGCGCTGTGTAACCGTATACTATTGCATCTGGCGGCACATACTGTTCTACCATTTTGATACAGTTGGTAGTCATCAGCTTGGTACTGTTCGGATTGATAAGAAGTATCTTTTGAACCTTATTTGGCTCAACTAAACCTATACACGAACCTTTTGCATGTGGTAAAAGCGTCAGTTTGTCATTAAATGGCACAACCATGATTCCGAAATGCTCTACTGTTTAGTTTTGTCGAGATGATTATGTTCGCCAAGAAGTAAAATTGAAGAAAGATGTGATAGGATCTGTATTGCTTTTCACCGTGACAACAAGGAGACATCAAGATGTATATACACCAAAAACAACCACTATTTGTTCATTTCCACTTGTCTCCTTCTGGTTCGGGGAGATAAGACATTTCTCCGATTTTTTCCCTAAAGATTCCTAATTTAACCAAAAACTAGGATAGACATTGTAGTGCTGCACAGTACGACAATTTTCAAATAGCATTTCAGATGAATAGCGGATTCCATGAGTGCAGATAATAGCAACGCGGGACTCCCTATCGCCACGGGCTCGAAAACGCAAGAAAAACTGAGACCGGCGTTCTCTGCATTTTCCCCGGTTTTCACCTCCAACTCACCACCGTCGCCGATAGCGTTTTTTCTCCAACGGCTGGAACGAGAAAAAAATGACTTCTTATCAGCTTTTGTTCTGCCGATAACAGATATGTTATGCATGTCTCAGAGTTCATTAACAACTATTGATAGTGCACATTTACCCAAGCAATGCAGCAATAGTAATCAGGGTATACAGAGTTAAATTTATCCCTACCTTTCAGCCCAGCCATATCTACCCTGTCACTGCTGCAAAAAAGGAGAGGTAGGAAAGAGGTATATAATCCTAAACGCATTCCTTCGACATAATTTTCACCTTTCAGATACACTCGCTTAAACTCCCAAATTTTGATACATACTTTCACATTTATTGACACACTCTTTTACAAGCTGTTCTAATTCTACTTAACATAATGGCTACACTGGATTGGTTAAGTCGTTTGAACGAAAAAATTATAATCCCAAATACGGATTCAAAAGAAGATGGTATAAGAAGTAATAAAGATTTGGATCCTACAAATGTTGAAGACAGAACTTGGCGAACCTACAATTTTTTTCTTGTTTGGTTTCAGTCTTCGTTAAACGTCACCATCTGGAACTCCGGTGCCAGTTTGATCAAGAGCTCTCAGATTTCCTATTGGAAGACAATGATTGCATCCGTTGTTGCTACTTTTATTGGTGGCCTATTTGTCATGTGGAATTCTAGAGCTGGTGCTGTTTATCATGTTGGCTATCCAGTTTTACTTAGATCAACTTTTGGTGTTTGGGGGTACTACTTTTTTGTTATCATCAGAGGATTTGTCGCTATTCTATGGTTTGCAGTCCAAACTTACTATGGCGGTTGCCTTCTTGATGTGGTCCTGAGATGTATCTTTGGTCATAAATGGAACAACATTGTTAATCATATTCCACCTGAACAAGGTATAACAACAAAGCTCATGATTGCTTTTCTCTTATTTTGGATTTGTCAATGGCCGGTAATGGTGATTCACCCGACGAATATTAGGCATTTCTTTACGTTCAAAGCTCTTGCATTGCCTTGGGCAACCCTAGGAATTTTTATTTATTGTTGTGTTGCAGGACATGGTCCAGGAAATTTCAATATGGGAATTAAAATTATTGAAGACCCATCCCAGGTTGGCTGGAAATTCATGATGTGCATTAACTCTATACTGGGTTCCATTTCTGCTATGATAATCAATCAGCCTGATGTTGCCAGATATTGCAGAAAACCGTCTGCACCTCTTCTACCTCAATTTTTTGGTTTCATGTTGAGTAAAGTGGCAATTCAATTGTTTGCCATGGTTGCAGTGGCATCCTATTATAGAGTCTCTGGAGTTGCTTACTGGAACTTATGGGATTTATTGAATGGTATTCTTGACAGACATTGGACTGCAGGCGCAAGAACAGGTTGTTGTCTAGTTGCTGGTGCATTTTGTATCGGTAACATGGGCACCAACTTATTTGGTAACGCTCTTCCTTTTGCAGCAGATATGACTGGTCTTTTCCCTAAATATATCAATATTAGAAGAGGCCAGATTCTAATGGCATGTATCTGCTGGGGTATAGTTCCATGGAAAATGTTGAAGAATGCAACAACCTTCCTTACTTTCCTTGGAAGTTATACATTGTTTGTTGGTCCAATCTTGGGGTGCATGTTGGCAGATTACTTTTTTGTCAGAAAAGGAAACTATCATACGCCGTCTTTATACACTAGGTCTCCTAATGGAGTCTACTACTACTACAAAGGTGTTAATTGGTGGGGGTGCCTCGCATGGGTCTTTGCAATGGCTTTGGGAATTCCGGGCTTGGCGGCTGCTATCCACCCAAAAGCGTATTCTATCAATTGCCTTCATATGAACTATATAGGTTGGCTGATGTGCACTTTTGCTGGTATGGTCTTTTACACACTTTTTGGCAAGTTAGTTAAGCCACAAGTTTATCCTCCAGGTCATGAAGCCACGCCAAAAACCTTTGAATACATGAAAGATTCAAATGGTTTCTTCGATGATGATGAACCAATAAATGGTGTGGGACCTGTTGATTTTGAGCCCGCTTCTTTTTCCTCCCAATCCTTTCAAAAAGATGGTAAGGAATTAGCCGTTACCGAAGTGATCTCATTAGATCAGCTGGACACTACCTCTAGAGAGTAAAGCCACAAGTTTTATAACGTAAGTAATTAGTACCTTTGCATTCAGTCAATTTTTATGTCCGCTTTATAGTTCTAAATCTACTATTAAACTTCAATTATATTTATTCAATCTGCACCCAATGGATCTGGCACATATATTTTGCACCTAGCTGGCAAAAATTGTATTCAATCTGCTCCACTAGCTTATCAGTTTAAAACCTCCGGCCGGCCCTCGAGGGAGATAAGCCGGGATAAAAAGTGCTATCGCGGCGTACCTCGAGGCCAGATAAGCGACCGGGGAGTAAGTAGTAGTTTCCCGAAACAAGCTTTCAAGCACATTTTAGATGTGCTACTACTTTTGAGAACACGGCGTTGGTTACCTGAAAGCCGTGAGCGTATAGAAAACGGCTTAAAATATTTAAATAACAGAGACTATGGATATGTGTTTGTCGTAACGGAATTTATTCAACAAAAAATTGTCGAGTCTTTCTTGTTGAAGATAAACCTTTAGAAGAAGATCAAGAAGAAGTAAGAGTAAATATGTCACAGACTGTTGTTACGTCTACTACAGCAAGCGGCGTTCCACAAAAAGTTGCTCCGGTCTCCTCAAGAGGCTATTTCATGACCCAAAGAGGTGCGTCAAATATGGCTATGGGAAATGGCAACCCTCACAAGATCCCTAAGTTTGACGACCCATACAAGCAGAGAGAATGGATGTTGGAGCACATGGCTGGAGCATTCAGAGTTTTTGGCAGGAAGGATTTTGCAGAAGGTACGGCAGGCCATATTTCTGTTAGAGATCCTGTTGACCCTACTACTTTCTGGATAAACCCATTGGGTATCCATTTCTCTATGGTTACAGCTGCAGACATGATTCATATTGATGAGGATGGTAACATTATAGGAGGCAATACCAGTGGTACTATAAACGCCGCCGGTTTTGCCATTCATTCTGCGTTGCACAAGGCAAGACCAAATATCAATGCTGCGTGCCATACTCATTCAGTTTGGGGGAGAGCATTTTCTTGCTTTGGTAAGCCTTTGGAGATGTTGAACCAAGATTCATGCTATTTCTACAAAAGTCATGCAGTTTATGAAGACTTTGGTGGCACTGCAGTTGAGAAAGAAGAAGGTGAGCGCATTGCTAAGTGTGCTGGGGAAACGGGTCGTGCACTAATATTGCAAAATCACGGTTTATTGACAGTTGGTGAAACAGTTGACGAAGCTGCTTACTTGTTCACTTTACTTGAAAGAACTTGCAAAATTCAAATGATGGTGAATGCTGCGGAAACCGAATTTTACAGGAAGCAATTGATTGGCGAGGATGAAGCAGCCTACACTAACTTCATTAGTGCAGACCCAGAAAGTATGTACATGGCTTTTCAACCAGAATTAAATTTAGAAAAGTTCAGAGATGATTCTTTCATGTCGTACACTAAGCATCCAAGACATGACAAATAAATGACTTTTTCTTATTTTCCTCATACTATAAAATAAATTGGAATGAGCTATTCGAATTTTTTATAAATTTTGTACTCTTAAATTTATTTTTCGTTGTCAAGAGGGTAAACAGTAGGGTCCCAACCAGTAACAAAATATTCGTCTTTGGCATCCAATGCCTTTATATCCTCTGGGGATAACTTAAATTGGTCCGATTCAAGATTAGGCAAGAGTCTTGACTTTGTGACAGTTTTTGGTAATGTGACATAGCCCTTAGACAACGACCAGTTGATTAAAATTTGAGCGGTGGTCTTTGAGTATTTTTTCGCCAACGACAATAAGAGTTCATCATCAAACTTTTGCCCTCTTACCAATGGGGAATAAGCTTCAACTACAATTCCTTCCGTTTGACAAAATGCAGCCAATTCGGTTCTGGTTAACCAGGGGTGAATCTCAATTTGGTTAATGGCTGGCTTGATCTTTAAGTCAGGGTATGCAAGCAATTCTTTCAAGTGCTTGATGCCATAATTCGAAACTCCAATATTTTTAACCTTTCCACTGGCCACTGCCTCTTGTAATGCGAGCCACGACCCGTGTCTTCTTTCATAATCAGACCTTGGAGAATGCATCAAAATCAAGTCAATATAGTCAATACCTTTTGCTCTTTCCAGAGAGACTTCAATTGCCTTTTTGGTCAATTCATATCCATGATCGGAGTCAAAGATTTTAGTGGTATAGAAAATGTCTTCTCTTTTGTTAGTTGAAGGATCTTTTTTCAACCATTCTGCAATTGCGTCACAAACCTCACTTTCATTCTTATACACTTGGGCAGAGTCGATATGTCTGTAGCCAGTTTCCAAGCCATCTAGTGAGATTTCCTTTGCAATGCTGACCGGAGTTAGGTAGACTCCTAATCCAATTGATGGAATTTTGTGTCCTGAGTTTAATTTATGGAATTTTGGAAACATTTTGAGTCGAATTTTAGCTTATCTGATTCAATTGTGTGTAATTGACGTCTTTGATTGTCAAGTTCAAGGTTTTAAGAGGACAAATGAGTAAAGGAAGGGAATGAGTTGATGATGACAAATGAGAACACTTTTATCTAAGAGGGTTAGTACGGGTCCAGAAGGAGTGCGAAAGCCACACTTTCCTGGATTACGCAATTCCCGTATCCGTACAATCGATAGCCCATAGTAAAGAAAACGAGTGAATCGATATTATAGTATTCTTTACAGTGTACAGGTAAATTCACGTGCAATAAATAGAGGGATGTCGGAACTAGGTGGTTTTCTGGACTTCTATGATTCCTATGGCCAGGGTATAAACACAAAGAGATAGAGAAGTGATAATGTAATGAGATAAGTTATGCTTCAAGAAAAGAAACAATAAGATGTGGTAGATCACAATCAGATTACGTAAATAAGATTTTTTGAAGAATATATGTATGGCGATCTTTGAAATTTTTCATGTTTTAATAAGGTATATGATTGCAACAAAAACATTATTACAAAGAATCAAGTTATAGCAGTTTTTAGCCCTCTTATAATTCTTCAGCATTTTTAGTCATGTAACTGGCAATTTGTCCGAGTGGTTAAGGAGAAAGATTAGAAATCTTTTGGGCTTTGCCCGCGCAGGTTCGAATCCTGCAGTTGTCGCTTAAACATCATATTTTTTTGATGTTTCTTCTGCTTTAGAAACATTTTGTTTATATTTCAACCTTCATCGTCTTTTTTTTTGAGCATCAAGCAGGTGTGATAAACCCGTGCTTCAACATTAAAGCATGGAAGTACGGATGAACGACCAATTAGCATGAGGGAAAACTTTCTAGATCATTACAACAAGAACGAGCTCATTGCAGACTACACTGTTGAAAGGAAGATCGAGTACAGGGACGTGGATTACTTTCTCCCGAGACAAGACGCTCGGGATATACGGCGACGGTTGGACATATTAAGGAATTTCAGTGATGGGGATGTACGTGTCAAATACTGGAGTAAGTTGCAAAATGTTGGGAAAGATTCGCCTGCGTGTTTCATTGAGATGATGAGATATCTGGGGAACTTTGAGTTTCTGTTTCACAGTGCCAAAGACGAGATCGAGTGGAGCTGGATTTTCAGGAAGCTCCAAGTCAACAGCCGCCATCGTATTGAGATGCTCCCGGGTAACGTCGATTTGAATGGACTCATTACGGATTTGAATGAGCTGAGGACCAGGGTCGACGTTCTGCTGAATATAGGTGGGAACAGCCACTTGCTGAACAACGCGCTCTATTCCTTGAGGGGTCTTGTTTGGCTCAACGTGAGTAACAGCAATCTGAGCAACGACAAGATCCAAAGTATTATACAAGTAATCAACAGAGGAGGGCTGCAGAACTTGAGAGCTCTCGTGCTTACGGGGAATCCCGTCCTCGATATGAAGAAGTTGGAGCAGGATTTGCGGCGACTGACGAAAGGGAAGCTACAATATCTCGAAACGGACTGCGAAGAAGGGGGCATCGAAGGAGAAAGTAACAACGGGGACAATGGCGGCACTCTCGAGCGGATAGAGGTCAGCGGCGAGTTCAAGCTAATGAACGACGCCAAAAAATTTGACTATCTTGTTCGCAGGGGGATCATTGACGGTGGGGGCGGGACCACCGGCGGGATACTGGTGGACTACATCGTATGCAATGCCTTTGAGTGGGGGCACGCTGTGAAGCAGGGATTAGCCACCTCGTGTCTGGGACGAAGCTACCGGGTGGTGATGGACCCGGTAGGGGCGCTGACGCTGGAGCGCGCGGTTGGCGAGAAACTTTCACGGTACATGATGAGGAAGGAGGAGGGAAGTCCAGTGGTAAAACGACGGAAAAGGCCCAAGACCGGAACAGGGGGGCTGCCAAGCCAAAGCGGAAGCAACAGCATCTGGAGATAGTCAGAACACAGAAACGATGTCGGTAAATCTTGCGAGCCTCGAGCCGCAGCAGCTTGTTGCGTTCAAACAGAGCACACAGCAGGAACTGATCCATTTGCAGTCCTCCTACGATGCGTTGGTGCTGGCACAAAACAAGTACAGAGACTGCATTAACAGCGTGAAGCTGATAGAGCAAAACAGCCGGGCCGAGGGCGCCAGCGGAAACGAGATGCTTATTCCCTTGACGTCCTCTTTGTACGTGCAGGGCCAGAACCGGGTGGACAAGTTCAAGATCGACGTGGGCACGGGCTACTTTGTGGAGAAGGACGGCAAGGAGGCAATTGCCTTTTTCAACAAGCGGATCGACAAGCTCTCTGGCGACTCGCTCAAGTTGCAGCAGCTTCTTGCCGACAAGGTGGGCTTGATGCAGAGCATCGACACCGTGCTAAGAGGGAAGCTCGCTTCGTCTGCTGCAGCGGGGGCGCCGGCGGCAGCTGCAAAGACGACGGCTTCGGCAGCAGACAACTAGACACCGAGGTAGCGATGCACAAGCACCACAAGTGCACACACGCCCCTGGAGACAGCTGACCCACAAGAAGAAGACTTCGAGGACCTGGAACGACCGACACCCGCCGCCGCGGCTCACGTGGTGTCTGTTGCCCGCTTCTATACTTGTGTAGAAGTACATAGCCATAAGCAGGTTTGATAGTATACCTAGGCCGCCGGGATGTAGAACACCCTGCGGGAAGCGATGACACGACCTAAATGCTGCAATGGGTCCAACATCGGTCTGTTCATTTGCCACATGTGACTTCCAATTGTGTCTGAAGGCACAATTGCCAGAGTGGCCTTGCAGTGTTTGGCCCTGAGAGTGCCCAATTCTGCGCAAGCCTGCACGAAAACAGAATCCCTTGTCGACAGGGCACACTTTAGCCAGCCAGCCAGCAACAGCAGCAGCACACATCCCCGCCTTCCACACACGATACGACAGCAGACAGGCCTGAACCCGTACCCTATCTCGAACTCCAGCGCAGACACGCTCTGCACGTCCTCCACGACCTTCTACGCTGTTCTACACTGTTCTACGACCAATGGGGTATTTGTTGGCCCCTGAAACAGCCTCTGTTTACGCCCGACTTCCCTGCTGGCCTGTTTCAGGTGACGTACGGGGCACGGGCCGGCCGCCGGCGGCGCCGGTGGGCCAATCAGCGGGCGGGCCTCGGTGCTGGGTGCCCTGTGCTCGGCGGTTTTGCCGACGGAGGGCACCCCGCGCGGCCGACCGCCCGTGCCTCGGCGCGCAGGCAGCCAATGGGAGCGCGCGCAGGGCCAGGCCTCGGCGATCTCGCCGGACGGGAGCTATTCCTGACACGTTGTCGCAGGAAGGGGGCGTCTAGCATGCGGAAAGCGGCCAGAATTCTGGCTGGATAGGTCTGAGTGTGGTTGAAATCTAGCGTGTATAAATACAGGGGTGCAATCCGCTGGTCAAAGTGCTCACGAAGGGTGTCTAGGGCGTTGTGGAGGTTTGGTTGCTTCTCTTGAGAGCAAGCAAGCAAGCAAGCAGGCAAGCAGGCAAGCAGGCAAGCAAACAAGCACCAGAAGTACAAACATGGCATTCACCCCTAAGATTCAGGTCAACACCGACAGAACCACCTACACGGACGATGAGTTGACGTCCAAGTACACGTACGAAAACTCGATTGTCTCGGTGGACCCGGCTACGCAAGCCTACAAGGTGGACACTGTAGAGACCGACTTGACGTTCAAGCTGGACTTGAAGGTGCCAAAGGTGGGTATTCTCTTGGTTGGTCTTGGTGGTAACAACGGTACCACGTTCACCGCCGCGTCGATCGCCAACAAGAACAACATCGAGTTCCAGACCCGGGAGGGCCCGTTGAAGGCGAACTACTTTGGCTCGGTGACGCAGTCTTCCACAATCAAGTTGGGTGTGGACGCCAAGGGCCACGACGTGTACGTTCCTTTCAACTCGTTGGTGCCAATGGTCAATCCAAACGACTTTGTCATCTCTGGCTGGGACATCAACGATATGGACCTCTACGAGGGCATGAACAGGGCGCAGGTTTTGGAGTACGACTTGAGAGAGCAGTTGAAGCCATACATGTCCAAGATCAAGCCTATGCCTTCGATCTACTACCCGGACTTCATTGCACTCAACCAGGACAACAGAGCCAACAACTGCTTCAACAGAAAGGGCAAGGACGGCGAGGTAGACACGAAGAACAAGTGGGAGCATGTCGAGAAGATCAGAAGCGACATCAAGAGCTTCAAGGAGTCCAACAAGTTGGACAAGGTCCTGGTTCTCTGGACGGCAAACACGGAGAGATACTCCAACCTGATCGAGGGTGTCAACGACACGAAGGAGAACTTGATCAAGGCCATCAAGGAGGGCCACGAGGAGGTTTCGGCCAGTACCGTCTTTGCCGTTGCGTCGATTCTGGAGGGCGCTCCGTACATCAACGGCTCGCCGCAGAACACGTTTGTTCCCGGGTTGGTGGAGTTTGCCGTTGAGCAGGACGTGTTCATTGGCGGAGACGACTTCAAGAGCGGCCAGACGAAGTTCAAGTCTGTGATGGCCCAGTACTTGGTGGACGCGGGCATCAAGATCCGCTCGATTGCCTCGTACAACCATTTGGGCAACAACGACGGGTACAACTTGTCGTCTCCAAGACAGTTCAGATCGAAGGAGATCTCGAAGGCGTCCGTCGTGGACGACGTGATCGAGTCGAACCCCATTCTATACAACCAGGCGGAGAAGGAGGGCATCGACCACTGCATTGTGATCAAGTACTTGAAGGCCGTCGGCGACTCCAAGGTCGCGATGGACGAGTACTACAGCGAGTTGATGCTGGGCGGCCACAACCGGATTTCCATCCACAACATCTGCGAGGACTCCTTGTTGGCCACGCCCTTGATCATCGACTTGTTGGTGATGACCGAGTTTCTCTCCCGAGTCAAGTGCCTCAAGGCCGGCGAGACCCAGTACGAGAAGATGTACACCATCTTGTCGCTCTTGAGCTACTGGTTGAAGGCCCCGCTCACCAGACCGTCCTACAAGCCCATCAACGCCCTCAACAAGCAGAGAATGGCCATCGACAACTTCCTGCGCATCTTGGTGGGCTTGAAGCCGCTCGACGAGTTGCGTTTCGAGGAGAGGCTCAGAAACTGACTCCGATCCTGACATTGCTTATCTAATGTGTATATACTAATTCTCAAACTCTTCGAGGCACTCCACCACCGTCTTCAAGCTTTCCAACACGTTGTTGGCTGTCACCCGTACGACTCGGTCGTCCACGCCCTGGACGTCGATGCGCAGCACCCCGCCACAGTCCTCGCTGCCACACACGCTGTACTCGATTCTCGACTGGTCTGGCTTGAGCACCGGGTCTGGCCTTAGCGCCTGCTCGGCCACGAGCGCCTGCTGCCGACTCTGGAACGGAATGTCCAGCTGGCTGTGAGAGAAAAGACACAAAGTGTTAGTATGCTGCGGCGGGGGAGACGGAGCCCGAACGGGCGACGGCGACGACGACGTACAGAGACACGGGGAACGCAGACATGGCTGGTGTGCTATGGTGTGCTGTGGTGTCATGTGGTGTCATGTGGTGAGCCATCCATCCTGTCGCCCTGAGCCCCTGTCCGGCTGGCCGCCGTCGATTCATGTCGTCCCCTCCTTCCGCATGCGGCATCTTGCCCTGTTGTCCTGTTGCCCCCGCCGACGCGTCGCTCCCCCGCCTTTCCCGCCCGGGCGCGGCCCCCCGCCGCCTCGCCTTCCCCTCCCGTCAGCAGCCAATTCGCCCCCCGCCGGGGAAGTCCAGTCCCGTTCAGGCATTTTTTGCGATTGCGCCCGCTGACCTTGCCGCCGCAGCCATTGGTCAGCGGACCGGCCGCCCTGGGCCGTCGGTGGCGGACCGGGCCTGCGTGGTTGTTTCGCGCGCGGCGGCAGCAGCAGCAGCGGCGGCCTTTCCCCGCCCTCCCTATTGTCTGGCCAGACCCAAGTGCTTATTAAACGTTGCACCAGAGGAAGGTAGGGTGTCAGCGGTGGGTAGCCCTATAAATTGGGAAGTTCTGCTGGTTGTGGTGGAATTGAGACCAGGAAGTGGTGGGATTGTTGTATGTATTGTGTAATCTGTGTTCTTGTTCGGTGTACTTAGCATACGCAGCATACTTAGCAAGGCAAACAGCAAGGCAAACAGCAAGGCAAACAGCAGGCTGAAAAAAGATTTAGCACCAAGCGCAGCTTCTACCCTATTATTCAGAAACCATGTCGAATCCTCCAGTATACACCACGTCCAGCGGATGTCCTGTGTCGGACGCGTTCTCCACACAGAGAATCTCTGTGCAGAACAATGACTACAAGTACAGGCCTCCGGTGGGGCCTTTGTTGATGCAGGACTTCAAGCTGATCGACTCGCTCGCCCACTTTGACAGAGAGAGAATCCCAGAAAGAGTGGTGCACGCCAAGGGTGCCGGGGCCTACGGGTACTTCGAGGTGACGGACGACATCTCGGACCTCTGCTCAGCCAAGTTCTTGGACCAGGTGGGCAAGAAGACGAAGATCTTCACGCGGTTCTCCACGGTGGGGGGCGAGAAGGGCTCGGCAGACACGGCCAGAGACCCCCGGGGCTTTGCCACGAAGTTCTACACCGAGGAGGGCAACCTCGACTTGGTGTACAACAACACGCCCATCTTCTTCATCCGGGACCCCACGAAGTTCCCGCACTTCATCCACACCCAGAAGCGGGACCCGCAGACCAACTTGAAGGACGCCAACATGTTCTGGGACTACCTCACGGCCAACCCGGAGTCGCTCCACCAGGTGATGTACTTGTTCTCGGAGCGAGGCACCCCTGCCTCCTTCAGAACCATGAACGGCTACTCGGGCCACACGTACAAGTGGTACAACGCCAAGGGCGAGTGGAAGTACGTGCAGGTGCACTTCATTGCCAGACAGGGCGTGCACAACTTGAACAACGAGCAGGCCGGCAAGCTGGCCGGCGAGAACCCGGACCACAACACCCAGGACCTCTTTGACGCCATCGAGAAGGGCGACTACCCTGTCTGGGACTGCTACGTCCAGTCGATGACCTTGCAGGAGTCCAAGAAGCTCCCATTCTCCGTCTTCGACTTGACCAAGGTCTGGCCCCACAGCGACTTCCCCTTGAGACACTTTGGCCGCTTTGTTCTCAACGAGAACCCAACCAACTACTTTGCCGAGACCGAGCAGGTGGCCTTCTCGCCTTCCAACACCGTTCCATCCATGCAGCCTTCCAACGACCCGGTCTTGCAGTCCAGACTCTTCTCCTACCCAGACACCCACAGACACAGACTCGGTGCCAACTTCCACCAGATCCCAATCAACTGTCCGCTCAAGTCCGGCTCCTTTGCTCCACAAATCAGAGACGGCCCTATGTGTGTCGACGGCAACTTGGGCAGCACTCCGAACTACGCCGGCGCCTACAACTGCCCAGTCCAGTACACAGCCGCCGCCAAGGTTGCCCCAGACGGAGCCGACGAACAGTACCAGGGCGAGGTTGTTCCTTACCACTGGGAGATCTGCGACTACGACTTTGCCCAGCCAGCCAAGTTCTGGGACGTGTTGGGCAAAACCAACGGCGAACAAGAGGCCCTGGTCCACAACATTGCCGGCCACGTGCAAGCCGCCAAGCCTTTCATCCAGGAGAGAGTGTGCGAATACTTCTCCAAGGCTAATCCAGCCATCGGACAATTGATCAAGGAGGAACTCAAGAAGTTGAGTAAGTTATAGTTAGTCTGTCACCACGACAATGAGGTGACAAGCTTTTTCTTTTTCATGCCTTTTGGTTTTCTCTCTTCCTTCCCTGCTTCCTCCCTCCTCTGTATCTTATCCCTCTCGTATATTCTTTTTTTATTTATATCTGTGTTTCCTAATTTGACGATCTATCATGCACCAGCCCGCTTGACACTGAAATTTCACTCCACACGATAATCTCTGCCCGATCTGGCGCTCTGTCCGAGACCGCTGCCGCCGTGTCCCGATCGGGCAGGTGAGTCAGGCCTGCTGGACCAGCGCCCGGGCGAGGGGGTTCAAGTTTCCGCATCGGGAAGGCGAGTACGAGAGTGATAAGCTTACCTGGAAAAAGCCAGGATCGCTGTCGTTCGGATGGAGGAGCCAGCCGGTGGCAGACCTGCACCCACCGGTGCAGGGAGTATAAAAGGAACAAGTGCCCGGGTGCAGACTTGGTCGGGCTCTTTCTTCGCATCAGGGTCGACGCCAGACACGGAGAGACCAGACACCGCACCCCCCACACACACCCCCCCCCCCCACACACACACGATGGCTTGCAAATGTACACAAAAGGCGATGGAGATGACCAAGGCTAAGGAGAGCTCGTGCTGTTCCTCGAAGACGCAGCAGACCGCTGCCGTGTCAAAGAGCTCCAAGAGCTCCTGCTGCAGCGGCAAGGCAGCCGGCGACAACAAGCCTTCCAGATGCTGTTGCGGGTCCGGATGCGGATGTCCGGGCTGCAACACCACCAAGCTCTAGACACACCAGCGCAGCACACGACAGGCGGCGACCCAGTCCCTGTGGCGTCCCGAGATGACGGGCCTATCTGCGGTGCAGAGCCCGGGCGAAGACATCTATATATCTATATAACTTCCGGGGAGAAGACGGGCGGACGGGCGAAGACGGGCGTCGCCGCTCCCCCATGCATATCGCTGGACTGTGTAACACACCACTAATCGTATCAGAAAGTCGGACTTGGACCGTGCTGTAGCGGGCCGTGTCGTAGCGGACCGTGTCGAAACCCTCTGCATCAGCATCCGTGTTGGCATTGACATCACGGGCAGCTCCCCCACGACACCATACTCTGTCGCAGACTCCTCTTCTCTCACTCCCGCTGACGGTGCACGGGTGTGAGGCAAAACCCGCAAAAGAGGGGAGCAGCGTGCTGACGTCAGCAGACTTCTCTCAGAGGCGTGCGGCCGGCCAGTGGCAGCGAGCGAATTACAAAAACAACGACTTTTTTTCCTCCTCTGGGGCCTCAGAGAGAGAGAGGGGGTGGTTGACCAGAGAGACGGTGGTATTGTTGAGCAGCATTGACGACATAATCATCAAGGTGGGGCTGCAGAACGCACGCAGGCACAGACGCACAGACCTCCATTGAAACTACTCTTCCACACACACACACACGTGCAAAAGATGCTTTCCTTTGTAAGTAGAACATCGTCTGCTGCTGTTAGACAGATCCGTCCCTCCCAACGTTTGTTTGCAACGCTGGACTCCACGCCAAACAGAGTGCACGGCGGGTTGCAGGACAAGGACAGAATTTTCCAGAACCTCTACTTGCAGAACTCGCACAAACACGGCACGGAGCCATGGGACCTGAAGACGGCCCAGAAAATCGGTGACTGGTACAAGACCAAGGAGATTCTGCTGAAGGGAGACAAGTGGATCATCGACGAGATTAAGAAGTCGGGCCTCAGAGGCAGAGGTGGTGCTGGATTCCCATCGGGGTTGAAGTGGTCTTTCATGAATCCTCCGAACTGGGAGCTCAACGTTGGACCAAGATACGTTGCGGTCAACGCCGATGAGGGAGAGCCAGGTACCTGTAAGGACAGAGAGATCATCAGAAAGGAGCCTCACAAGTTGGTTGAAGGGTGTTTGGTTGCCGGTCGTGCGATGAACGCCACCGCCGCATACATCTACATCAGAGGTGAGTTCTACCAGGAGGCTGTCATCCTCCAGCACGCAATCGACGAGGCCTACAAGCACGGCAAGTTGGGCAAGAACGCCTGTGGCTCCGGCTACGACTTCGACGTGTACATCCACAGAGGTATGGGTGCCTACATCTGTGGTGAGGAGACCGCTTTGATCGAATCCATGGAAGGTAAGGCCGGTAAGCCAAGAATGAAGCCTCCTTTCCCAGCCGGTGTGGGTCTGTTCGGTAGACCAACCACCGTCACTAACGTCGAGACCGTCGCCGTCGCCCCAACCATTCTCAGAAGAGGTGGCGACTGGTTCAACTCCTTCGGTAGAGAAAGAAACTCCGGTACCAAGTTGTTCTGTGTCTCCGGCCAGGTCAACGAGCCATGCACGTTTGAAGAAGAAATGTCCGTCCCATTGAAGGAGGTTTTGGAAAAGCACTGTGGCGGTGTCATCGGTGGCTGGGACAACCTCCTGGCCGTCATTCCAGGTGGCTCCTCCACTCCAATCTTGAACGAGGAGACCTGTCAGGACCAGTTGATGGACTACGACGCCCTCAGAAACGTCGGGTCCGGTTTGGGTACTGCCGCCGTCATCGTCATGAACAAGCAGGCCGACGTCATCCGTGGCATACAAAGATTGCTTGCCTTCTACAAGCACGAAACGTGCGGTCAGTGTACCCCATGCAGAGAGGGCTCCACATACATGTCCAAGATGATGGACAGATTGGCAGCCGGCCAAGCCAACGAGAAGGAGATCGACCAGGCGCTCGAGCTCACATACAAGGTCTGTGGTCACTCCATCTGTGCCATGGGTGAAGCCTTCAGTTGGCCATACCAAGGCTTGGTGAAGAACTTCAAGCCGCTCATGTTGGAGAGAATCAAGCAGTACAAGACCGAAAACGGCCTCTTGGACGGCGGCCTCAACAACGGTGGCTGGTACGAAACCGCCGAGATCAAGAACGGTGAGGTCATCAAGAACCCAATGCCAAAGGAAGCCTTCCACGGCCATTGAGCAGCAGAGAACGAACAGACCTAAACCGGGACTCTGTTGGTCGCACCAGCTAGTTGCCCTCCCCCTCTCCACCTTGCATTCATTACAGTTACCCCCAGCCCTCACCCTCATCCCCCACACACACAACTACTGCTTCGATGCCACCCCGAGTTTGTTTCTCCTCTTCCATTCTTCTACTATTCTTCCATTCTTCCATTCTCCCATTCTCATTCTCCTTCTTATTCTTATTCTGATTCTACTATTATTTTTCCACCCACCCAACCCCAACGCTGGCCTTTGTTGCGGCTGAACAGCCGACCCCAGGCCGCCCAAACTATTTATATCTCGTGTATCCCACTTAAGCAAAACGTATTTATTATAAGCTTCTTCACGTCTCGTGTGCCTCGTGGTTCCTCTCGAGTTACCCGATCGGTCTTGCCGAGGAGTCGCGCCGGAACAGAGAACGTGGGCCGGCGTGATTCATTCGTCGCCAGCAGAGCAGGAGAAAAGAGGTCCGTCTCGTCTGCGCAAATGTCAAGTGCACAGAGACACGGCAGAAGGCTACGGAGGATCAGCAGAGCTCTGAAGACCACAAAGCAGAACAGCACCAGACTTGCAACTTGCCATGAAGTGTTCATCAGCGTTACTTGCAGCGTCGCTGCTCCTGAGCGGGGCGATCGCGATATATCCTCCTCCTGCAAACATCGACTACTCGGACGACACTGGGGATTTGGTGACAATCCAGAACAGCAAGCCGGGAGCTGTCGGCGGAGTTGAGTCTGCGACCAACATCGACCTCACAGGCACCAACAGTGCGAAGGGCTATGCCTTGAAGGAGTTTGACGACTCCAAGAAGGACAAGTCCGCTGGCTCGAAAAATACCGGGAAGAATGAATCCAGCGACAGCAACTCCTTGACGTCGCCATTCTACTCGTTCTACCTCTCGATCTCTATGATTGTTGTGAGCGAGATCGGTGACAAGACCTTCTTGATTGCAGCCATCATGGCCATGCGTTATCCGCGTATGGTGGTCTTTTCGGCAGCGTCAAGCGCCTTGATTGTGATGACCATTCTCTCTGGTGCGATTGGCCACGTATTGCCACAGCTCTTGTCGCCAAAGTTGACTCGGGCAGCAGCTGCGGTTTTGTTCCTCGTGTTTGGCGTGAATCTCTTGCGGGAGGGCCTCTCTGTCGAGAAGAATCAGGGTGTCGAAGAGGAGCTGGCGGAGGTGGAGGAGGAGATTGCAGCCGTGGAGCTGTATGAACTCTCATCCAACATCGAGAAGGGGGAGGCCGGCGACGGCACGACTGCTGCAACAGAGCAGCCGGTTGAATGGAAGGCCAAGTTGAAAAACTTGGCATTTTACATCTCGTCTCCGGTGTGGTTCCAGACGTTTTCAATGACATTTTTGGGCGAGTGGGGCGACCGGAGCCAGATCACCACGATTGCTATGGCTGCTGGTGCCGACTGGGAAATGATCATTCTTGGTGGCTGCGTTGGTCACGCCATCTGTACGCTCATTGCGGTTCTCGTGGGACAGTACGTTTCCACCAAGATCAGTTTGAGAACCATTCTTCTCGGTGGCTCATTTGCATTTTTCATCTTCTCAGGCTTATACGGATATGCTGCGGTCTACGAATGATGCTTACTGATTCTACTCCACTCCACTCTATTCTTTCCCATTCAATATATTCGCCAGTGACATGTACGTATATAGATACACTTACCTAGGACTCACCACGAGTTGTCCATAGTTTTTTGCATTTTTTGCCCCCCAAGCAAGTTCCTGTTTCGAGTCACTCACTCTTTGCTCCCGAGAAGCTCCTTTATTCGTTGCGTCAGCACGAGTGAAAGCTTTTTCTGCGTGTCCACACCAGCCTGTGGGTACTTGCTGCTAAGGTATTCTTCAAACTCGGCAATCTGAGTCCTGCCACTAGAGCCGGTCCTTGTCGAGTTCGCAGCAGTGCCGGCCTGCCGCCTCTTGACAGACTTTTTGTTGATCGTCTTTGCAATCTTGCTGTACCTGTCCAACATCCGGGAGGTAATGTCCCTATCCTTGTGCGCACTCGTCTGGGCCTGTTCCTGTGTTCTGCTCTCCTCCTTCTTCGTTATCACGTCCGTGATGTCGAGAATGTCCACCTCGAGCTCGGCATTTCCCTCGAGCTTCTGCAACAACTCCAGCGCAGTGATTGGTCGGTTGGTCTCTGGATCAAAGTTTCTATACTGCATTTGCGTATGCACTCTCTGCCCGGCTTTACGAAACGACGGCACCCTGGCTGAAGACGACAAGACCATCACCCCAGTCTCTTCTGTGGTGAAGAAACAAGGCAAAAATAGCCGATGAAGTTACGTAAGCGCGACATCAGGATTGCTTGCGGGACCGTGACAGCCATAGATGGGTTGGCTGGAGATAGACAGATAGATAGAGGAGGCATTGGTGTTTTGTCTTGGACAGGGAGCCACAAGACGCTGTCTCCACATACAGAGCACATTGAAGGGTATTGCGATGCTGCTAACAAGACTGGGAATAAGAAACCTGAGCACGACGGGCAGATGCCTGGCCGTGAAAGGCCCCAAATTCAACACACAATTGTTTATCGAGGATATCATGAAGGACGGGAAGTTCACCGAGGAGCAGGCTCGGGTGGCGTCGAACATCATCGCAGACTCTATCAATGATGGCATTGAGTTGTATGCGTCAAATTTGATCAGCAGGGAGATCTTGAACAAGATGTCGTACAAACAGAAGGTTGATTTTGCAAAGTTGAAGGGCGAGTTACAGATGATCGACAGGAGTGACTTCAACTCGATCAAGAACGAAAACGAACGGTTGCGGAGTGAGTTGGAGAAGATGCGGATAAAGTTCAAGGAGGAGATCAACAAGAGCTTGAGCAGTGTCAGGTTGGACCTCAGCTTGGAGAAGGGGCGTATCAGAGAGGAGAGCAGCATCTACGACTTGAAGATCAAGGAGACGGACACGCGGATCAACCAGGAGATCTACAACTTGAAGGTGCAGATCGACAGCGTGAAGACGACGGTCTTGCAGTGGTTGTTCGGTGTGTGCGCCGGTACGTTTTCGTTGGTGTTGGCGTACGCCCGGTTGGTGAGCTGAGAAGAGAAGACCAGGTCTTGTGTTTTTTATTACCTTTAATAAAACTCGTGCCAAATAAAAGCTACGTACGTAGATGTGCATGTGTATCTGCAATACATAGGCGACTACTTATAACTCGAAAATCTCCTTCAACTGCTTGATGGTGTCTTCCGGAGAGGTCACGGCGTGGCCGATGGTTCTGTCGTCAGAGTAGATCTCCCAGTCGTTGCCTCCCTGGTAGGCCTTGTCACCGAAGAAATATATCTTGTCGAACTTCTCGTCCTCCAAGTGTCTCAAGCAGTAGGTCTTGTCCCAGCCGGTTGGGAAAACGTCGAAAGAGATCTGGCCACCGATGGAGTACGTCAACTCCAAGTCGCTGAACTTCTCCTTGAGCGCGTTGACCATGTTAACTCTGACCTTGTTTGGCACGTCGTACTTCTCGTACTCGTTTCTCTCCTCCGTGGTACAGTTTCTACCGACGGGCGAGACGTTGATCATCCCCTTTCTGAACTCTATGAAGGTACCCCTTCTGAAAGGAAGGTCCAAGTCGGCCAAGTATCTGAGAATGAATCTCGACAACTCGCTGTACTTCTCTTCGCCAATCCAGTTGATAAACGACTGTGCTGGCAGAGGCTTGCCAAACTTGAAGGCCGTCAACCCGTTTTCCGAGAAACAGTAGTCGAAGTCCTGCAACACATCTGGACCCAACTGCTCCAACTGCTTGGCGAAGTCTGAACCGCCGACGAACCCAATGGCGCACTTCTTACGCAAGTCCTTCAACACTTGCTTCATCTCTGGCGAGACAGTCAATCTTGCTGGGGTAAGGGTTCCATCGACGTCGAAAAGACAGATGGTTTTTGGTTGTTCTCTATCGGCAAAGGACATCTTGTGTAGGGTGAACGACTTGGTTTACAGTGCTTCAAGGATCGCAGGGGGAAAATAAAACTGAGCCAGAAGGAAACAGTAGAGCCGCAAAAGAACAAGAAAGAACAACACCAAGCAGAACAGAGATGAGCACAACAACACGGGAAAACAAACAGCAACACAAACCTTCTCCACGGCCACGGCCTGGCCACGTCCTCGGCCACACTCGAAAACGTTTTCGAAAACGTGTCGTGGCACGCGGAGGAGCCTGCGTGCTGGCGAGGTTCTGTTGTACATCTTCTACTAAATAGTACGCATGTTTCTATATTACGGTACATACGAGGGCCCAACTAGCGGGGCTCACAGGACGTATACATGTGTGCGGGGCCCAAAGCCCGCTCAGCTTCTGTAGTCACCGTTGATGGTAACGTACTCGTGGGAGAGGTCGCAGGTCCAGAACTGGCAGCTGCCATCGGCCGGCTGGCCTAGGTCGACCTCGATCTGGAGGTCTGGGAGCTCTAAGATCTGGCTGGCCCGGGCTTCGTCGACCTGCTGGGGCTCGCCGTCGACAAGCAGCTTCAGCTCGGGGCTGCCGTCGGCAGGAACAAACGAGACGTTGGTCTTCTTCGGGTCGACAGCGACGTCAGCGTAGCCGATGGCGCAGAGGATGCGGCCCCAGTTGGCGTCCTTGCCGAACATGGCGGTCTTGACGAGGGCCGAGTTGGAGATGGAGTTGGCGGCTTTCTTGGCCTCGGCGTCGTCCTTGGCGTTGCGGACGTTGATGGTGATGAACTTGGTGGCGCCCTCTCCGTCGCGGACGACGAGCTTGGCGAGTTCGATGGCAAGCTCCTTGAAGTTCTTCTGGAAAAGGTCGAAGAGCTCGCCGGAGGTCTCGGTGATGAGTTCACCGCCGCTCTCTCCGTTGGCCAGGGAGAGGATTGTGTCGTTGGTCGACATGTCGCCGTCCACGGAGATGCAGTTGAAGGACTTGTCGACGGAGGCCTTCAGCAGGCGGTCGAGGGTTTGCGCCTCGATGGGCGCATCGGTGATGATGAGGCCAAGAAGCGTCGCCATGTTGGGGCAGATCATGCCGGCGCCCTTGACAAGGCCGGAGATCGAGTACGCCACGCCGTTGTGCTCGAAGCTGCGGGAGATGAGTTTCGGGAACGTGTCGGTCGTCATGATCCCCGTAGCGCAGGCAAGCCAGTGCTCGTGGTCGGAGCCGAGCCTGCCGACGACATCGTCGATCCCGGCCCTGATCTTGTCCATCTGGAGTCTCTGGCCAATGACACCGGTCGACATCGTCAGCGTCTTGGCCACGTCAAACGTCTTCCCGCCGTGCAGCGCCCTGTCTGCGTGCTGGATGAGCTCCTTGGCGTCGCTGAGACCGCCCTCCCCCGTGACAGCGTTGGCACACCCGGAGTTGATGACAATTGAGTGGAAGTCTTGGTTGTGCTTCAGCTGCAGGTTCTCCCTGTCCACCAGGACCGGAGCAGCCTTGAACTTGTTCGTCGTGAACACACCGGCAGCACTGCACGGCTTGCTGGAGTAGATCATAGCCAGGTCTGGCTGCCCGTTCTTCTTTACGTGCGACGCCACAGAGCCCACCTGGAACCCCTTAGGGTAGGTCCCCGAAGATGGGATGTACTTCAGCTTCGACTTGGGGATCTCCATCGATCCGTAGAATCTTTTCGCAACTCTGAGCATATCTTGCTGTTATCTGAAGCCGTGGTTGTAATCTATCTCAACACAACCTCCGACGGTGACGTTGCTTTTGAGCCCCAACCAGGGGCGCAGAACGGCACACCCTTTTATACACCTTTCTCTTCCAGCCTTTCTCATTTTTTTCAGCAACTTCGAAAATGACTCTAGCCAGAAGCTAAGCGCGGTTACCGCATTAGGCATCCACGACAGGAAAGCGTGTTGCAACCCTCTTTCTGGCGTCCCGTCTCTCGCATGTTTTGGCGACTTTCCCACAAGAGGAGGAGAAAAGACCAGGCTTTGAAAGTAAATGCTGAGGAGTTAGTCGCTGGCTGGGAGAGAAAGCTGTCAGTTGAGACAGAGAAACAGCGAAACCTCCGAAGAGAATTTACCCCGCGTGTTGATTATGCTGACGGGAAGAAGAAGCCGGTCCAAGAGCAAGAGTGATTCTGGAAAAGAGGAGGGAAGTTCTGATGCTGAAACCAGGGGAGGATTTGTGGAGCCTGTGTTGGCCGAGTGCAACATAGTCACGGGGCAAAAAATGGAGGACCCTCCATCTGTGAAGGTGAAGAAGGAGCTGGGTGCGTTCAAACGAGGAACGAAACACGTTGCAGAGACCCCTGCAGTGGCCGAACGTATGGTCCAGTACAGGAACAGTCTAAAATCATCCAAAGAGATTGAAAAATCCACCAACTTGAGTGAAATTCGAACGAGTTTGAAAAGGGAGCACGACGAAAACACCGACGAGCCCTACGACACGAGAAAAATCCGCAAGAACTCGGCTAAGACGGAGAAGAAGTTGGGAAGGAAGGGCGACGTCAACACTACCAAGACGAAATCCTTCCTTTCGGCACCCAAGGACGTGAGAATGGGGAAGGAACATGGCATTGACGCAGAGTCAGAGGCTACGCCGCCAGTGCAGCCGGATTCTCCGGCTCTGAATAACGATTACTGCTCCTGCTGCGGGATGACGGGGATGTTTTTATGCTGCGAATCATGTCCCAAGTCATACCACTTCCAGTGTATTAATCCACCGGTCGACTCCAACAACCTACCCGACTCCTGGTTCTGTCGAGAGTGCACAAAGAAGAAGGTTCTCGAAGAAGAGGGTAGAAACGGTGGCAGCAAGTCGATAATGCTCAACGTGGGTGTTTACTCCAAATTGTTTGACAACATAGTGTTCCAGGATCCAATCTCTTTCCAGTTACCGAAAGAGATCATTGAGTCTTTTCAGGGCATATCGATAGACCGATTATGTGACTACAACGACGAATCGTTCAAACCGACGAAAACGTACAAGCAGCTGGTGAAAGAGTTTGATGACCCTCTCCACGGAATATACGACAAAAATAACAACCCGCTGTTTTGCTACTACTGTGGTGAAAGTGGTGTCAAGAAGGAGTTAATAAATTGTGACTACTGCCCATTGACATGGCATCTAGATTGCTTGGATCCGCCTATCACGAGCGTGAAGAAGCTAGGCTCCAAGTGGAAGTGCCCGAACCACGTGGATGACCTAGAAAAGCCTATCAGGAGGTTTAAGGATCAACAGATCGTCCAAGTATCTAACATCAAGAGCTTCGAAAACTCCGGAAAACTACCGGTGAACTCGAATATAGAAATAATAAATATTGAAGATAAACTCCAAGCATTAAAGGACCAGATGAAACTCTTGCATGACAATAACAACTCCAGTCTGAAGTTCAGTAACTTGACTTTTCAAATCAACGAAGAAGACATTATACTCAATTTCATAAATGCAAACAAAATACGGAAACTCAACGAGAACGATGAGAATTTCCAAACCTTAATGAACTTGCAGCCCAATTTGAAAGACTACGTTCTAAGTTTGAGTCAGTTGAGTAAGAAATCTCTACTTGATAACGAGTTCAGGTTGCTAAACTTGCAACATCTTTTGAAAGTCTCAGATGAAGAGCTTAAGGTGGAAAAGAAAGATTTCACGGATGAAGAAATCAAGGAGTTCCAGATTATCAAGCGGTTGATTCAACAGAAGGGCAAAGAGAAATTAATGAAGTTTTTGAACTTTTCTTCGTGATTCTTGACCTGTATAACATTTTATATAATTTATTCGAATATACCAAAACCTATTTACCTCCTAGTTCAATATCTTCGGCCTGATCAAAAAAGGTGTCCCGTAATTCGATCCATCTCGCCATATAGGTACCTAGAATCATCATCACGCTCACGCTAACCAGCTGCAACAACCACCAGTAGACGCTTTTTGGAAATCCGGATGCAAACGACACAACCAGAAAGTTGATGAAATGAATAGTGAGAGCAAAATCCCATACCAACTTCGAACGCCCTATGAAGAAAGTTATCAAGATTACCGAAAATAGGGTATTCAACAGCCATAGGAACATCAAGGTTAATCCAAAGCTGTTTTCAACTGAAATATTCGACCACGTATAGATCCAGTCAATATGGAAATCCCATCCTAACAACTTGGCTGTTATGAAGAAGACTATCAGTGCAGTGAAATAGTAAAATATCTGTAACAATATTATCTGGGCTGCAAGCTTGAATGTGAGGTTGAAAGAGGTGGAGGAGTCCGTGCCGGAAATACTTGTATACCTTGAGTGTAATGAAGAAAACCAAACCATCTTGATCTTTGTTAGCGACCCTTCTTTCCTTTCCCATCAAGCATTTGAAAGGTCGTAGACGCAAAACGAGATGTCCATATGGAACAGGGAATCATTACATGTTGAGGATTCTTTACACCGACCCATAAAAGAAATGATTACGTAACTACAATAGAAACGCGTCTTTTTTGTTTTGATAGTCAACTTTGAATAGTTCTCATGGTCGGCTCTGCAGTTTTAGTCTCAATCTTATACAATTCAACTGCTTGGGTTGGTAAATCGGTGTACTCAGTAGACGTCAAATATTTATTATCTCAAATGTCACAGCGGTTGGCTTTTGCGGAAGAAATTATTTCCACAGCTGCGCAGCCCATCCCTACCAAAGAGCTACTGACACGTTTAAACGATTTACACAAAGAACTCTCTACTTTAGAGCAGGATCACGTTGATTTAATATCTCTTGAGCAAGTAAAAGATGACCTAAATAATAAGAAACTATTGAAGAACACAAACAAAGGAGTACAGATATATGTTTGTTGCTGTTTGGCGGATATTTTGAGACTATACGCACCTGATGCGCCTTATGATGAAGTCAGTCTTACAAGCATTTTCAAGTTGTTTCTTTTACAATTTTCCAATTTGGATGATCCAGAATCTCCATTTTACGAAGACTATGTGTATTTAATAGAGCGAGTGGCAGAAGTGAAGTTGATTGCGTTGATGACGGATTTGTCAAGTAAGGACAAAATGATTACACAGATTTTTGAGAACTTTTACGCTTTATCAGCCAATAAATCCTTCGACAACGACTCGTTGCAACAGATATTGATAGATATTTTGAATGAAGTTATAAGCGAAGTGAGTCAGCTTAATCTGAAGGTTCTCAAGCTAATCTTAAACAAGTTTTTGACTAATTCCAAAAATCTAAGAAATCAATCAAACATCAAGGTGCCCGGATTTGACATCAGTCTTGCATTATGTGAGATGAACTCAGACAAGCTATCAAGATTTGTCACCTTCTTTTTTTCTGAAATGATATTGGAGGCCACAAAGGATAATGGAAGTGATTTGGATTTGGACAGTGAAGATGATGATTCCGATGATGCTTCTGGCAAAAAATTGGCTAACTTTGATATGATACAAATGACAAAGATTCATAACCTTGCTGTAGAGTTGTGGAGATATGTTCCTGAAATCTTGACTTCTGTGTTGGGGTTGTTAGACAATGAACTAGAAGCTGATGACGTGAGGATAAGAATGATAGCAACAAGTACCGTGAGTAAGATACTAGCACTCCAGCCATCGAGAGTCAATTTCCCTACTGTTTATCTTTCACCATACATGAACTGGCTCAAAAAGCCTTTAGACATATCTGTTGAAATTAGGATCTGCTGGCTAGGCGGATTAGTTGACATTTTGGAGTATCGAAACGATATTACTTCGGATGTCGTAAATGGCCTTCTGAAAACCATGATCGACTCAAATGATAAGGTTAGGCTGAATACCATAATGAGCCTATCTAAGCTCAAACCTTCAACATTTTTACAGAGTGTTGTTAACGGAACTTTGACTGACACATTATTCAAGTTACTACGAGAAAAGAGTGTTCCTATCAGAGATGAAGTGTTACGGTTACTAGCAGCATTGTATAACTATTCAACAGGTTATGACCAATACATTAAGCTTGAGTTCATACGGAAAATTCCTGATAATATACTGAAGCTGGTTTATATCAATGATAATTTGATCAATTCTGAGGTAGACTTAGCCCTTTTTGAAAAGCTAGTACCGTTCAATTCAGATTCTTCAGTTCGAGTAAACCGACTCTTAAGAATGCTTTCCTTGTTGTCCGAAAAGTCCAAAGCAGCGTTTTTTGCTATCATCAAAAGACAAACACAATTTTCACAAGTTATACAACAAATACTTGTCTTATTGGATGATGAAACCGGTGATGAAGATGTAGAAGAACAAATAAATAATGCTATCAAATGGCTATCAAAATCTTTCCCTGCTTCACACAACTCTGAGTTTTGTCTTCATCACTTTATCGAGCTCAAAAATAAAAGGTTTTTGCGGCTATTAGGACTATGCTCAATGGAGACATCAGACTATGATACGATTGTGAATAGTATGAAAGAATTGCTGAACCGAATTAAAGATCCAAAATATTTTGATAATGCAATTGATAAAAATGCGTTGAATTTGAATGATATGTATGATACAATGAAACTTTTATTATTGAGATGTTCCAATATCTTCTATAATGTTAGCAACCTCACTTGTTTGGTTGATATAAACAACGATCAGTCAAATGATTTGAACCAGATGTCTAAGGTAGCAATCAATGGAATTTCTGAGGTTTGCTCAAACGTATTGGAATCACATGTTATTTCCCTTATTGATGCCATTGTTTCGAGAGTAGGGACAATAAGTTTAGACGAATCAAGACTAACCAATGATTGTTGGAAGGATTTGAAGATAATTTTCAACTTTACTACCCAGAACAAGATAGAGACAAAGTTCAGCTCAAAATTCTATGATACCTTATATGACTTATCCCTGTGTGGAACTGTTCTAGAAGCCAAGTACTCAATCAAGATAATAAACAACGCCTCTGGTAGTACTAAAGGAAGACTTTTTACTGGGCTAGTACATAAGATTTGGCCGCTGAAACAGAACTCTCCTAACTTCAATACTCATTTGTCGACTTTGGCTACATTATTTTCATGTGATTCTATATCAGTTGATAGAATTAAAGAAGATTTGAGTAAGTTTTTGGCAAGCGAAGTCTTACTAAAGAATCGCAATAAAGAGATTCCTGCACCAGATTCTGAAGTAAACTCTGAAATTGATGAGAGGCAAACTTGGATAACTGATGAAGAGTTGTATTACAGCAAAGAGAATGCGGAATGTCTCTCCAAAATATTATCAATGAAACTATTAACTAACTGGCTTCTCAATATAAAGGATACTGTTTCTGATGACATTGAATTAATATCCAAACCAATTCTAAGTATGCTATCTTCATACATTAACAGAGGAGGAGAAATCGTAGCAACTGAAGATACACCTGTGAGTTTCTGTTCAAGGCTACGGCTACATGCCGGAATTCAACTTCTAAAAATTGATCAAGTTCCTGCGTATGATGATTTTATTGACCAGCGTAGAATTAACAGATTAATACTTTTAATACAAGACGTAGAAAGTCAAGTGAGATATCTTTTTTTGAACAAGTTGAAGAAACGGCTAACACAAAATAAAATCTCAAGGAGGTTTCTAGCACTCATTTTCTTTATTGCTCACGAGCCAGATTCATCTTTGCGTTCGGATACAACAACATGGATCAGAGCATCATTTGCCAAGCAAAACACAAAAGCAAATAGTAAGAACTCGTTGGTTTTTGAAAAATCTTACATTAGGTTGCTTTACATGCTCTCTACTCATCCAGAATTCAGGGAACTTTATATGGCTTACAAAGGTAAGGAGAATAATGCAGATGTTGAGAATACCGTGATAGGTAGTGAACCTAACAGCGAAAGTGAGTCTGAGCTTCTCAGGAAGTTTAAAGAAGTTTCAACATTTGCTTTGACATATATTGTTTTCTCGTTATCTTTAATTATGACCTCTGATAACATTTCGTTGCTATATTACTTGAGCCAAAGGATAAAACAATTTGAGGCCAATAGCAAAATTGAAGGTGCTGATTTATATCCCGATAGTCTTTACCTGATTTCTGAATTTTCACAGGCAGCAATCAACTTTATTGGGAAAATAAGGAATTGGAATATTTCAATTTGGCCTGGCAAATTGATCTTACCTGCTGACCTTTTTACGAAACTCGACAATGAAAGTGCTAACAATATTATTAGAACAACTTATATCTTAGACGGACTCTCAGACTCTGTTAATGAGATCATTCGAAACAGGTGGAGAAACGAACAGGGCGTCAATTTCAGGAAGTCAAAAAAGAAAGATGTTGCTAGAATAATCTCTCCTGAGCCAGAAAATCCGGAGTCTAGAAGCATTGGCAAAAAATCTTTGAAGAGAGTAAGAAACCATTCAGAGGAAGACAATAACTCAAGTGATGAGTATGAAGGTCCGAAGACAAACAAAACAAAGGAAAATTTAGCTACTAACAGGATCAGAAGAAGTAGACGTGGGAGAAGAGTGAACTACAATGAAGATAATTGAACCTATTGTATAGTGAAAGAGTTGTTAAAAAATTTTATTAAGTATAATTATACAGTGTATATATATGGTTTAATCACTCATGATATCTCATCTGTGTTATCACTAATATTTGTCCAGGAAGCGACGTAACAGGCGAAGGAATTAGCAGCTTAAGCTTACCTGTTCCGTCGTCGCAACCGGAAACATAACAATACCCTAGCACACTTTTGGAGGTGACGTGTTTACTCAAATAGATAAGCTTTTCATCGTCGGCGATTTTGTTTGAAAGCATCTTTCCAAAATCCACATCCTTACTGTCAATAATTGCAAGTACAACATTCATAAGGTCAGTCTCCTTTGGTTCTTTTACGAGTTTGAACATTTTGTGATATTTCCAGCTTCTTTTAGTTGCAGGTCTGACGGGCTTTTTTGTAGCTTCTGAGCTAGGATCGTAATCTTCATCGTTTTCAACCAACGCTGGTGTATAGTTATCATCAGCATCATCCTCAGCATCGCCAGCCATAAAGTCCAAAAACGCCATCTCATTCTCTTGCTCATTTGGTCGTATGAAAATGAAATCTTTGATTGAGCCATGGAATGTATATGGATTAAGTTGTGCACGTTCCACACCATAAAAGTACTGCTTTATTGATCTCTGCTGCAAATCCCTTTCATATTTTGGTTCCTTGTCGACACATCCACTTGAACGTGGAATCTTAATCATTTTAAAATTATCACTACTTAGTGTTAACTTTTTACGTAAATCAACAAGCAAACGTTCATTACCAACAACCAAAAGCAAGTTTACCTGAAACGAATCTACGATATGCTGGATGAGCTTCCAATCGGAAACGTTCAGGGGTGGTGTGTCAACGATCACAGTACCAGAGTCAGAAGGTGAGGCTGAAACTTTCAAGTCAACTTCAGCTGAAAGTTCAGAGATTAAACATTTATAAAGTTCTAAATTTTCAGTGAAATTTTCAAGCCCAAAGTTTTTGACAATTGGTATCTGTGATCTGTATATACCAGTACCGGGCCCTGTTGTTGAGCTCTCGCCAAAGGTGAAGGTTTCCACGTCAAGCAAGTCGTACACTTTTGCAGCTGTTAACTGTGATGATATTGCAAAATGTGGCAAACGTGTATCAATATTGACCAAAAGGGGCAGTTTTTCTGATGTTTTCAACGCATAGGAAGCTAATGTACGTGCCAATGTGGTCTTCCCTGCATCTTTTGGCCCCACTATCAATATACGTGGTGCCTTGCCATTCTGTGAGAAATTTTCAATAGCTAAATGGAGGTTTAAAACTTGCTTCAGGATAGTCTCTTCGGAAATGTACTCCGAATCTGGGGGAGAAGAAGCAGTGTAGGACAAAGTACAGCCCTGAAAGGTTGAAACTGCAAATTTTAGTGAGTCTTTGAATATGTATGTAATGTTTGGTGATAACTCTGTTCCAAAAATCTCAGCGTTTCCTGATTCAAGTTTTAATGACATAGATGAACTTTTTGGGGTCTCTACTCTCCACTCGTTGAAGGGTGGAATCTCCACCGTTGTCCTTGAAGGCCCAAAGTCCATTGCTAAAGCGTTTTGAGTATAGTGTCTAGTCTCTCAGTATATGGCCATAGCCGGTCGGGTAAAACCAGAAAGGAAGAGTGGAGAAAACATGTCGGAAAGAACTCACGAAGAAATTTGACGGCTGGTAGGAAGCCGCTTTGTGCGATACACACTTTCCGAGATGTGTGCATAAGCTCACTTGGGGTGAAGGAATTACCAGAGTCTCCTCAAATTCTTGGATATCTGTCAATTGCGGTATCAATAAGCAATACAGGACGAAGCCGTAATATAATGGAGGAACAAGGTACCTCTGAGCAGAGAAAATCCGCTTTGGATAGAATCAAGGAACAAAGGGCAGCCCTGAAGAATTTCTACAAGTTGAAGGAAGAAAATGAGAAGGAGGACAAGCAAGCTGAGAGTGATGGAGAATTTGGTGGGTCGAAGATACCGCTGATACATAAAAACTCTTCTTCTTTCTCTATAGGAGGGATTGATCCATCATCCATTGACGATATGGAGGATTTCATCGCCAACGAGTCGTATATGAACATCCTGAAGGTTGAAAACAGAGTTTTGGATAAACTCAACTCGGCCAAAAGTGAAATAAAATCTACGATATACAACAACTACTACGAATTGATCAAGATAAACAATGTTTTGGGGGATCTACTAAGGCCTAATGATTCAGAGGTGTATTCTGACACTATAACAGACAATCTGAATACCATTCGAGACAACATGCAAAAAATCAAGTCACTAGATATCGACATATTTGGTGACCTAGAGGACCAACAAGCGCGAAAGAACAATGAAACGGCCAAGTGAATGGTACTGTGGTTAGAGGTAATCATAAAAGTTTTGTACAACGCTAGTTATAAAGTCTACAGCTTTCTTAGATTTCTAGTAAATAGTCAACATTCAACTCTCTCTGTTTCAAACCTTCAAAAACAACTTTCATCGTTTGAAGACTCGACATGAAAACTTCACCATTTCTTTCGTAGTCGACCAACGCCAATTGTACGGATCTTTTGAGCTCTGCCATATATTCGTTAACCCACTCAATGATCCTGACGCTAGAGATACCAGTTTTAGCTCCCTTTTTATCAGCTGGGTCACTTTTTTGGGGGGTGAATAGCATATTCCATTCATCCCACACTCTTGATACGAATCCCATATAGACCAAGGATAACTCACGAACATATGCCGTAATGAGTTCACCGGTAACCCCGCCAATAGAATCCAGGTTAACGTTGCTGACATCCTCGGTCTCATTTTCAGCCTCGGGATCTGGTGTGTTACTCATACTCGTCGGACGGCTCGTTAATCCGGTTATTGCTCGGGAACTACTTGATCTACTCAAACCTCTGTCATTACCGAGTAAGCCCTTTGGATTTGTGCTAGATAATTCATGAGAACTGTTGCCACTATATCCCCCTCCAACTCTAACCATTCCAACACAATCTACCAACTCTCTTCCCCGTGATTCTAAATAAATTTCTGCAGCCTCCTTCTCTCTTTTCAAGATTTTAAAAATATCAATGTACTCTTTCAAGGAGTCTAAACTAGAAGAACTGGAAGATATTTCATCCAGTAGCGCATCAACTAGTTGATCTGTGATATTCTTCAAACTTGACATTTTTATGTTATAGGTGAAGTGGATTTGCTGAGTTAAAACACTCACCTGCGAGCCATTCTTGCTATTCGTAGTCAAAGTTTTTGAGCTCAGCAATGACTTCGGAATTCCAACTGTAGTGGCAATTTGTGCCAGATGTCGGAGCTCATCATCTAGCCTAGTTAGATACCCAACACACTCATCATACCTTTGTAGTCCTAGTTCCAATGAAGCTGATGTCAGTAAATCGTCGATTGCCGAAACACAAGCATTTAGCTCAGGTTCCGCCTGTTTTTCCAATAGAGAGTTTGAATTCTGTGATATTCCTGCCATACTCACATGCCTTGAATCCGGTTTATTGTTCAAACCAGCCAAATTGAGTTTGGAAATCGAGTCTCTCATGCTTCTTCTTTTCATGGAAGACATTTCTGCTCTGGCCTGCTGAACAGCGCTAAAAACACGAGTAAATTCGGTGGACAAGTCTGTTTGAAACAAAAAGGTTTGGTTTCCGTCTATTGTTTTGATACACAGAGTCGAGTCTGCCGCTGATTCAGAATCACTGGAGCTTGGGTTGGCACCTTTTGAGAAAGAGTGTGAAGAGTTGTGAGACAACACTTCATTCAATTCTTTAATTTCAGAGCATTTCTGAACCGTAATCTTGTCAATCATCCACAAGTGTGTGGCAATATTTCTGCTAGACTTTGACTTTTTGCTGTTGGAGCCAGATTTACCGCCATTCAGGTATTTAGATGAGTCTCTAACACGAGAAGCAACAAGTATAGAATCATTCATCACAACTATGTGAACTGGGCGAACAGGGTTGCATGTGATTGAATTTAATTCCCCCCAACGACGTGACTCAATTATAATGTGTCTGCTTGGAAGAGGAGGCAATAAGTCGTGAGCACGATCTATATTGGCGTAGAGCTTTTTCATAGCATTTGACCACTTATTTTGGAGCAGCATAACAGACTGACGATTTAGTTTTGAGTTTGGAACGTCAAGTTGATTGTTGCCTTCAGCAGGTCCAGCACTGCTTGTGCCTGCCTTATCCTGGTATTCGTGTGCTTCTTCTAGTTGTTGCGATAATATATCGGTTAAATCGTTAACCTTAGGCTTCAGAGAAAGAAGAACTTCATGAGTCTGTCTAAATGCCTCGCTCACCGCAAGCACTTGGCTCGTAGATTCGGAGAGAGAATACTTTACCGCATCATCGTTTGCAACGTTCAAAGTCTCCATATAAGTTGAAAAATCGTCAATTCTAGCGGCATTGGCGTCGCCCAACTTTATTTGGACGTATCTGGAAGCGTCAAAGTTGTCAGTTGTGAGTTCGCTCAACAATTCATGATGTGCTTTTTGGGGACTACGGCCGTTGTTGTCGATATTGGATATTTGGCTGTAGTTGTTTTGTTGAATTGCAGACAACGGAGGATGATGCCCGTCATCATTCGCAGTTGCAGAAAAGGTCTCTGATGCATTAGTAAAAGACGACTGGAGTATCTGCGATTGCGCATTGTAGGGCAACGCAGGAGCACCGTATGTATTATACGCATCCAAGGGAGGCTGCGATAGCTTCATCGAAAATCTCCTTCTGGTTGTCATAGTTGTTCCGTTCGTGGCATTTGAGTGTATCGATTCAGCGCTTGTCATCATATTTGGGTGCAGCACTGTAGTGTTATTACTCCGATTCCCATAGTCATTGACATTTAACGAGCTGTTGGTTGCGTTGTAGCTATAGCTGGCACCAGAGGTGTTGTAGCCACCTGGTGGGTATTGCCCATTCCCACTCCCGTATACACTTCCGTTTCCGTTTCCGTTTCCGGGTAGTCCATTTTGCAAAGGAACGGCACTGATACCGTTTTTATTCCATTGGCTCCTGGAAAACCTCCTGTTCAAATCAGCCATTGCAACTTAAACTGCAAAAAAAACAAACTATACGAGCTTTGCTTGATGATTTGTCAAGGAAACCCTGCGATTTAATCATTTACTGATCTACTTGCTGTCGAAGTATACGCACACATAAAGGAAACAAACCAAATGCTACAATCCGAGCCCGATGGCCGATGTTCAGACGGGTCGGCGCGGGGACGAAAAATATAGAATGGCTCCAAAGGTGCTAAACAGCTGGCAAATTGTTAAGTTTCATTATCGTGTATCTCTAATTTAGTTTCGTATATACATAAGCGATCGCCATGGGAGTCCAATCAGCTGAACCCGTACAGCCAGGGATCATCCTTGATTTCCTGCATGGTTGGCCTTCTGGTGATATCCGTGACAAGGATCTTGCGGATCAACTCGAGACATGCCGGACTGACGTCGGAGTACTGTGGGAACTTCACTTCACCATCGAGAATCTCGTCGACACTGCAGAAAGGATTCTCCTTGAAGATCAATGTGTATAGTAAAATCCCCATAGCCCATACATCTTGCGATTTTCCCTCGTACGGCTGACCATTCAAAACTTCCGGAGCAGCGTAATCAATGGTACCGACAAAAACCCCGAATGGTCCGTCTTTCACCCAGGCAGCACTGCCGAAGTCTATCAACTTGACAAAGTAGTCTTTGTCGACAATTATGTTCTCGTCTTTGATGTCCCTATGTACAATCCCTCTAGAGTGCATATGGGTGAGCGCTGAAACCACCTGGTAGTAAATGTATTTGGCCTCGTATTCTGTCATGTCTTTTTTCACTTCGATTATGTCGTATAAGTCAACGGCACCAGAACCCTGCGATCCATGCTGTAAAGTTTCCAAATAGTAGCAATTATCATCCTCAAAATAGTCAATTATACGCATGATGTTAGCATGCGGGTGTTTGTTTAACGCATATAAAATCTGAATCTCACTTGGTACTGTGCCCAGCTGTCTATCACGCACCCAAGTATCAACCAAGATACGTTCTTTGAAAATTGCTTTCAAGCAGTCTTTGTATAAGTGATCTTTCTTATATTGGGCAAACACAACCTTACCATAGGCGCCCTGGCCCAAATTCTTCAAGACCTTGAAGTCACTATATTTTTTAATCCTCTTTTCAGCCCCAATGACCTTTGGGAAATAAGGAGAGTTTTTCTTCAAAAATGCTAGTTCTTCTTCCTCCTGTAAAAGATGCTCTGCACAAGTCATCTGCGAAGACATGCCAAATGTCACCGGTTTGACACTATCAGGTGATAAAATAGTGGAATTTTGTACCGGGGAATGTTCACCAGAGTTGCTGCTTACGCTAGATGAACCTTGAGCAAGTTTAGTTAGTGACTTCAGCTTATTTGCTTTCGGAGTACTAGGAGATAATGAACCGGATTGGTTGATTGTGTGCGCACTGCTGGACCTACTCATACTTGTGGAGTTAGAACCTTGAGAATCCGTATCTAGGTGATAATGTGTATCCAATAATTTTAGCTGTGAAGGGATACCATTTGAGTCCATGGAGTCATCGTTACTGTGATTAGTTTCAGCAGTTCCGGTATGGTCATCAGTGATTAGCGGAGCTGTTATGGTTGCCGTTGGCGTGGTGGTGTCGTTTGCCTTTGTTGAATATGATCTACCGAATGTAATCCAAATTACATACATGTTGGTATTTGCTACGTGGAGTTGAATATCAACAGTGATGGTATTACCATCATTATGACACCCTCTAATACCTGCACAACGTAGAAACATTAGCTCTTTCTCCTCTTCTGTCGAACATTGAGACCAGGAATATAGTTTCCTAAAATAATGTTCAGGTAAAACCAAGCCTTCTTGATAATTTAAGTTTGGATTTTCCTTTAGTGCAAGTTTTATGAGATTTGTAAAATCAGGTAAAATGATATCTATCGATTGATTTTTTAAATCGGCAGTACCAAATAAGTTTTTAGCTATTGCCTCGTTGAAGCTTTCTATTCGGTAATTTTTTGAAGAAATTACTATTGACCCTGCAATATATGGCAGGGAGTGCAAGTTGAGCCTCACCAAAGATCTGAGATCCTTAGAATCTTCATTTGCAACATCGATATCCAGAGATTCACTTGTGATAGCGCAAGGAACGAATTTACCGTTCTCTCGCTTTAAAGTGAAATATCTGATTTTGTTGATTGTTTTTGAATCATGAGAACTTGTGATATCCTCATCACTGAAAAACCCTTCTGAACTATTCTTTAGTACTGAAGAAAGTGATGGTAAAATAGATGACAATTCGGCAGCTTTCAAATCTTTCTCATACAAAGACTTATTTTGCTTTGAGACATCTCCTATGATAAAATCTGAGCCGAAACTATGCCGTTTCTCAATCACCATATCAATTGTCTCACAAACAACCTGCTCGAAAATCAAAATAATCAAATTGCTTTTCCTTTTAGCCCACACCGAAGTCCATGCTAAACTTTGGTTATCTCTTTTGACCGCGATGATCTCACCAGAAAACACCAGAGAAGTATTCCGGTAAAGCCGATTGATAACTAGATCTCTTGATCTTGGGGCAATCAGGTCTAGTAATTTCATTTTTCTTAAAGAAGATTTAGAAAAACCGAACATCAATAAACCAAGATCATTTGCATTTAGTAGATCCCAAGGTGATTCTGTGGAAACTGTGAAGACTGCCTTGGGAGATTTTGTCTTGGCATTTGAGGATGCGTGAAACTGACGTGATGAGTTATTAATGAGGTTTTTTGTGGGATCAAGGTTTGTTATATTTCCATTTGACATACCAGATAGACCCAAAGTGCTATTAGATGATTTCATTATTGGGAGACCTGCCAATGTTTGAGTGGAGTTTTGTTCTATGAAAGGGGTGGCAAGAGCATGCAAGATTTTGATCTTAAGGATGTTTTTCCGACTACTGTCATCCGTTGAATTGAATAGTGAGAGATTATGTAAATTCAGCACTTTGTCTTTGATATCGCTCGAAAGCTCCAAACCATGTTTTTCGAAGCTATCTAACAAGTTTAGTATTTCATGTAAGTCTTTCATGATCATACTATTCAGACTTATAGAAGTAGTTGACGTGATAGATGATACTGAGTTCGACCTAGTGTTGTCGTTAGCAAAGGGGGGATTGATGGGTGTTATTACCAATGAGTCTGTTAAATTCGATTTCACAGAGTCTACCGATGTCGACAATGGAGATGCAGCTGATGCTTTGCTATTACTGCTATTACTCAAAATGCTGTTGTTTTTTTCTGAAGAGATGGCACTCTGGATCAACGTTTGCAACGTTGAGCTTGAAACGTTTTTCTCTATCCTCAAATAGTCTTTGAATTTGGACGCATCTAGATTTGCCCCAGCCACAGACTTCGGGTTGTCGATATGAATGTTGTAGTCCGGAAATGACTCTAACGAGGTGTTTAACCAATCGGGGTTTTCCAAGAGGATTTCCAATGATCTTTTGAGAACGTTCAAACGCATAGTTAGCGAATTGATTGACACTGGGGTATAGGAATAGGATAGTGTCGACTCAGTGGTGAACTTCAGAAGGTCGTCTTCCAGAGAGGCATTTGTCGGAAGCTGGACATCACAGTCTTTAGTCGGGATCGAAGGGTTTGAGGCGGCTTTCGATGGCAATATCTTCATGTGGAGAGCCGGGTGAGCGATTGTGTTTCTCGCAGGGAGGGAGTCAGAGTGCTGGATGGGGACGATGTCGGACATCGACGCACCGTTGGATTCCGACCCGGTGTTCTCCAGACTGTCGCACGAATCCGAGTTGTTGTCCAAAAGGTAGAACTTGCTTCTCGAGTTGCTGTTCAGGTTGTGGAACGAGTCGTTCTGGTGATTCATGAAATTGTGGAATGCATTCTGCCGCAGCGAGCTCACGGACGACACTCCGCTGTGAGTGCCGGTCCGGGATGCCTCCAGCTTGCTGCCGCCACCGGCACCATTGTCACTGCTGCCGCCGGCCTCGTCGTTGCTTGCCGAACCGCTGTCATTGGTGCTGTTGTTGACCGTTGCCGTTGCCGTTGCCGTTGCCAAATCAGCTGTATTTTTCTTTGTTGGGGCTAGCACGGAATTGCTGGAGTTTTTGGAGACGCTGCGAGAGGGCGGGGTATATGGCATCTCAAGCAGGTAGCACTAGCGTCTGGCTGTAGGGACACAGTGGTGTTTAGTCGCCCACAGAGCACCACAAGAACCAAACAGACTCCCTATCGAAGCCTATATCGTCTCTTGCTGTCCCGGGCTCTTTGCTCTCCCAGCAGACCAGAAAGGAAAACAGGAGAGGAAAAAGACCATTGCGTAATTGCGCGGCTGCTTACGTAGTCGGATTCGGAGCCTTTGGGAGGAAATGGCAGAGATCACCAGAATAGAGATAAGGGGTTACAAGAAGGAGAAAGAGGGTCGGGGGAGAAAGCTGGAAGCTGGGACCACAAAATGTAATGACACAGGACTGAAGACTTTTATAAACAGTGCTAGTGGGTGTCCAAATTTGAAAAAGCAGCCGAAATTAGCTTTACAGAACGTGTTTTGTGCGCTTGTGCGTTGGTACTTTGGACCTGTGTATGGTCAAAAGTTGAGAAACGGTTCCCTCCAATGGGTTTTGGAGAGGCCATAGGACAAACAACCTACAGGGTGATATGGAAATGTAAAGCTGCAAAACATGTTTTGCAGATAGAGCTAGATAGTTGGTTAGATAAGGGAGCTAGATCAACTTCTTGGCGGCAAGTAGCTCAGCAATCAAGATACCGGAACCGGCAGCACCGATGATGGTGTTGTGGGAGAGGATGACCATCTTGTAGTCAAATATTGGGTCTGGTCTGATTCTGCCGACGGAGACACCGTAGCCGGCGTCTCTGTTTCTGTCCAAACGGGGCTGTGGTCTGTCTGGCTGTTCGAGGACGTGGATGGCGTGCTCTGGGGCCGAGTGACAGCCCAGGAGCTTGGCCTCGCAGACGTAGTCACGAAGACACTGCTTGACCTGCTCGAGGGAAGGCTCTGGTCTGTTTCTGAACTTGAAGGAGACACACTCGGTGTGGCCGTCGGAGACGGCGACTCTGTTGCACTGTGCGGAGACGAGGAGGTCGTCGTCAAGCTGGAACTCGGTGGCGTCCTCGTTGAGCCCGCCGAGGATCTTCTTGGCCTCCCACTCGATCTTGTCTTCCTCGCCGGAGATGTAGGGGACGATGTTGTCCAAGATGTCGATGCCTGGGACGCCGGGGGAGAAGCCTGCGCCGGAGATGGCCTGCAGGGTGGTGGTGGAGACAAACTCGAGCGGGCCAAACTGGTCGACAAGCGGCTTCAACGGAGCCACAAGGCCGGCGGTGGAGCAGTTGGAGATGCAGATGAGGTACCCCTGCTTGCAGTCTGCCTTTGCAACCCTGTTTTCGATCATCTTGAGGTGCTCCGAGTTGGCGATCGGCACAATCAAGGGGACGTTCGGGTCTCTTCTGTAGTTCTTGGCATTAGAGATGACCACCAGGCCGCTCTCCACAAGCTCCTTTTCTATCGGCCCGGCCACGTCCGCATCGAGGCCCGAGAACACCACGTCACAGTCCTTGAACGCCTCTGCCTTGCACTCCGACACCACAAGGCCCTCGACCTGTGCAGGCATCAAGTCGGTCTGCTTCCACGTGCACGCATCGACGTACTTCTTGCCTGCCGAACGGGCGGACGCTCCGATCGCCACGAGCTCGAACTCTGGGTGCTCCGAGAGGAGGAGGATGAAACGCTGTCCAACGGAACCTGTGGCTCCGAGAACACCTGCCTTTTTCATTGCCATTGTGTCTGTGATGCTGCTGTTGTGGGATCGAGTCACGGGCTGCTACAGAGAGGCGGGGAGAACAGCGTAGGGACCCCACGACCCACCAAGAAAGAGACCTCACTTCCCTCAACAAGCCGTCAAGGACTGAAAAAATGAGAACCCGTTGATTTTCTCGAGGGCCCGGACTGCGAAAAATGGTGAGTCACTCCATCGACAGATACGTCTTGCTTCTATCTAACTCTACATACATACATCACACCGCACACCGCTGCAGGCGCTGGTGGCCGTGGTGGTGGCCGTGGTGGTGGCCGTGGTGGTGGCCGTGGTGGTGGCCGTGGTGGTGGCCGTGGTGGTGGTGGTGGTGCCAGTGGAAGAGTCGGAGGAACCAATCCCGTTTGCGGGGCTTGAGCACGTCGACTAACGAGAGCTGGCGCTGGCCGTCGTGCTGCTGTCGGGGGTCGTGGCGATGGAGGTAGCGGACGACGGTTCCTGTGGAGACGCCGGTGCCGAATGCGCCGAGACTAAAGCCGTCGAGGCTGCTGGTGAGGCTGTTGTCGACGGCGTGGTTCAAGCTGAAGCTGTCGAGACCTGCGAAGTCTTGGCGGATGGCCAACTCGGCGGTCCACGAGCAGAAGGTGAGCTCTCTCTCGATAACCGTTTCGACGAACTCGCCGACGCTCTCGATCTTGTCGTCGTTGGTGCCGCCGCCGCTGCCCGGGGCGACGGCGGGGAAGCCGAAGCGGCGCTGTCTGTGCGTCTGTGGCCGGACGGTAGGTGTGCTGGAGGCGATGAGGTCCTCGATCAACTCGTCGCCCATCATCTTCTTGGCGATGCGGAGGATGCGGTCGAGCCGCTCGTCCTGGGCTGCGTTGGCCCGCACCGTGGTGTTTCTGCTGCCCCTGCAGACGCCGGCAGCGTACTTCCCGGCGTCCTGCTCGGCGGTCTCGATGGTGGAGATGCTGATGGTGGTGAAGGAGCCCTTGGTCACTCCGGAGAGCTCCAGCGTGCCGAACGAGGACACGACGGAGCTGGCGAACGGGTTCCTGAACCTTTTGAACGGCGCCGACGACCCCTCCTTGCTGTCGCCGTATCCGGCGGCGACCTCCTCGACCGTGTTGCTGCTGCTTCTGCTGCTGCTGGCCGCCGACGGCGTCGGCGGCATCCTGTAGCTGCTGTCGCCGCTGTCGCCGCCGCTGTCGCCATTCGTGACGGCGATCCGACGACTGCGTCCCCGCTTACTGGTGCTCTTACTATCCTTACTGTTGCTGTTACTGTTGTTCAACGGACTGAACACGTTGTACCTCGAGAACACGCCGCTCGCAGAGATCGGCGAGAGCTTTGCCCGACTCGCCAGCTCGATGTTGTATCTGTAGTTGGGGTTCCCGTTCCCGTGCCCGTTCCCGTGCCCGCTGCTGTTTCTGTGCCCGTTTACGTTTACGTTTACGTTCCCGTGCCCACTCAGACCCAACACGAGCTGCGGGTACATCGCCGGCGCCGTGCTGGCCGTGCCGGCCCCCTCCGTGCTTCGCTCTCTCTCGTCCCTGTTCTCGTCGCCGTGGCCTGCTAGCAAAGACATGTCGTCAGAGTACCCCTCCCCTTCTCCTGCCCTGCTCGTGGCCCGTTTGTTCTTCCTTCCCGTCCTTGTCGCCTCTTCTTCTGAGCCGTCTCCGTTGCCGTCTCCGCCAGTGCCCCGGCCAAGCCTCGACGGCCCAGGCGCGTTCCCGTCGCGAATGCCCCTGGTGCCTCTCTGGCGGTTCTCTGCCAGAGCCTGAGCCTTGTCTGTTGCTCAGGTCAAGAGGCAAGGACAGGAAGAAGACGGGGTGGGCAGAGCAAAGAGCAGAACGGAGCAGAACGGAGCAGAGTAGAGCAAATAAGCACCGTCCAGCAGACACAGCACAGCACCAGACGGGACGGGCGACAAGGACGGAACAGGATGGTTGTGTTCTTTTACAGAAAACGGGTTTTCCAGATACTGTGCATCGTGGCAGTAGTGGTGGTGGTGATGACGCAAAGGAAGAACAGTTCAGACAGGACGCTGTCGCAGGAGATCATGAGCGAGTTGACGCACCTCAAGGAGGCAACGCTTGTGGAAACGGCAGCACTTCAAAAGGGCCTGGAGGGAGACAGCAACGGAGCGGAGGAAGCGGAGAAGGAGGTTGTGGAGCCGTGCACGGTGGTGAACCCGCTCACGAACCAGTTCTACGACCTCAGACCGTTGTCTGCGCTTGGGAACGACGGGGAGGTGCAGACGTGGAACTCGAAGGGGTTTGACTACGGCAAGAACTTCTCGATCGGAGTGTGCTCGACGCCGCTGAGGCAGCTCAAGGCGTTGAGGGAGTCGGACTTCGTCGACACGCACAATAAGTCCATGGTAGGCGGCTACTACACGGACGGGGAAGGCAAGAAGGTATCGATCGGCGAGTACTCGACGGACTTGAAGTTCCGCGGGCTCAACATGGTGCTGGAGTACACGAACGGCGACCAGTGCGAGGACTCGCCCAACCTCTCCAAGTCGACCTTGCTCACGTTCAAGTGCGACCGGGAGATGATGAGCAAGGCCCGTGTCAGCTACTTGGGCTCCATGAACAACTGCTCCTACCTCTTCGAGGTCCGCACGGTGCACGCGTGCGCCACCGCCAACGACAAGAACGACAGCGCCATCTGGGGGATCTTCCTGCTGGTCCTTTTCTCCGCCGCCGGCGTCTACTTCTTTGCCGGCTTCATGTACCGCATGATCCAGAAGCACTACGAGCGCTCGGTGAAGAAGGAGCATGACGTGGTGTAGCCCTTTCGCTGCTGCCCACCGCCTCTCCTGGTAACTTCCAGCCCACACCTTCTTTTTCTCCTCTTCTTCTGTTTACACTGTCATTACCACAACTTGTCGGACCAAGAGCTACTACATTCATTGCCTCATTCTGTCCAAGTTCCAGGCCTCATTCACTTGCCGAACCCTTTTCTCACTATGTTTCGTTCGATTCGTACGATATCTCGATCTATAATGTATCTATGTATTCCCTTTACAGTCCAACTACCGGCAGCTGCTGCTGCCACCCCGGTTACCCGTTTAGCTCGCAGAGCCAGGCCTCACAGGTGCTCTGCAAGGTCCTGCGGTTCGTTCCTCCTAGCTCTGGTGCGCCCCGGGCCCTTTTTTTGATCTTCAAGTTCTGTCAAAAGATGTTGAAATATTTCCACCTGTCTCTACCCCGGTGTTTCGGTGGCCCGATCCCGACTACAAGCAGGGTGCCACCGGACTCTGTCGACAATGTCACGCAAAAGAAAGAAGCAGGAAGACGATGCCGGCGAGAGGAAACAGAGGAAGGTCGACGACTCCTACAACGAGGACGAGATGAACACTATCTACAACAACCCGAAACAGTTCCAGGGCGTGATGCGGAAGTACTGGGCGCAGCGCCACAACCTCTTCTGCAAGTACGACGAGGGGATTCTTCTCACCAAGGAGCTGTGGTTCAGCGTGACCCCGGAGCGGATCTCCAAGTACGTGGCCCGAGCCATCTACGAGCAGTTGGCGGCGGCCCGGGCCCGGCAGGCCCAGCCGGCCACAGACTCCCCGTTCAGGATTCTCGACGGCTTCTGCGGCGGCGGCGGCAACATCACGCAGTTTCTGCAGTACCCGGACTGCGTCGTGTATGCGGTGGACAACAACCACCGCCACCTCGAGTGCACCAAGAACAACGCGCTGGTCTACTGCGGCAGCGAGAGCGTTGACGAGCGCTTGCGACTGCTTCCGATGGACTGGAACTACGCCGACCCCGACGCACCTGCAGCCGCAGCCGACGACCCCGACCACTCCGACTCCGACTCCGACTCCGACTCCGACTCCGACTCCGACGACCACGACCTCGAAGACGCAGTCTACGCCTCACGCAGCCAGTCTCTCCGCTCCCTGCGGGAGCTCGCCGCCCTCCGCTTCGACTGCGTCTTCGGCTCGCCGCCCTGGGGAGGCCCCGAGTACATCAAAGCAGACAAGTACAACCTCGACTGCCTCCAGCCCTTCGACCTCACCAAGATGCTCCTCGTTCTACGCACATACAGCGAGTTCGTGTGTCTTTTCCTCCCGAAGAACATCGACATCGAGCAGCTCGTCGCCGCCACCCGCGAAGCGTATCTACAGCATCCACCGCAGTCCCTTGGCGGCGGCGCCAAGGTCAAAGTCAAGGTCAAGGTCGTCCACATGTTCACCTTCCAACGGGAGAAGGGGGTTCTTGTTACATGGTCTGTCGAGACTTGACAAGCCGAGCCGAGCCGCCGTCGCGACGGCGACGCGTCGCTGTTACCCGGCCGCTGCTGCGGTGACCCGCAGAGTTTTTTTTTTCGCCCCTTTTTTTTCTTCGTTCTCGCACAGAAAAAAAAAGTGGAAAAATTTTTCAGTCTCCTCCCCCGTCTTTTCTTTTAGGCTCTCGGTATTAAATAAGTGCTTCTTTTCTCCCTGAGTGAAATCTTTCTGTTTCCTTTCTTTTCTAAATCCTTTTTCCTCTCTTCTTCCCCTCTTCTTCTTGGGTCTTTTGGTTTTGGAAGGTTTTTTTTCTCTCTCCTTCTAGTAGAACAAAACTAATAAATACAAAATGGGTAAAGATAAGCAACACGTTAACGTCGTCGTTATTGGTCACGTCGATTCCGGTAAGTCTACTACCACCGGTCACTTGATTTACAAGTGTGGTGGTATTGACAAGAGAACCATCGAAAAGTTTGAGAAGGAAGCTGCCGAATTAGGTAAGGGTTCTTTCAAGTACGCTTGGGTCTTGGACAAGTTAAAGGCTGAAAGAGAGAGAGGTATCACCATTGATATCGCTCTATGGAAGTTCGAAACTCCAAAGTACCACGTCACTGTCATTGACGCTCCAGGTCACAGAGATTTCATCAAGAACATGATCACTGGTACTTCCCAAGCTGATTGTGCTATTTTGATCATTGCTGGTGGTGTCGGTGAATTCGAAGCTGGTATCTCTAAGGACGGTCAAACCAGAGAACACGCTCTTTTGGCTTTCACCTTGGGTGTCAGACAATTGATTGTTGCTGTCAACAAGATGGACTCTGTCAAGTGGGACGAATCCAGATTCGAAGAAATCATCAAGGAGACCTCCAACTTCATCAAGAAGGTTGGTTACAACCCAAAGACTGTTCCATTCGTCCCAATCTCTGGTTGGAACGGTGACAACATGATTGAACCATCTACCAACTGTCCATGGTACAAGGGCTGGACCAAGGAAACCAAGGCTTCCGGTGTCGTTAAGGGTAAGACCTTATTAGAAGCCATCGATGCTATTGAGCCACCTGCCAGACCAACCGACAAGCCATTGAGATTGCCATTACAAGATGTCTACAAGATTGGTGGTATTGGTACTGTGCCAGTCGGTAGAGTCGAAACCGGTGTTATCAAGCCAGGTATGGTTGTTACCTTTGCTCCAACCGGTGTCTCTACCGAAGTCAAGTCCGTCGAAATGCATCACGAACAATTAGAAGAAGGTGTCCCAGGTGACAATGTTGGTTTCAACGTCAAGAACGTCTCTGTCAAGGACATCAAGAGAGGTAACGTCTGTGGTGACTCCAAGAACGACCCACCAATGGGCTGTGCTTCTTTCAATGCTCAAGTCATTGTCTTGAACCACCCTGGTCAAATTTCTGCTGGTTACTCACCAGTTTTGGACTGTCACACTGCCCACATTGCTTGTAAGTTCGACGAATTGATCGAAAAGATTGACAGAAGAACCGGTAAGTCCACTGAAGACCATCCAAAGTCTGTCAAGTCTGGTGATGCCGCTATCGTCAAGATGGTCCCAACCAAGCCAATGTGTGTTGAAGCTTTCACTGACTACCCACCTTTAGGTAGATTCGCTGTCAGAGACATGAGACAAACCGTTGCTGTTGGTGTTATCAAGTCTGTTGAGAAGGTCGACAAGGCTGGTAAGGTCACCAAGTCTGCTGCTAAGGCTGCTAAGAAATAAGTCTCCTGACCTATTTCTCCCTCTTTCATAATGTACTCGTTATGATTATCTTTTAATTCTTACTTTTTTTTTAACTTGTTCCTTTTTTTTGATTATATAAAATCTTGCTTTTACCTGTCTTTTTTTATATATTCAAAACATTGTCAGTAATATCATTTACTGCAATTCAATTGAAAAAAAAATAAAATTGTTATAATATCAATCCAACGTAACTATTTTTACCTTATCCCCTCTTCACCCTGTTAAGCTCGCTTCTTACACTGGTTTGCTCATTTTTACCAGCCCTGTTGCTTGGAGCAAACCTACCCTTTGATGCGTAAGAGTCATTCAAGGCGCCTCGTATCCCGCTTAGGTCACCCGATTTGAAAGAGTTCCGGAAACTACTTTTCCTGCTCAAACTTTCATTCGAACCAAATGGTGCTGTTGGAACAACACTATATTTACGTTCACGGAAAGAGATACCAACTTGCTTGACAGTTTTCAAGTTGTCCGTACATTTGTTCAGATCCAGTTCCTGGAACGAATTCGTCGCTTCATCGTACTGCCACAAATGCCACAAAACTCCAAATGGTTTTGGCTGAAACATGTATACCGAATGTAATGGAATATCTAATTCTGCAACAGAGTCCTTCTGTAGATTGAGAAAGTACGCCATTAAGATCCTGCACACAACTCGATGCGAAATGACCATTAAATGGGATTTACTCCTTTCAATTTCGTTGATAACGGGCTTCAACCTACTGATGACATCCAGATAGGACTCGCCGCCAACACCTGGGTATCTGTATGTAAGTTTATGCTTGATTCTTTCTTCGAATTCTTCCGGATGTGATTGTGCAATCTCTGCATATGTCATGCCCTCAAAATTCCCCGAACCCAACTCGTTTAATAATCTTAATTGTTTTACATCATACCGGACGGGATCATTAAAAGCTTCTGCCGTTTGTACAGCTCTTTTCAAGACGGAGCTAATTACAGTGACTTTGTCGTTCTCAGCGCTGTAATTTTGAGCACATTCTTTCAGAAGTTTTAAATTAAACTCTTCTTGTTTTTCTCTGACAAACTTCTCCAACGCAATGGAATACTTCTTCCCACGTTCTGTTAGCCCTGAATCACCGCCAATTCTTCCCTTCATGTTATCCAAAGATTCTCCATGTCGACTTACGAAAATGAGTCGTGCATTTAGGTTGAAATTTAAGAAATAGTAAACAATCTGCGAGGCGATGTATCCATCAATGTTGCAGGATATAATTTTCCTCCCGACATCAACCATCTGAATGAACTGAAAGTTTGGAGTTCTCTCCTCTTCTTCAGATATAGTTTCATAGACTTTCTCGTAATTAGTCAACCTGTTGAGGAAATCCTGTTTTGCTAAGACAGGGTCCATGTTTTTGTAGTCTGGTCCTTTCAACTTTAATAGGACGTTTTTCTCAATCAAGCTCTGTTCGTTGCAGACACTTTCAAGGAAAAGAACTTTCAATTTCCCGTTACTTCTTTGCATTATTCTATCGAAAACCATTTTCCGTCTAGCTACTGTAGTATTCGTTGCATCGAAAACACCCACACATCCATCGCCCAACAATAGGTAATCCAGTAACGAGTCCAAGGTCTCTCGTGCCCATTCTTCACGTAATGCAATGGACTTCTGATTGGTCGGCGAGAAGAATGACGCATCTTGCGCTATCGTCGAGTTGTCATTATTTGCACTTTCATTTCCGTCCTTTGGCTGGTCATCAGGTAGAGGTTCATTACACGGTCCAAAATCTTGGCCTACTTTCTTTGATTTTGACCTTCTTGTTGCACCGACATTAAAAATTTTTGCATTGATCTGTAACCAATTCAAGTATCTGACCATCTTACCACTAAGATATGACTTCCCTCTTGCTGGCAAACCTATCATAACGACCACTAGACGGTCTGCACCCGTATAGCTAGGAGATCCATCCGGGGAGGACTTGGAAATGGTTTGGCCGGGTATATCAAAAACCGAGCTGCAGGCCATGTTTGTTGCTGAATTGTTGTTTGAATTGGACGTTGTTGTTATGACCGCTGTTTCCTGGGATTCTATCCTCTCCATCGGATTGGGAATAAGTTTATCGAAGTGTTCTTTAAATTTTTCGCTGTTCATCTTAAACTTCGTCACTGGACCTGAAGGGTTCCCCAGATTCAGTGACTGAATATTTATCTCATGCGGCAGCAGCTGCAACTGCCGCTGCCGTGACAAATCGCCCTCTCCATTATCGTCTTCGTGGTTCCTGCTGGCGCTATTATCGTAATCGGAGATACTGAGATCATCCATACCATCCAGGTTCTCCAGCTCGGCAGCAGAAAACACCGGTGTGTCAGTCAATGGCCGGGACTGGAAGATGTCACTGGCTTCGTCTGTTTCTTCGGCTTCGCCGTCCTCCAGCGAGCCCAAGCTCTTGTCGTCTATGTCGACGTCCATATTACTGAAACTGACCTTGCGTTTCGGTGTAGAAGAGCTGGCGCCTGCATATCGACTGCCATTCCCATTGCGGTTATTCATGCCAATTTTTTGGCCCTGGAAACCTGCGTTCCCAGACATCAGAGAGTAATTGTCCTCGTCGTCGGATGTGCAGATCGCCGATTCACTCAGGTTTGACAGTGTGAACGGGTGGGGATTCGTAAACGGGTTTGAAAAGTGTGTGACTGGGTTGCCTACACCTCTTTCATGGTCTACCTGGCTCTGCAGCTCCTCTTGTGCCCGTTTCGACCTTACTGCTGATCCCGACGCAGACGGTGCCAACGGCGTGGCTGTTTCTGGGTGTGTTCTGGGCGACACGGACTGCGTCCTGTCTGGCTTTTCGGAGAGCATTCCGTGTGTGGTTTCGATGTGTTTCTCCTTTGCGTGTATTCTCTCTTTGCGAGTCCTCTCAATGGCCATCCAATGCTGACCACAGACTGATTTGGCAGAACAGCGGCAGAAGAAGGAGGCCCGGCAGCCATATCCAGATGGAAGGAGGCTCTGGCAAAAAAGACGTACTCCGCACTGTGAGGATTCGGAGGGAAAAAGATGAAGGACGGCTCGATGGGGACGGGAAGGCGCATTGGCTGTTACAAACCAGGGTGGAGGAGATAGAAAGGGAGGTAGATACACAGGGGGTATACAGAGTGGGCGATCATGCCTTGGCCGGATGACTGTCCTCGAGCATGCGGTCGACCAACTCGTCCAAGGGCCCGTAGTCCTTGCGAGAGAGCAGGTCGAACTCTTTGCAGAAAAGCACAAAGTGCTTGAGGGAGGTGTTCAGGTGGGTCTGGAGGCCCAACTCGTTGATCTCGTCGAAGTGGTGACAGTACATGTGAGCGTAAACGCGGAAGAGCCGCTTCATGATGGTTTTGACCAAGACCGGGAACTGTTTCGGGAACGGCACCCCCATCTTGGTCGGGAAGATTGTCTCGTCGTCGAGGAAGCCCTGGATCCACTCCATCAACGCCTCGACGTAGCCCGGGGCGCTCATTGACACGGGCTGCTTGCCATTCCGATGCATTGGGTCCTGCCAGAGATACTCGTACTCCTGTGTGGCGATCATGCGGGGGCACGTTGTCGGCGAGCAGAACTCCGTGATCGTCCCGTAGAGCATGTTGATCTGGTTGTAGAAGTCCACAATGTACACAGCCAACCACTCGTTCACGTCCTCGCCATTGGGCAACTTCACCGCCTTGGCAAGCGAGGAGCCCGAGCCGAGCGTCTGTTCCGCGTAGCTCCTGATCTCCCGGTGGTTCGTCACCTGCTGCTGCTGCTGCTGCTGCTGCTGCTGCTGCTGCATTTGAAGCTGGTGGAGCTGCTGCTGCGACCCCTGCTGCTGTGCAAACGGCGACACGGCCATCGACACCGGCGACGAGGGAGACGAGTCCGGGTTCCTTTTGAACGCTCTTGTGGATCTGATAGTCGGGATCGCAGACCCGTTGAGGTGCTGCTGTAGGAACGACGCCATGCTGTGTGTGTGTGTACTGCGTGCTGGTTCCTTTTTTCAGTACAGTACCGTTCTTTCTGTCGGATAACAACAAAGGAAGAAGACAGCTCCGCCTGCTATCTTCCCCTGGCCTGGCTACATGAATTTGAAGCTTTTTTGCGGCAGCTCGCTCTGTTTACATTTGTCCCGAAGCGGAAGCGGAAGCGGCGGCAGAGGAGGGACGAAGAGGACAGCTGGTCTTCAAAGACGGTGTGGATGGGACGGGGCCTGGTAGACGGAGAGTGAACAGCAGGAGAGAATAGGAGAACCAAACACAAAAAAGAAAATGCCATTGATTGAGGTGAATGAATGCGACAAGCTCGACGCTGTGGTGCCGGACGCAGAGTTCGTGCTGTACGAAAAGAAGCTGGCGGAGCGGAAGCCGGAGTGGTCGTTCTCTATCGTACCCGGGTTCTTCAAGCAATCTGCTCCGGAGACAGACGACGCCACGTACGATCCGTTGCAGGACCATCTGGGGCTGGCCGAGGGACTTACATGGGCTGCGGTGGTGGCCAAGCTCAGCGCCCTGAACAAGGCTGTCGCCGACCCCTCTCGGGAACGGTACAAGCTGGTTTTCGGCGCCCGACACGGTCAGGGATACCACAACAAGGCGATTGAAATCTTTGGATTAGAGGCGTGGTCTGAGGATCTTTGCCACAAGACGGGTACGGTTGCTCCGGACGGCGAGAAGCTGGTCTGGGGACCGGACTCGTTATTGACCGAGCGGGGAGAGCAGCAGGCCCAGCTGGTAAACGACGCCTTTCGGAAAGAGATCACCGAGTACGAGTGTCCTATCCCAACACAGTTATTCTCCTCGCCGTTCACCCGATCGGCGCAGACACTCTGCATCACGATGGATGGGATCTGCGTAAAAAACGAGATTACGGAGCCCGACAGACCGCTGCTAGCCAAGGAGAGGTTGCATCCGATCATCAAGGAGGACTTGAGAGAAACCATCGGCGCCCACTTGTGTGACAAGCGCTCCGACAGAACGACCTTTGAGAAGCGGATGAAGGGCTGGGGGTTTGTCTTCGAGGACGGCTTCGCCCATGACGACATCTACTACAAGGATGACTGGAGAGAGCCTATCCACCAGCAAGCCATGAGAGCTAACTCCTTCCTACAGGACTTGTTCTCGGACACATACGCGGCGGACGAGGTTGTATATTGTGCCTCACACTCCGGGGAGATGAAGGTTCTTATAGCTGTCACCGGCCACAGAAGATATACCGTTCCTACCGCAGGAATGGTTCCGATGTTGGTCAAGGCCGTCCGCAACTAAGATTGTTTTCATGTCCATTGGGACACATACTATGTGTGGAATAGATATATATATATATAGATATGGGTAAACATATATATACGTATACGAGTTAAAGTTATTCATATTTTTTGTTTATGTTTTTATTTTGTTTTATTTTTCCTTAATTATGTCGTTCATTTAGAAAGCAAAGCTGATCATAAAAGTTCCTCGAGTTTGGACAAGTTATCCTGTGCGAAATACCTAACATCCTCGTCCTCATCGTCCGTTAGCCTCTCCAACGTTGGCTTGATCTCCTCAAGAACTATGTCCTTATAGTTCTTGACCAAGGACTGAGCAACACGATATAAGGATTTGGCTGCGTTGAATCTGATGTTTGGAACCTTGTCGTCTGCCATTTCGTTCACAAAGGGGTAGAGATATTCCTTCACAGTTTCGGGGCTGACTACAGAAATCAAGTTGTCAAATGTAAAAAGGCATGTTATTCTGCAAATGAAATTGTCAAACTCTTTAGTTTGTCTCTTTTCCAATATTTTGTTGATTATCTCATCCTTACTCCAGTCTTCGCCAAAGAACTCTGTTAGCTTTCTCAGATTCTCAACTGCTGCTTCTCTGATAGAATAGACCGGATCCCATAACCATTCCATACATAGCTGTCCTAAAGTCTCGTCAAAGAATGAGATACCCAACTGTTCGGCCAAAAGCGGGATTTGTTGGATGATTGCCAATCTGACCCTCCATAATTTATCATGTGCCAACGCAGTAATCGCAGGCATCAAAGATTCAGAAAGCAATTGGATCCCAATAACTTCATTGACTATCTGTAGTTTGGAAATAATGTTCAATCTAACATCACTGAATTCATCTTTCAACATTTCAACAAAGATAGGTAGTAGATATTCGATTGTTGCGTCTTTGCCTAAAATTGGTGCCAATCCTGTGATTTCGCTTGCCAAAGCACTTCTGACAGTCTCCGACTCGTCCATGCTCAACTGGTTAACAACAGGCACAATTTCCTTCAAAACGATAGAGCTATCTGCAGCGTTGACCAGCTTGGCAAATCCTGGCAGTTGTTTTGAAATCGCTTTTCTCACTTCAGCCTCGTTGTCCTTCATCAACGAAATGATATTTGGAACCAACTTCAGCGTATATTTTTCGTCATTGAAGTTGTTCGTCAAAGAATCAAATCTATCTGCAACCATATATCTGACTCTCCAACTTGGATCGTTGATCAAAGTAATCAAACTTGTGAATAGATCATCGACCTGGGAAGTTTCATTGATTTTCTTCAGAAATTGCAATATCGAAATCAAGACGTCAACACTCAAGAACTTAACAGAGTCTTGGTTATCATTTACCAATGCTTCGTACATGTTGGTGATCAGGTTCCAGTTCAAGTCCTCCAAATTGTCAGGAGTGTTGAACTGTTGGCATAAAATATTGATTAGTTCAGGTAATTCTTTACCGGCAGCTTTTCGAACCATAGGGGAATCGTCGTGAATTAAATCTGAGTACAGTTTCATCAGCTCCAATCTTTCACTTTTGGATACTTTGAGTATGACACTCTTGAACAAACCAGTTGCAGCTATATGTAATGAAAACCATCTTTCCTTTGCCAATCTACTGATCAATGGAATGAAATCATTTGTTATCTGCTGACTGGACAATGACGAGCTTATCTGATTCAACGACTCCACAGCCTTTTCTCTGACTATGGGCTCCTCGCAGGCAGACACTTTCTCCAAAACCGGGATCAAGATCGTGGCGTATTGAGAACCGCCAACAAAAGGTACAAACTTGCCCAGTTCTTCAGCAGCAATCGCAATCACCTCATCCTCATCTTCAGGAATCACGTCCTCTAAGAATGGGATCAACTCGTTACGTGTTCTCTCTGGACCCAAAGCTATGGCGATCGTGTCCAATCTTTTCATTGCTTGGACACGACTAGCCACATCATCATGTCGAAGTTCGTCCATTAACAATGCAATTGGATACAACTCCTCGACTTGGGATTGTGACATCGAGTGATCTGTATCATGATTGCCGGCTTCGTTGCTCTCGTTGTTGTTGTTATTATCTCCATTGTTGTTGTCGTTGTTGTTCCCGTTATTGTTATCGTTACCTGATGGGTTGGCAGCGTCCAAAGGCGACACCGGAGTAGCGGTGGCAGCAGCAGACATTTGCAGTGTGGTCGACGTGGACGAAAGTCTTTTCAAGGAGGGAAATGTGTAAACTAGTGTCTTAAAGCCACGTCAAATACGATCTGGAACTAATACCGTCACAAATCTAGCAACTGCCTGCCCACTCTGGGCTTTGTGGTGTTTCCTGTTTATTAGCCAGCACTAGCGAATCACCAAAGCTGAGCATCAAGCAGACGAGGAGGAAAAGGATCGCGGTGTACGGAGGTATTCGCCAAATGGGCAGTCGATCGGCGTCCTTTGCTTGTCGGGGGGATGGGGCTTCTACGGAGGGTGTCAACCCCAACTGGTTATAGTTACTGAAGAAACAGGTGTCTTAAATGTGTTTGTGAAGCTTTGAGCAGAAGTTCAGAAGTGCCTCGTAGATACAGCTGTGTTTGTATCCACTATTTCTGACACCAAGGCAAATACTTCACCAAGAGCTTACGTAATCCGGAGCATGAATTGCTAGGTATTCTACTTTGCAAGAGTGGAGCACTTATACAACCTTTTATATAGCTGCTCGTCAAAGAAAGGAACATTTGAATGCCAGCTGTGCGGTTTGCACCATTTTCGAGTAAAAAGCCACTAACCTTTTTTTGAGCTGCACCTGGTTCAATCCCCCGGAGCCTCTGCCCAGTATTAAAAGAAGAAAAATGACAAATGTGGCCAACCTCACTAGCAAAGGGTATCTACTTACATGATGTGCAACAAGGTCTTTGAAGGTTGTCAGCTGTCGGGTCATGTAGCTATTCGTCATCGATATGAGACTGCTGTCATCGGATTTGCCAGACCTCGTCTTCGATTTACTTTTACCTCTGCCTTTCGACTTGGTTTTGGACCTGCCTTTCTTCTTACTTTCTAGTAATTCTAAGCCGTTACTTGAGGCCGCATGCGGGGTTTCCGTGAGAGTGGTGTGGGTGAGAGCCGACTGGGTCGAGAGTGTCCTGGCTGCCAAGCCGTGCACCCTGTCTTCGGCAAGAGAGGTCGAGGGTTTGGAGGTGATGGTGGCCGTGGTGTTGGTGGTAATTGCTGTGTTGTCAGAGGCGTAGCCGTCATCGTCGGACTCACCGTACGACTCATCGTAGATCGCATCGTCATTCTCGTCGTCATCTTCCTCCTCACTGTTGGCGCTTCTCGCAGTCTTATCGCAGGCAAGGATCCACGCAACCCATTTCTGGACGCCCGTCTCGTCTGTAACAAACATCCTCTCTATAACGTTAACTGCCTTTTCGACTCCGTGATACTTCAGGATGATCTGCGACAAATAGAGTTGCACGATCTTCCTGAGCGTGCTACCTTCGCCGTTGTCAGCTCCAAGATCCGAGTCAGAGATGGGGCCCGGGTACAAGCCGCGCAGGGAAAGATAAGACTCAACCTGTCTTTGCAGGCTCTCAGTCTTCATGTTGTTCGAGGACTCCGTCATGAAGCACATCAACACAATCTCCTCGTTGTCCGACAAGTGCAAGTCGCCGACAAGCCTGTAAAGCCCGTCGTGGTTGAAATCGTCCAGAATGGCGTCTGCAAAGTGCGTGTCTTCCTTCTCGCTGAGATAGTCCGGAAAGTTCAAGGAGTGACGTGGAATGGACAATCTCAAGAGCTTGGTGTTGATCACTTCGTTGAGCAGAAGCGACAGAAGGGAAAAGTATATTTTCGCCAGCTTGGCCACCAAAGCTGGGTCTACCACGTTAGGATTCGTCCTCAACTCTTCAACCACAGGCTGCACGAGTTTGAACGACTTGTTGAAGTTTCTGTGCAAGTAGTACTTGACCGCCAAGTTGTACTGGGTGGTGAATTTCGTGGTTAGGTCTATCGTCACCAAAGGGGACGGGCTGCCGTTTGTCCTGCGGCTGTCAAAACTGCCGTGCTGCGCAAACATTCCAGTCCTAGTATATCTTCTGCGTGATTTTCTGTATGTCTACGTGTGTGTCGACTGCGTTCTGCCCCATCCAGGTCTGTCTTTCCGTCCGTTATCTATCGTCTATCTATCTATCTGTTCCGTCTGGTAGGCGAGGGAGCAGAAGACAAGCGGAAGTGCCCGCCACGACAGACCTTTGTGTCGCATGTGCTTACGTACGCCACCGGTGCGCCTTTCTCGAGCGAGGCAAGGCGGGACTCCCTGATGGAGCTGGTCCGATTTCAGACGGATCCAGCACGGGAGGCAAAAGAGCCGACAGACAAGGTGCTAGCGGGCCCCAGGAGCAATTAGCAGCGGACAGCAATCAGCCGGAGATGTCCAGAAGATACGACAGCAGAACGACGATTTTCTCCCCCGAGGGGAGACTCTACCAGGTTGAATACGCGTTGGAGGCGATCAACCACGCCGGCACGGCCATCGGGATCATGGCGAAGGACGGCATTGCGTTGGTGGCGGAGCGGAAGGTGACGAGCAAGTTGCTCGAACAGGACTCGAGCGCCGAGAAGATGTACATCCTGAACGAGAGCACGTTGTGCGGCGTGGCCGGGATGACGGCCGACGCCGGCATCTTGATCAACTACGTGCGGGAAGCGTCGCAGGAGTACCTCAAGGTGTACAACAAGGAGCCGCCGCTCGAGCACATAGTGAAGAAGGTGTGCAACTTGAAGCAGGGCTACACCCAGTACGGTGGGTTGAGGCCGTTCGGCGTCTCGTTTCTCTTTGCCGGCCACGACGACCGACACGGCTTCCAGTTGTACACGAGCAACCCGTCCGGCAACTACTCCGGCTGGAAGGCCACCAGCATCGGCGCAAACAACTCCAGTGCCCAGACCATCCTCAAGCAGGAGTACAAGGACGACCTCTATCTTGAGGACGCCAAGAAGCTGGCCCTCAAGGTCATGAGCAAGACCACCGACAGCACCAAGTTGACCTCCGACAAAGTCGAGTTCTCCACCGTGTCGCTGAACGGCAACGGCCACGTCGAGCTCAAGATATGGAAGCCCGAGGAGATCGACGCTCTTATCCAGGAGAGCGGCATCCTCCACGACGACGACAACAGCAAATCCGACGACGACAGCTAGACACCTGCTGTAGTCTCCTCTCTATAGCCCCCTACGTAGATTCGAACCTGCAACCACCACCTGCTTAATCCGGAAAGAGCCCCGCCGATCGACCGCTTGCCCCTTTTCTTTCCCGCTTATGGACTGTTCTGCGCAAAGCGCTGAGCATCCGCGAGGGCAAAAGCTCAGTCCAGGAAGGAGGGAGGCGGGAGGAGACAGAGAAAGGAGCCGCCTTGCTGGAGTAGCAGAAGCAGAAGCAACAGCAGCAGAAGCAGAGGCAGAGGCAGCAGGATACAAAGACAAGCATCTAGACAACACACACACAGCAATATGTCCAGAATCGCCAACGCCATCTCCAGATTGGCCTTGCCGGTGTCGGCACTGATTCTCTTGGCCGACTACTCCATGTACGACGTCAAGGGCGGTGAGAGAGCCGTCATCTTTGACCGGTTCTCCGGAATCAAGCCCAACGTGGTCGGCGAGGGCATCAACTTTGTCGTGCCTTGGTTGCAGAGACCAATCATCTTCGACGTGAAGACAAGACCAAGAACAATCACGACGACGACAGGCTCGAAGGACCTCCAGACGGTGTCCATCACGTTGAGGGTGTTGCACAGACCCGACGTGATGAATCTCCCGGCCATCTACCAGAACTTGGGGCTCGACTACGACGAGAGAGTGTTGCCTTCGATCGGAAACGAGATCTTGAAGTCCACGGTGGCGCAGTTCGACGCCGCGGAGTTGATCACGATGAGAGAGGTGGTGTCCAACAAGATCAGAGACGACTTGGAGAAGCGCGCCTCGCAGTTCAACATCAAGTTGGAGGACGTGTCCATCACCCACATGGCGTTTGGCCAGGAGTTCACCAAGGCTGTCGAGAGAAAACAGGTGGCGCAGCAGGACGCGGAGCGGGCCAAGTACCTTGTCGACAAGGCCGACCAGGAGAGAAAGGCTGCCGTCATCCGGGCCGAGGGTGAGGCCGAGGCCGCCGACCACATCTCCAAGGCCTTGGCCAAGGCCGGTGACGGCTTGTTGCTCATCAGAAGACTCGAGGCCTCCAAGGAGATTGCCGAGACCTTGAGCCGGTCGCCAAACGTCGCCTACTTGCCTAAGGGCGGTTCCGGCGACGACGGCAGCTCCAGCCAATCCCTCCTCTTGAACATCGGTCGCTGATTGAGTCTCTGGGCCCCTGCCCCGGCACGCCCCCCTGTATATACACACGTAACCTATCATATTTATTGACCCTTCTTCCCCACCCCAACAGAACACTACAACCCACACAAACCGCGGGACAGCCCGCTGTCAGATCAACTCTAACCGCTGGAAAAGGACAATCTGCTTTTTTTTCCTCCCGCTCGCTTTGTTCTCCTGCCTTGCCTGCAGTCACTCGCCTTACGGACACAACATAACCCACGCAACAAAGCGTTCTCTTCGGAGCTAGAGTGAGACACTGGGCAGGTTGGGATTGAGGCTAAGAGCAGCGAAGAAGACAATGCAAGATAGCAGCAGTGGCGACGTTATCGACATAGACAGTGGAGTGGGACTGGGCGGACTCGCAGGCCCATTGTCACAGCAGGGAAACCCAGACATGAATCTGGGCAGTCCGGACGCCATGAACCCACAGGCGGTGAAAAGGGTGCACGACATGCTCTCGCCGCCAAGATCGACGCCGGTTGTCGGCACGAGTGTGAACACGAATGGATACGCAGACGAGAGCACTGCGTCCAAGATCAATATGTCAAATAGTGGCACAGCAGGCGCCACAGCTGGAGAAGATGAAGATAACAAGGTGTTCAACGGAGAAGTCAACACGAAGATCGCTTGCTTGACGTGTCGGGAGAAGAAGCTCAAGTGCGACAAGCTGTTGCCTGTGTGCAGCCGGTGTGCCAAGAAGGGCTGTCCGTGCATCTACGTGGAGCACAAGAAGACCGGTCCCAAGCCGAACTCCGTTGCAAGGGTGAAAAAGCATGACCTGTCTTCGTCTTCAAATGAGAACTCGGAAAACGAAAATGCCGCAGGCTCGCATATCAATGCTCACGTCGGAGCTAGCGTGAACGGGAACGGGAATGGGAACGACAGCATAAACATGGGTGGCGCCAACGCCAACGCACAGACACTGGCGAAGAAAATGTCTGTCAGGTGGAAGAGGGTCAAAACCGCAGACCCCTACTCGACCGTTTTCAGCCAGCCAGATCAATTGCAGCAGGCGTCACCATCGCAGACGCAGAACTCGACCCGTATACCGGTTTTGAACTTCATGAACCCCTCGGCGCACTCCACCCCCGCTTCATCATCAAGCAACCATTATTACGGACAGCCCTTGGTCAGTAGCAACACTGCCGACTTGAGAAATGTTGACTACAACGAAGGGCACAAAATGAATATTTCAGGCCTTCCCAACATCAATGAACCACATCGTCATCCGATACCTGGTTCAATACCTAATTCTGTAAACAACATTAACGACAATAATGACAATACCGACCTTGGTCACATGATTAATGATAATAATAATAATGCTCACGAGAGCAACAATAATAACGGTGAAATGAACAAAAACAAAAGTAGCAACGTTGATACTAACAGCAACAACAACAATAACAATAATGCTCGCATGGCATATGCAGGCTCTCTGAATTCCCAAATCCATCAGCACACTGCGAAGCTGAAAATACCAGAAACCTTTAATACGAACCTAACTAATCTCACCAATAAGTCCTTTGAAGAGGTGATAGGCTTGCCTCACTTAAACCTTACAATGCAGGATATTGACAAATTTCACTCGTTTTACTTCAATTCAAGTACAAGAATCTTCAAGTACTCCATCCAAAGATACTACAACACTTTTGTCAAAGAGCCAAAATCAATTTTGCACTACTCGTACATGATATGGACAATGGCATGCTTCTACTTGGATGAGTATGAATACATGGTGGAAAAAATGTATAAATCTGCTTTGGTCCAAATGAACAACTATTGGGAATCCAACAGAGACTCGTTTCATTCTGACATTCTAACCTATTTACATGCTCTTTGCCTAAAATCACAGTTCGAATTTTTATCAGGCAGAGAAATGAGGGCAGCTTTAACAGTTGCTTCTTCCATCAGACTCACCCAAATGTATGGGTATGACCAAATAGACCTTTCTCCAACAACTTTGGGCAGCCCAGCCATTTTTTTCAGAAGTAGTTCTATAACTTCCGAAAAATACGAGTCAACAAATACACTACTACAAGACGATAATTTAGATCCAGATATCCCTTTGGTTGAAGAGCGCAGGCGTGTCCTTTGGGAAGTCTTTGCCATAGACAAGTGGTCTTCTCTTGTCACTGGCCTACCTTGTGCCCTATCCGTTGACAGCTTATCGGTCATTTTTACAAAACTACCATCTCCAACGACTTTTTTGCCGCTAAATAATGACTCGGAAATGTCAGAGTCAGAAAATGAACAAAGCAGTTTTTATTTGCATGAAGCAATGCAGAAATTAGATAATAATCAAGTATTACTTGACATAAATTCATCTTCTTCCAAAATTTTGTTATTGACTATTTCTGAAAACATTATTAAATGGTGTAAGATGTTTTTAAATATGGTTGAATTAGAGACCTTGAAGTCTCAGTCAAGCATAGAATCAATCAGAAACAAAGTAGATGAATTGGTAAGGAATTTCGAAAGCATGCATAATAACTTGTTGTTTTTCGATTTAACTACAGAACCTTTGATGAACATCGTGATCACAAATACTTCCACCCTTCTATATCAAAGTGTCTTGATCAAATTTGGATCATTGTTTGATTTGCAATTCAAGGAAAACCCAACTGGAGCGAATATTTCTGAGAATGAGATCAGATTATTCAAAGATATTTTATATGAGGTCTCAGCGATGAGTGAAAAGTTGGTTTCACGATTCATCAAAAAATCACACATAGAGAATCATTTGAAAAAAGCACCTGTTTTCATAGTTTTCATTAACAGTATCAAATCCCTTTTTCAATGTATTGCCTTTGTATATAGATTCAATAAGATCTTGCACGTTGACGAAGAAAGAAAAAAGTCGTTACTTGATACAATCAATTCGTGTGCTACAGTTATAAATGGAATGTCTGTCAAAACTCCGATTGTGGAGAAGACAAAAGATATTATAAATAATGGTCAAGAATTATTGGATCATTCTGCACACATGCTTTCCTTCTTCGACTCTTTCTTTGACTCGGCCAGATCTTTTTGATGTTGCCATACTTATTTCTTCTTCTACTTAGCCCTTTTTGCCGCTGATTATAGAATAATCGACGACGCTGTACAGTTAGTTCATAATGTAATTTCACAACTATAACTTTTATAAAGCAAAGTGATGCACTCTGCATTCTTCTTTCAAGTCCAGGCATCAAGCATAGAGGTTACCGGTTTGGTTTTAGTATCCGCTGGTTTGGCCTTAGTAACAACTGCGGCATCGGTATTGGCTTCTTGATCAATCGCATAGCTATCTAGTAAGCTAGTTTTCTTCGTTGGCTTCGCAATACTTGTGGAATAGCTGTCCAGCAAATTTGGCGTTTTCCCTGTACCCGTATTCGGGGTATTGGAGTATGAATCAAGTATATTATGAGCATTCCCACTCTTTGAATCCATGAAAGAATCAAGAAGGCTGGATGCATGACCGTTAGCAGGCAAAGCTGGAAGCTCTGATGAAGAGGTGGTTGTATTCGACATGAATTTAGCAAGAATATCACCCGGCTGTTTCCTTGTCCTGTCATCGTTAGGATAAGAATCTCTTGCCGGGATGCTAGAAGAAACGTCGTCCATCCTCTCTTGACTGGAGAATTTCCATTTTTTGACCAGGTATAATGCTAACCAGTCACATCCCATTCTAGAATACATTGTAGCTGCTTTGATAACGAAAGAAAACTCGTGTTCGGGCTTGACATCTGCAATGCCTTTATAATATGCCACATTTCTATTCCTCAAAGAATCATACATTACTAGTAAGACAGGGTCCTCGGTATTACTAGTTCTGATGACATTGTCTATATTAACCCATCTATAGTTGGGTAATATTTTTTCGATATCTTCTTTGATACAATGCAAAGGCTTTATCAATGCTTGTGCTGCATGAGGTTTATCTCCTAGTATCCAAAATACCCAGCTGAGCTTCCACCTATCATTTGTTGTAATTGCATCTGTAAGAATTTTTCTTTCCAAAATGCTTTTTATACTTGGTCCATTGTCACAGCCTTCATAACAACGAGCAACAGCTACCGCCAAAGCAACGTCATCCAGTTGTTTAACTATAACATTTACGGCATCTTTCGGAGCATCTGCTAATAAGAAAAATGAGGCAGCCTCGACATATCTATGTTTTCCTAAAAGAACATATGCATTTTTCAGCGCAGCCGATTTCCACCTTTTTTCTGTGAAGTCATGACTAAGGAATTTCACCATTTTATCTCGTTCACTGTGTCCGATTGAGGTTTTCCAGAGACCAATTAATATATGTTTCTTTTTCAATGTCAAATAGAAAATAGAACATGTAGTTGGGTCTTTTTTACCACCATTCTCGTTTTGAAACTTTAAAAACTCGTTTGCGGCTATTTTTTCCATCACACTTTTTAATTTATGATTCTCCATCCAATACGGCAGTAAGTATCTTTTTGCATTCAACCAATCAATTTTCATTTCAGCCTGCTCATCGACAATGTTGTATAGCAAGTCCTTGTTATCAGAGTGTAATGCAAAAGTCATATCTCTCATACGGATCGAGTTATTTATATTTCTCATCACTTCCCTGCCCATATTTACCATGAATAGTTTCATTGTTAGATAAAACTTAAGGCCATTAATATCCAACACCTTCACATATTTTAACAAAATTTCTTTCATTATACTCACTGTATGAGAGAGTGTAATTTGCTGATGTCCTGACAAAAAGGGTAGTCTCATTTTTTGTAGTTTTTCTATAAGAATTTCTCCACATTGCTCATTGAAATCGGTCGTGTCAATAGCTGAATCTGGATCGTTTTTTTTATCCCACTGTTGCAATTTTTCATCATTCACATCGTTAGTATGAGACATTATTGCACTAATTGGAATTCCTAGATCAAAGTCGTCATCCTTTCTCTTACCCAGGTCTATCTCTCTCAAAACTACGGATAGTTTAGCAAGGATCGACTTAATAAGAGTATGCCTGCCACTGAAAAGTAACTGAATAATGAATTGGGGATGATACAACGGTAGCGGACCATTCAATGCTGAGCATAAATGAAAAATATCATTGCTCAAGATTTCCAAAGTTCCTATGGCTTTTGTAGCAGTAAAATCCTTATCGTCTATCTTTTTGTCACTTAGGTATAGTTGGTTGCCAGCACCTACTACCAATAAGCCATCTTCCATCCATATTGAATCACCTATCTCATGTGTCGTTTGATCCGAAATATCCACCTTCTTGATTTTTGCAAAAGACAAAGTGTTATTAGTATAATCATAACGTAGCTGAGTATATAACAACGAATGTAGCTTGAAGCCGACTGCTAGTATACCTTGGCCATAAACTGTTGACGTCCAATCCAAATCTTTAATGATTTCACCTTGAAACTCTTCAAAATAATCCATCACACCAACTTTCGTATCCCATATACTTAACTTTGTTTTCGACCCGTCGACAACTGCCATTTTGTTTATAGAAGAACAAGATATGAAGGAGCAATTCTGAACTCCAGTTCTAAATTTGTCCTTCAAATGCCAACAAATAGTTTTATCCTTGTCATTCCCACTGAAGGTAACATAATAAACGGAAACAAGGCCGTTAGAAGAAACTGTTGCTAAAACATCTCGTCCGGCTTTTCCAATAAACTGCTTCCAACCTACAGGGTTTATTGCCGAGATTATATGGAGATCATCTTTCTCTGAAGCATTTAAATCTTGAATCGAACATTCAAACAGTTCGTAAAATGCTTCACTTTTGCTCTTTGGTTCACTTTTATTCGAGATGCTAAACTGGAATGATCTGCATTCACCGTTTTTGAAAATCATTACAAGGTGACATTCTGTTGCACTTGATTCCGGTAGTAAAAATATACACTCAGGATCTGTATTAATCTTGATGTCAAGAGATGAAATGTTACGTGCAACCCTTCCCGAACCTTCATCGGTGTTCAAACAGTCATAGCAGATAAGTTTATCTTTTAATAGTGTAAACACATAGTCGCCATTCTTCCATATCACTGCATTTATAACGGGAGAGCTTGTTATTATTATTGACTTTTTTGTGAGTGTTGTCCTTCCATTGTTTAAATAGATAGGACTCCAAAGGTAGTTTTCATCAAACCGGGTCACTGATAGAATTGAAGAACCGTCAGTCGATCTTATTAACCTTTTTACTGATTTATTGTGACCTGTGAACTTTTGCTGAAGACATCCAATTGAAATGTCTTTTACTGGATATTTTTTTCCTTCGTCCTTGAGGGACCTCGACCTGTCAAATTGAAATAATTCTCCAAATGTGAAACCAAGTTCCCTTATAGTATTTTTGAAAAAATCATGTATTACTAGAGTTAGAGTCATTTTTCCCGAATAATGATTGATTTGTATAGATTTTAGAAGGAAAGCATTAGGAATTGTTGGCAAGCAATATTTTGATAATTTTATTTTTGCGTTAAATGTTTGACCATTTTGTTTAAATTTATCAATCAAAAATGACGACATGTTTGTGGGTAACGCATTGCATAGATTGCTCAAACCATACAATCGAACTTCTCCATCACTTCCTATGATAATACATAACTCACACTTGGCATTCATCAGATCAAGAAGTTTATGTCTTTTCCTTGCTGAACTATCAAGTTCCACTGAGCTTTTTTCCTCTTCTGTATCGTTAAGTAATGCTTCAATACCAAGCTCAAGGTATGGATTGTCTATGAAAACAACTGATTTTATCACTCCAAGTTCTCTTTTATACGACTCACCGGCATATAAATCCAATGAACCGGAGTTGAATATTTCAAATCCTCTTTCTAATCTGTATGTGGAATATACCTTTAATAATGAATTATTTGTAATTGTATAAAGGACATTATGTTGATTTTCAACACTAATTCCCGAGCCGCTCTGTTCAGAAAGTGCCAGTCGAGGAACATTTTTTATTATACTGTTAGTTGGCTTTAAAATATCACTGTTCGATGGTGACATATACACTGGGCTGGCCTTTTTCACATCTTTGTTATTCGGATCTGTAGAATTCATATGATTCTTCCAGAAAATATCTGTGACATAAGCATCGTGCAAGAGGTAATGAAGCTCGAAATCACAGAATTCAGTATCAAATCCTAATCTATGCCAAAGTTTCACATTTTTATCATAACGGCCAATACTTGCGATGCATGTGGCATTTGGCGAGAACTTGACTTTGTACACAGGGTTCGGCTGCTTTTTGTGCCAGACTAATTTACACTTCATAGTCTTCTCATCATTTTCATTGACATACGACAGTTGGTGCATTGTTAAAGAGTCGTTAGACCCCGTCACCAACTCGCAAAGGGTTTTAGGGTTAAACTCTGGCGGTAAGTCTAAAAACTGGGAGTCTAGATCCATGTCAGAGACCTCAGAGTAGTCAGACCAGCTCAAACACGTAATGTCTGTTTGGTCATCTTCGTTTGTTATAACATGTTCTAAAGTCCATTCAATTCTCAATTCGTCCAGGTTCTTACGCCCATGAAAAATAAAATTGTAACAATTGGAGATCACCGGAGTATAGACATAGACCTGATTCTTGATGGCTACAGCTATTTTTCCATTCACTTTGTTGGCATCCACAACGAAGGAATCAGCGGGGAGATATATGGTTTGTAAATGTGTAGAATTTTTGGTGAAAATGACCAAATTGTTTCCTGATGTATAGGCCAAAATCTGGATTGTGTTCCAGTTCACAAAACTGCAAGAGTTTGTGGTGTCATTCGGCTCCCCAGGTAAAAACCCTAAAGGCATTGTATTTAGTCCTGCCTTATTATTGTATACTGTACTACCCAAATAGTCTTTTATGGGACCCTGGATGAAGAGGTCTTTCTCATCATATGTTCACTCTCGGCCTATCTGTCAGCTTAAGTGTGATACAGAAAACATGTGACCGCCGAGAAAGAAATTGTGCGATCTCTCAAGGGTAGGAGATCTACTACATGAAAAAAAGATTACAGTTGTACGGGTTATGGAAGGCAGAAAGGAAGACTGTCCTTGGTGGTGAGTTCCAGCGTAAGGATAAGACATAAATATACTAAGACCTAACTAGATAATGGTGGCTAGTTGCAAGGACCAGTTGAAACAAGTTGCCATTTGTTTGCAAAGATCACCATGCGTGATGATCGAAAGGCATACCCCGAAGGAATGTATCAACAACCCAGAATTGAATAATGAGCTTCCTGATTTGTGCAAAGCACAGTTGGCTACATTTTTAGACTGCAAAAGAGGAATAGTGGATATGAGGAAAAGAATCAGAGGTAACGGTACCTTGAGTACTGGAAAGTACGACGAACAATATCGGAAGTTGTCAGAAGGTGAATTCGATCCAAGGGAAGAGATGAAGAAGCTGAAAACGTTAAACTCAAACCAGAAGCAATAACCTGGTAGTCCCGGTATCCTGTACATTCTTTCTGCATATTTTGATTTCTTGTATTCTATAAAATTTACCTTCCATATATGCTCTGGTCTCTCTTATTATATATACTATGTATGCAGGTAGAAGAAGAGAATCTAGTTTTTGCCTAGGGCAACTATACGATCCACTAACCTGTCAACAATGCTACTAGTAATGTTTGGAGAATTGAAGACACATCTGAAAAATTCACCATTGTCGTGTCCGGTCAATGCATCGTTTGGATTAGGTGAAAAATCTATCAAGAACTCACCAGAACAGTGCAAAGCTTTGGCGATTCTTCGAGTCCTAACGGTCATTTCAGCTCCTGTCAACTTTTCCCCTACCGGGTTATAGTAAAAGCAAACTTGCAAACAAGGGATCGGAAAGTCGTTTATCAGAGTAAAACCTTCAGTTTCTTTCAATTTTGCAACAAAATAGTTTGCAATGGCGTATGAATGTTCTACTCTCTTTTTCAGTCCACCTTGTCCATAATATAACCATGCCAAGTACAGTTTTACCGCATCTGATCTCCGACCACATCCCATTGTACCATTTCCCAAATCAAAATTCTCTTCGTCGTCTCGTGCGTTATGGAAGAGATATGGCGCATGTAAGGAGTTTGCTTGCGTAAAGATACGTTCGTCCGGTACTAGCAAAAAAGAACACGTTGTCGGGACACCAAGCATCTTATGGGGACTGGCAGTAATCGAGTCCACCAAGTGTGATCCTTTCAGCATATGTGCCTTTTCTGGACTAAAAATCACATTTCCACCCCAAGATCCATCAATATGGACCCACATGTTGTAATCCTTGGCAACTGCAGAAATTTCCTCAAAGGGATCAAACGAACCAAATACTGTTGTTCCCGCAGTCGCATTAACATAAAGCGGGGTGTATCCTTCTGCAATACGTTCCTGAATCGACTGGCTCAAAATCTTGACGTTCATCCTTCCCACTTCGTCAACTGGAATTTTGAAAACAGAGTTTGCACCTATACCTAGCAAGATAGCAGCTTTCTCGACACTGTAATGACAGTGAGCACTAGTGAAAATCGCAAACTTATGACCAGAAGTCCCTTCGAGTTTTGTTTCAGGATACTTTATGCTTCTTGCAATCTGTAAACTGGTGATGTTAGACCAGGATCCACCACTAAAAGTCAATCCACCAGCAAATTTGTCGCTGAAACCATACAAGTTGGCATATCTCTGTGAAACCTTCCGTTCAATTGCTGAAAGAGCAGGAGAAACAGTGAAGACATGTGAATTGGTATTCAGGATAGATAGAAGAAGATCAGATAAAATACCTATAGGATTAGAGCCCACATACAACTTATCCATAAATCCTGGATTCCATGTAGTGACAGAGTTGTCGAGAATCTTGCCAAAAACTTTAAGCATTTCAGTGCTAGACACAGATGTTTCAGTTTGTACAGCATTTTGGAATTTTGCTTCCAAATCTTCTAGTTCTAGAATTTTGTACAGCTCTTTTGGATCTTCGAAACGAGGTCCCAGATCTCTCTCTCCGTTATCGATCTCTTTTACATAGTTAATAATGATGTCTATCGCAGGTTTCAGGATATCCTGCAGCTCTTGGACCCTATTCTTCTCTAAATCGCAATCAGCTGGGCGTGTCATTTTTGTCATCTTAGCTGAACAATGACTACTTCTTGAATCTTGGTCGGAGTACCCCAGTGAATCTTCACTATGTCCTTTGGGCATCTGAAAAACCGTTGGAATTCGTTTAAAAAATCTGTTGTCAGTTTCGACGCGTCGGCGAAAAAACAAACTGATTTCACGGAGTGGTCTTTTGGCAACATGAATTTGAAGGAGCAAAACCTTCCAAGATTCCCCAGAAAGCTTGGTTAACAAGCTAAATAGTAGATATTTTCTTTGAAGCTTCAAGCTTTTTGTATCGTGCAAAATGCAAGAGGATGGGAAACTAACTTTAAATGAAAATGTGAAGGCGGAATCCGGGGACGAGTCATACTCCGGTGATAAGGGTGTGGAGAGTGCAGAAAGACTATCTGATTTGAATAAAGCGGATAGTAATAACCAGAATCAACCCGGAGCACTAGCACATTTGAATATTAAAATTCTGGACCAAAATGATTTTGAAAAACAAGTGGAACACGATGCAGATAAAGCGATATATGAGAAAGAACTAGAGATAGAAGAAAAAAGATTGGCTAAAGCTAACGACAAGTACTTGAAGTTCAAGGGAAAACTTTTGACCTTGCAAAAAAGACTACACCAGCCTAACTTGAAAATATCAGAAAAGACAAGAATAGGTGTGCAGATAGAAGAATTGGAAGAAAATGAAATCATGCAGTCCTTGAAAGACCTTGAAGATATAAAGGAAAGAATGAAGAAGCTTAAAAGAAATATGCAACCAGTAACTCAAACACAATCGGCAGAATCGAACATACCACAACAACTTCCAGAAGAAACTAGAGAAGAGTACCTTATACGTACGGGTAAAATTACGGCATTTGGTACTGCAAATGCGTTTATCGAGGAGAACAATGATGCTGACAGAATGCAAGTCCCTACCCACAAGAATCTTATAATGCCTGGATTCAATAATATTGCGGTTGTGGATGAAAAAGATAAACCAGCTTCAATCGATTTAGAGTCCATAGAATTTTTAGGTGAAAAGTCTGTCAGTGGGCGAACTGCGAAAAGAACTCACAAGATCATGAAAGCTGATGCGGAAGAAGAAGGCGATGATGGCGATTTCAAAATTGATTACGATGAAATCAACAGTGACGATATGGATGATGATAGTGAAGTTATTGATGAAATATATACTGATGATGATATAGATGTTACCCAAAGGAAAAAGAGAAGAAAGAAATCTGCTACTGATGAATTAATAATCGACAATTTAGATGATGGTAATGAAACGTTTTATGAAAAAAGACTGAATAATTGGGTAAGCCAAAGATCAGCTATGAGGCTGCAAAACTCCCCAGATTACGTTGATGATCCTTCTGTCCCAGAATGGTACAAACCCCATCCAACAATCAAAGATGCTATTTTGAATGATAAATTTAGACTACCGGGTGATATCTTCCCTAGTCTATTTGATTACCAGAAAACTTGTGTACAGTGGTTATCTGAACTTTATAATCAAAAAACTGGTGGTATAATAGGAGATGAAATGGGATTGGGAAAAACGATTCAGATGATATCCTTTCTTGCAGGTTTACATTACAGTCAAAATCTCAGGGGTCCAATTCTTGTTGTATGTCCGGCTACAGTTTTGAGACAGTGGTGCAACGAATTTCACCGCTGGTGGCCCCCTTTCAGAGCTGTGATTCTTCATTCTATAGGTGAAGGACTTTCCAAAACGAAGAGTAACAAACGATCTGCTGAAGACGATGAAGATGATGAAGATCTTTATGACTTAGAGAATGAAGATTACGGATCGGTACCAACACTCGGAAGAACAAAAGATAATAAGGTTGTGAGAGAATTGGTTGAGAAGGTAGTCAAAAATGGCCACGTTTTAATTACAACTTATGCTGGGGTTAGAATGTATGCTAAGTATTTAATACCGGTAAAGTGGGGGTACGTTGTTTTAGATGAAGGGCACAAAATCAGGAATCCCGATAGTTTCATAACCATCACTTGTAAACAACTTAGGACGCCCAATCGGATAATTCTATCAGGTACCCCTATTCAGAACAATTTAATCGAGTTGTGGAGCTTGTTTGATTTTGTGTTTCCTGGAAGGCTAGGCACTTTACCCGTTTTTCAAAGGCAATTTTGTGTACCTATTAATTTAGGAGGGTATGCTAATGCAACTAACGTTCAAGTTCAGGCAGGTTACAAATGTGCAGTTGTTTTGAAAGATTTGGTTTCACCATACCTTTTAAGAAGGGTTAAAACTGATGTTGCGAAGGATTTGCCCAAAAAGACAGAAATGGTACTATTTTGCAAATTAACACCAGAGCAAAGAAGGCTATATAAGAAGTTCATTGATTCTGCCGATCTAAAGAGAATACTTGAGGGGAAAAGAAACGCACTATTTGGGATTGACATGTTAAGAAAAATATGCAATCACCCAAACTTGGTGGATTTGAATCTCAAAGACAAAAAGATCACCAAGCTTCCCTCAATTGAAGAATTGTCTTCAAAATCTGGAAAAATACAAGTAGTGATGGCACTATTAGAATTATGGAAAAGAGAAGATAGAAAAACGTTGATTTTTACACAAACGAAGCAGATGTTAAATATTTTGCAGCAACTATTGGATCTGCTCAATGAGAGTAGTGAAGGAGGTTACAAGTATATGAGAATGGATGGTTCAACTCCGATCATTCAAAGACAAAGTCTTGTTGACCAGTTCAACTTGAATCCTCAGTATAAGGTATTTTTGCTAACCACTAGAGTAGGTGGCTTGGGAGTGAACTTGACGGGTGCGTCTAGAGTAATCATATACGATCCAGATTGGAATCCTTCTACTGATATGCAGGCAAGAGAACGGGCATGGCGTCTAGGTCAAAAGCAGGATGTTGCCATTTATCGATTGATAATGGCCTCTTCAATAGAAGAAAAAATTTATCATCGTCAAATCTTCAAACAATTCCTAACCAATAAGATTCTCAAGGACCCTAAACAGAAGCGATTTTTCAAGATGACAGATATGTATGATCTCTTCACTTTAGGTGATGATGATGTAAAAGGAACCGAAACTGCAGACTTGTTTGGTGCAGATGAACAAACATTCGATGGCATCAAGGAACGTAAAACAAAGTTTAAGTCCAGATTGACAAACAACAAATCTAATACCCATGCATCACCGGAAGTTAAAGACGAAGGTGATGATGATTTCCTCAAGGCTACCAGATTAGCTGGTGTTTCAGGATTAGAAGAATATAATGACGAGCAAATGCGAGAAAAATCTATGTTTGATGATGACGATAGCAGAACCCAAGACTCATCAGCTAGTGGCGGAAATGAAAAGAACATCATGTCTGAAATTTTTAAGAAGACAGGTATTCATTCTGCTGTTGAGCATGATTCCATATTGGATAAGGGAAATTACAACAGTGGATTAGCCTCATCCATGGCTTTAATTGACAATGAAGCTACAAGAATTGCCAACGACGCCGTTGCGGCCTTAAAAGAAAGTCGGAGTCTGACTAAAAAAAGCAATTTTGCAGTCCCCACATGGACTGGAAAATTTGGGGCTGCAGGAAAGTTCAATAGCGTTAACAATAGTAAGAGACGGAAACTCCCTCAAAGTCAAACCCCTTTCTCGGAGAGATCTTCCAGCCCTGCCTCATCTAACTCTATTCTTGCCAATTTAAGAGCAAAGAAAGAGGCGACTAACAAGCGTCCTGCCTCGCAATCACAAACCTTGATAACGCAATTAAGCAGTTACATGGCTGGTGTTGATGGAAATTTCAGCAAGTCCAGTCAAATACTTGAGCATCTGGATGTTGATCTTTCGGATGAGAAGACAGTAAAGGTGGTGAGAAATATGCTGAAGAGTATATGTTCCTGGGATAAAGAGAAGAAAGGATGGGTCTTAAATCCGGAGTTTAGATGATATAGTTTCTGCACTCCAAGTAAGCTCTTGATAAAATGGATTTGCGATTCTGCAATTTCTGCAATGTTTAACACTCATTCTTATGCTGTGTCGCCGTTGCAGTTATAGTGAAATTCAAGTGTATGTGAAGAAATTATAGGATTAAAAAAAAGTTGTATACATTAACCCCCAAGAAAAAAAGTACGAGTAAAAATAATAGAAATAACAGCCTGGTTCAAAGTTAAAACGATATGAAAGCCAGTTATTTTGTTCCGAGAGTAAAATCTCCAGAAATCCATCTGTTAAACATGGTCAAAGATGCCTTAGGTTGGTCGTAAGGAACCATATGGCCACCATCAAACATTCTTGCAAAAGTAAAATGTTCGAAGTTTTTAACCTCACCAATCTGCTTCTTACCATCATCAGATAAGAGTTCTAAAGTTTTAGCACTACTGAAGTCGGCCTTGCCGGACCATTCCAATTCGTTAGTCCAAGCCTTGTTACCCAACCAGTTGCAAATGAAATCCTTATCACCTGCGTAAATCAAAACTGGTAAGTCTTGTTCCAAAAGATTGATAACGTTCTTGTGGTAAGGCTTCATCCAGTCACCGGCAAACAAGAAGTTTCTGTTGACGTCAAAATTACAAGATTCATAAGTTTCAACCTCAGCACCTAACTTCTCCTTGACTTCTTCTTGGTTCAAATATCCATCAATGTACTCTAATCCCTTGTAGCATAATGAGGATCCTTCGCACATCTTTCTGACATCGTAAACGTTTCTACCAGTCTTTTGATAAGGACCGATTTGACCATTATTACAGTAAATTGAGGCAGGAACACAAGAGAAGACGGACTCGGATTCGTAACAGGACTCAATAAATGATAGACATCTTGGCAAATTGGCAAGCATACCTTCACATTCAGCTTCGTCTAAAACAGGCTTGTAACCTGACTCGTCAGTACATGCCATCTTTTCATATTCAGGATATTGGGTAAGAGGGTCGGTCAAGCCATTACCTATCAAAACGGAAGTAAGATCAAAAGATCGATCAGCGTGTGAGAGAATTTCCGAAGCAAAAACGGGAACGTAGTGACCACCGTAAGATTCTGCAGCAATGTGGAATGGTAAACCGTTGTATTCTGGGAATTGTTGGAAGAAAAGCTCAAGGAAAGCATAGACATCTTTACCTGCCGCAACAGTGTCGGACACCGAAGAGGAAGAGTATGAGTAACCAACGTTAACTGGTTGGTCTAGGAAAATAACGGAAGCATTGGAGTTCCATGAGTAAGGGTTGAACACAGGATTTAAGTCCTTGTCAATCGCAGAAGATCCCAATTCGAAAAATAAGCCCGTAAGGGATGAGCAGCCTGGACCGCCATTCAACCATAAAACGACAGGGTCGTTCTTAGGGTCATTTCTACTCTCAAAGAACCAGTAGAAAAAGTGTTTGTCTTCGGACTCCACGTCCAAATAACCCGAGTATTGTTTGGTGTGGTCAACACCTAAGGCACCAGGATCTGTCTTCTTCACTCTCAACTTGTAGTCGGAGAACTTGTTGTTGGCAACGTGGAAATCCCAAAAAGAATCCGGCTTCTTGGCAATCTTGTAAACAGGGTCGGATGTGAGCTTCATGTTCTTCATCGTCTGAGGAAACTTGATTTCCATCTCAGACCATGCCTGTTTGATGGAGTCGTCCAACTTGCTGATGTCCTGGCCCGTGGCCTCACCAACCTGCTGCAACAAGGTCTTAGCCTTGTCCACGATTGAGTTGAAAGGAGTTTTGACGTCAATCTTATCCAATCTGAGAGGTTCCTGGCCTGCTTGGCCTAAGAAGGCGGCATTTGATAGTGAGAGGAAGGCACCGAGGGATACTGCCAAGGTGTTTGAGAGCTTCATCTTGTGTCTCTTTTTAGTAACTTATGGACTCAATTTGTTTTAAATGTGTGAAAGAGGGTGTGTGTGTGTATGGTTGTGAGAAAGAAATTGAAACAAACTGTATACTGTTGCGAAAACAGAGCAATTCGTTACCTGGCTAAACAATTCATTGAAACAAAGAAAGGGAGGGCCAAAAGGAAAGAGACAATTTCCGATAACCGCCTCCTATCGGTGCCTTTCTCCCTCACACTCGTCCCGCACAACCCAGCCATTCATTCGTGCTCAGCGGATTGGGGCTAATTTTTTGCCTTTCGGAGCAGCCTCCCAAAGCGGTGTTGATGAGGGCCGATTGCAATAAGAAAATGTACATTGTTACAAATTGTTAAAAAATTATTACATGTCACTATTTCACACAGAGGGCACCACACGCCGGACATTCGGACTCGCCTTGGTCGACAAACCACGTCCTGAAGCAGCCAAAATGACCTTCATGGCCACATCCTACTAACGCAACGGTGTTGCCCTTGATGGGCTCGGCGCAGTAGCAGCATCCGCCTTGAAGTTTACGGCACTTGTCGCAGTACCAGAAGCCAAAGTCGTTTTTGTGCATCTCGAGATCTTCTCCTTTACTCTGTTTGAGGGCCCTGTTGTTGAATGACTCTTTGCTTTCGTCGTTTAAAAGCGGCTTGCCGCAGTGGCAGCAGAGTAGTCGAACTGAGGTTTTTGTCTGACCGACTTTAGTGAAGCAGTCGTGTGTCTCGGAGGCAATCCGCAGCACTGTGGCCGCATTGCTGAAGTATCCGCAGCGTAGCAAGTACTCGTGGTACAAGTAAATCCACTCCTCCGCCTTTTCGAATGTTACCGAGCTCGGATAAAGCTGTTCGAAGAGCAATGCAAGAGTGGCACACATCAACACATCACCTTGGTCGGCGCTGTACTGGGAAGCATACTTTATCAAGTCTGCCGGGTTCCAAGGAACAGTCAGCTTGTCGTGTGTATGATATTGGTTGGTACTGTTCTCGCGTGATGGGTGTGGATCGCTGGAGTTCCCAGCACCAGAAGTGAGGTTGGTCATCTTGTTGCTCTCTTTCAAGATCGCAGTCAACTGACTCTTGCTATCGGAAATTCTGCTAAATCTCGTTTCCACACTTTTTCCAATGTTCAAAGAGACTTCCTCACTGCCGGAGTTTTTCAGTGACATCATCAACTTGCTGCGTGATTTATGAATCAGAGGGGAGCACGACAACGACATTGGCGAACCCGACTTCTCATCGTCCATATCAACAGACGATCCTGTGAAGGAGTACCTGTATTGCCGAGCCATGGACTCACCCCGCTGTCTTCTGATCTTGGCCTCAATTTCGATAGGGCTAATCTGTGACGGCAGCAGTGGTCTGTTCTCTTGATGTTGTTTGAAAGAATTCGCTGTTTCGACACTTCCATTTGGAACTCCTATTTTGCTCTGCTCGTTGGGTTTCCCGTCAAGGTTGATAGTGCTGTCTCCGACGCCATTGTGACTATTTTTAGCAGAAGAAATAATTATGGTATCATTTTCATCTACTTTCTTGTCGTCATCCTCGACGAGCATCTCACTTTCCAAAAGCTTACCGTCAAAACTATTTTCTTTCTTTTCTAGTCGAAGCTTGTCCTCTTGCACTTGTTTCTGCTCGTGCTCTCTCTCCTTCGCTTGTTTCTCCTTTTGATTTTCTTGTTCTTTTTGATTGTCCTTTTCATCCTGCTCCTCTTCCTGCTCCTTCTCTTCAATATCTTCATCTTCATCGTCGATTATCGCACTTTCATCATACTTAACCAAATTCGCTTCGGTGGTAGGCTTGTCGTTGGTGCTAATTACTTCGCTAATGTAAGAGCCTGACAGCTCGCTTCCCACTCTTTTCATGATATCGCTCTCTGATCCATACGAAGTTCCAAGGCGGCTATCTGATCTACTCAGTTGATCTATCTTGTGAAATTCAAACTGGTGCAGCTTCGATTCAATCTCTGCATCGTTCTTTTCCTCGAACTCTAGGAGGATGGCCACTTTGATTGTTTTCCACGTTTGGGAATCCCTGAAGTAGCCAACAGATGCAGCAAGCATGGAATTGTATTCACAAACTTCAGTAATGTCCGATCCTTCTGGAACTTTGATCATATAATGGGTTGACAAGAACTTAAATTTTTCTGTGTTATTAGAGGGTAAGGGGACATGGACTGGAGTTACCCATGCTGGTGGAGGCAGGCATTTTGGAACAGGTTTCATGAAAGATGGTTGCCTTGTTGGTGGTTGTTGACGTTGCAGCTTCAATGATGATGCCAAGGTGGGTGAATGGCCTCCCGGAGAGGTACTAATCATTTCGTACATTTGCATCCCATTTTCCGGGGCTGTTGCTATCATGGAGCTTTGAGCACTCATATTCGTAGAGGTACTGCTATTAGTTACCAAGTCCACCTCTTCGACTGTATTGAGCTCACCTAGTTGTGTTGGGCGTGTATGCGTGAAAGGCCCTTCAAACTGTGATTTTTTCTGTTTGATAAAAACGAAGTCGTTCTTTTCACTTGGATTCCAGGCAAAAGCTCCTGTAGGTATTTTGTCAATGAAATTAGGTTCCTTGGTGACATCATACTGGATCAGTAACTTGTCCTTAGAGCAGCTGATGAGGTTTTTTGGGGTTCTCCAGACGATGTGGGTGATGGGTGCCGAGTGACCGGATATGATAGCTTTCGGGATGTACTTTCTGTTCAAATTCCAGATTTGAACGCAGGGGTCATCGTTGAAAAATGAGACTGCGATATCTGTATTCATTATGGAGCCGTTTCCCCTCCCTTTGCACCATTTGGCTTTATAGATAGGGCCCGAGGTGTTAATGACATGAGAAGGCTCACGGCAATCTGCATTAGAGCCCATGTTCCAGACTTGCAGTTGCTTATCTCTTCCACCGGTGACGATGTAGTCGAGTTCGGGATGCCAATGCACAGAGAGGGCCGGACCCGTGTGTGCGTTGATTCTCTTCTCCCAGGTATTGGTCTTCCTCAAGTCCCATTTTTCCACCACTCCAGAGTCGAAGACGGCTGCCAAGACATTGGCCTTTTTCGGGCTAAAAGAATTGCACCTCACTGCGTCGGCGTTGCAGTACAAGGACAAGGAGGGCTTGGAGTTACTAGCCTTGAGGTCCCAGATGAGGATCTTGCCGTCCTGGGAGCCCGAGGCGAGCAAGTGCGGGGCAATGGTGTTGAAGCTAATGGAGTTGACGGCCCGCTGGTGGCCCGAAAGGGTGTTTTTCATGCGGGCTCCCCTGTCAAGGTTGTACAGGTGGATGGAGCCCGTGATGGTGCTTGCAGCTACGTATCTGCCGTACTGCTGGTGGCCGAAGGCGAGGTCGCTGATGGTGCCGATTTTGGTTCTGCCGGGTGGTTTCATGGAAAGGTCTGTTTCGAGGCTGATGTCGGAGTTGGACACCTTGAGGAGCTGCAAGTTTCTCGGCGTGGCGATGGCAACCAAGTTCGGGGTCTCCCAAGAGCGGTCGCAGGCCAAGATCTCGTTGGCGGCCTGGAAACGGGAGCGTTCCGGTACGGAGTTGAGCCGCAGCAACGGCGGGTGCGCACTGGCGGGTATATTCGAGAGGGAGTTCGATGTGCTGGTAATGTCGCCGCTGCCGCTGCTGCCTCCGGCGCCTCCGGCGCCGCCGGCGCCGTGGCCCATGAAGGAGTTGTTGTACAAGAAGGAGATCCTGGACACGTTTGCACTCGGTCGTCTGCCCGTGTCTGCGGAGTAGGCCGGCGAAGGCTGCTGCGACGACGGGTGCGAGGAGATGGCAAGCCCGTGGAGGGCGGACTTGGACGGCGAGTTGGAGTGTGCGCCTGCGCCGTAGCTGTGGTTGTAGCTGAAGCTGTGGGTGGAGTTGGTGGAGCTCTGTACGGACCCGTACTTGGCCGGGATGTTGCTGGCGGAGGCGGAGGCGCCGCCTCCGCCCTGGCTAAAGTTGTTGAGGTTCATTGCTGCGGGCGGGGCGTTCTGTGGTGGTGTTCCGGGCCAGAAGGGAGGGTCTGTGTGGCCGATTTCCCTTTTCATTCTGGATGAGCCAGGATTCATGTTCGGAAAAGGATGAGCCCGGCGTGAGGGGGGGGGGGGACGCAAAACCGGGGCGATCGGCGCGGGTTGGGTTTTTCCGAGACCCCACGCGCTTGGCGACATGAGACAGCGACGCGTTTGACACAAGGCTCCGTGCCTCCTCCATCTACAACAGGCTCGGCTGCGGCCACCTGTGCCTCTGCCGGCCCTTCTCCTGCCCCAGGACCGCTGCGGCAACCACACCCACACACCCACACACGCCATGACCACGCCCGACTGCGGCGAACCCGCCGGCGACAGCATCGTCGCCCACAGGCCCACCGAGACAGACATGCGGCACTACTACGAGAACTTCGTGCCCTTCAACCTGCTCTTCCAGTGGCTGGCGCACGCCCGCGTGCCCACCGACGACTTCACGCACCGCGAGTTCGCCTTCGAGCACCAGAACGGCGCCTACCAGCGCTACCTGTCCTTCCAGGACGCCGCCGAGTTCAAAAACAAGGTGGTGCGGGCCAACCCGACCCGGTTCGAGGTGGGCGCCGTCTACTCGGTCGAGCCCAAGAACCGCAAGACCGTCGCCAAGAGCCTCATGCGGCCCCTGGCCAAGGAGCTTGTGCTCGACATCGACCTCACCGACTACGACGACGTCCGCACCTGCTGCCGTGGCACCGCCATCTGTCGCAAATGCTGGAAGTTCGTCACCCTCGCCGTCGCCGTCGTCGACGCGGCGCTGCGCCACGACTTCGGCGTGCGCCACCGCGTCTGGGTCTTCTCTGGCCGACGCGGCGTCCACTGCTGGATCAGCGACCCGCGCATGCGCGCGCTGCGCGAAAACGGCCGACGCGCCTTTGTGGAGTACCTGGACGTGCTCAGCGGCGGCAAGAAGAGCCGAGCCGCCGGCCCCAACAGCGGCGTCTACGGCATGAAGAAGCCCTACCACCCGCACGTGGAGCGCTCCCTGGGCCTGCTCAAGACCCACTTTGTCGACGTCGTGCTCAAGGAGCAGGGCACCTGGGACGCCCCGGACGCCGCGGCCGCGCTCGCCAACACCATCCCGGACCTGCGCCTGCGCCAGGCCCTGCTGGCGCGCTGGCGCGCACACCCGCACACCACCAGCATGGACCGCTGGCTGGACGTGGGCACGCTCTACGCCGACCTGGCCGTCGCGTCGTTTGATCTTGTGGACTGGCGCAAGGAGACCATTCTCGCCACCCTGTACCCGCGGCTGGACGTCGAGGTGACGCGCCAGCCCAACCACTTGTTGAAGGCGCCCTTCTGCGTGCACCCGGGCACGGGCCGCGTGTGTGTGCCCTTCGACCCGGCTGTGCGTGACTTCGACCCGTTTGCCGACGCCCCGAGTGTCCACGGGCTGTTTGCGCAGGACGAGCTGCAGTGGCGCAACACGGGGCTGCGTCCCGGGGTGGAGCTGTTCCGGGCGTACGTAAGCGGGCTGCTGAAGGACGAGCCGCGCCGCAAGCGCGCGCGCGGCAGCGGGGACGAGGCCGAGGCCGAGCCCGATGGCGATGAGCCGTCGCTGGAGTTTTAGGCGCGCCGGCTGCGCCGTTATCTTATCGCGGCAGCCGCTGTGGCGCGCTGCTGCCGCAAGTCCGGTCCGAGCCACAGCACAGGGCGCCACACTGGAAGCAGGACGAGGCAACAGAAGGAGAGACACGGGATGGGGTGGCAACTGCACAGATGACGAGCAGTGTCGTGCGATTCGAGCGGTCAGACAGTCTTGGAAACAGCGGCTGATGTGCAGACGCCGACGGTGGATGGTGGAGTGGCCTGCTTGTGCTACTGCTGGGGTTTTATAAAAAGCGGGTGCGGTCTCCCCTGGGTCTTGCGGTAGGCCGGATCGGTGTGCTTGCCTGTGCTTGCCTGTGTACTTCTCTCTATAGCAACAGAACCAACCGCAGCAACGATGACCACGCTAGGCAGCATCACGTACGACGAAGCAATCCACTTCCACAACGACAGCGACGCGCAGAAGGACGGCATCCTCACAGTGTCGGCAGACAACCTGGAGCGTCTGGACCACCCCGAGTGGGCGCCTACGTGGGACGTGAAGGACGACCACGCGTTTGAAAACCCCAAGCCGTTCCGCCACACGGACCGGGCGCTCTTCGCCGACCCAACGTTCCAGTCGCTCACGGGCGACAAGAACGTGTCGGTGAGAAAGGTGACGCCCAAGCTGGGGCTCGAGGTGGACGGGATCCAGCTCAGCAAGCTGTCGGACAAGCAGAAGGACGACCTTGCGCTCTTGGTGGAGCAGCGCGGCGTGATTGCGTTCCGAAACCAGGACCTCAAGTTCGAGAGCTTCGACACGCTCAAGAAGTGGGGGGAGTACTTCGGCCCGCTTCACGTGCATCCGACGTCGGGCGCTCCGCTCCACCAGCCGGAGTTCCACCTCGTGTTCAGAAGGGGCTCTGCCGAGGAGCAGGCCAAGGTGTTCGCCAACAAGCTCCACAACATCGCGTGGCACTCGGACGTGACGTACGAGAACCAGCCTCCGGGAATCACGCTCTTCGCCATGTTGCAGAGCGGCAACTCCGGCGGCGACACGCAGTTCCTCGACATGTTCGAGGCCTACGACAGACTCTCGCCCTTCATGAAGCAGAAGTTGGAGGGCTTGAAGGTGTTGCACACCTCGAAGGACCAGGCCTACTACGCCAAGCTCACGGGCGGCATCGAGAGAAAGGACCCCGTGGACTCGATCCACCCCTTGGTCAGATACCACCCGGTGCTCAAGAGAAAGGGCTTGTTCATCAACAAGAGCTTCTCCAGAAGAATCCTCGGTCTCAAGGTGGAGGAGAGCGACAACTTGCTGCTGTTCCTCCTCAACCACATCGAGTCCTGTCTTGACGCCCACGTGAGGATGAACTGGGACGCCGACACCGTGGTCATCTGGGACAACAGACGTGTTCTCCACACCGCCACCAACGACTGGGACACGGACGAGATCAGACACGCCTTCAGAATCACCTCCCTTGCCGAGAGACCCGTCGAGTCCGAGCAGGAGTACGAGAACTGGACCCCGGAGGCCGAGGAGAAGAACATCGCCCTCACCGACTACTTTGTCGGCTTGACGCCCGCGGAGTACTACGACAAGGTCATCTCCGCCCCAAAATGATCCAACGAATGAATAAACGCTCCCGCAGATATAGAATATCTAACTTTATAACCTTCTAATGTTTTTACTGGCTTGAAAGTGCTCTTTCTGTAGGTTCCAGACAGGGACTCCGACTCCGGATGTACAGTTTTTAGCGCCCTTAAGTACGAAGGTGTCGGTCTCCCGAAACCGTGGGCCATTTCAAAAGAGTCATGGCGAACCCCAGAGCCCTGTTTTTTTTGTTTTTTTTTAGGCGAAAGTGGAATAATTTGAACGGATATATAGAGAAAGTGAAAAGTTTAAAGAAAAAGTTTAAAGAAAAAGAAGAATAGAAAGAAAGTCAATGCGCAAATCTAAAGTCCAATCTACTGGAACCGCTGTCGGTTGTTGTCGTAATGTAGTTATCACGCTCCTCTTGGCTCATGGCGCTCCAGATCTTGTCCCGTCTCTTGTTGAGGTACATGTAGAAGAGTTTTGTGCCAATCAAAATAGGGAACATCGCCAACCCAAACGCAAACAAGACGGAGTTACCAGCATGGTATAGTGGTTTGTCCGGCGTACGATAGATGTTTGACGATATGATACTACCGGCTTGCACAAACATGTTGTACAGCGACGCCGAAACCGTTCTCGTTTTGATGCTCTGCGAATTTCTCGAACATGCAGAAACCATCATGGCGTGGATGTAAGGGTCGGCCAACATGATTGTCAAAACCACATATGTCCCCCAGTGATTGACCAAACTCCCTTTCCAGAATCTCAAAATACCAACTAAAGGCACCACCCAGAGCGGCTGGATCAACGCAGTGCCGAAAATGTTCGTGATGCGCTCACTGAAATACGTCACCACAATAAGAACAATAATCTTGAGAAAGTTGTACGGAATGCATAGCAAGTTCGTGTGGAAAGTGCTGAAGCCCATGTCCCGCAACACCAACGTTAGGTAGGCCGTGATTGTATTTTCTGGAATATAGGCACAGATACCAATCAAGTAGATTGGCCACAAGTGCCAGTCGCACAAAGCCTGGAAAAGCATTTTCAAAGACAAGCCCTGTCTGTTGTGCATGTCACCCTTGGAAGGGTCGTCTCTCAAGATCTTGTTCACAACAATCTTCTGCTCCTCCTCAGTCAACCACCCGTTCTTGTTCCATGGCTTGCCGGTCTGGACAGCCGAAGGAACCATCAAGAAGAATGCAGAGATACCGATAGCCAAGGTGATGAAACCTTCAATCAAGAAGAGCCATGCCCAGCCAGCTCTACCATGGACACCACTCATGTGTAGGATACCGTAGGCAATCAAGTAGTTCACAATAGTGGTCGCATACATCGCCGTCCAGAAGAAGGAGAGTCTGATGGACAACTCCGCACTGGTGTAGAAGTAGGAGAGCCACAAAACCAAGTCAGGGATGAAACCGCCTTCCAGGAATCCAAGCAACGCCCGGCAGGCGTAGAAGCTGCCCTTTCCGGTGAGCCTAAACTGACAGATGGTGACAATGGACCAAGAGGTGATCTGGATAGGGATCCAGACATCCGCCCCCAATCTCTTCGAGACTAGCTGCGAAGGCAACTCCGCAGCAAGAAAGCAGACGTAGAAGATCGTCATACCCGTGTTGTAGTTGTTGGTGTTCATGTTCAAGTCTTCAAGGAGGTTGTCCGACACAGCCTGCGCCAAATTGCCTCTGTCCAACTGCAAAGCCGAGAAGAAGATGCATGCAAGAAACGTGACCCGGAAGTCCAGCTTGAAAGTTAGTTTTCTCTGTGCCTGTTTCGACCACTTGAAGTACGGGTCGAACTTCCCACGGCACTCGTACTGCGCATCCTCGTAGAGGTTCACGTACTTTTCCCGGAATTTTTCGTTCAAAAAAGGGTTGTTTGCGGAGTCGGGAGCCTCGTCCTCCGAGAGGATCGACTGTTGGAAGCTGTCTACTTCGTGTCCCTTGATGAGGTCTTGCTCGTTGAACGACGACGAGTCGGACAGGTCTTCGGTTGCCATCGTGACTGCTTAGTGTATGCCGTGGTCAGAACCGTAGCAATACGATGTGAGAGATGCACAACAAGAAACCGAATCTAACACCATCTACAGCCTCTGATCCACCTATTCAGAATCAAATTTTTTACAGGCAATCCATGGCATATTTATATAAAGAGGGCCTAGCTGGAAAAAAAAATTCAACCACCTTTGCAGATGGCATCGCCAGTGACACCCATGGCGATATCATCAATCCGATAGCCTTATCCGGCAGACAAACGGGGAGCTTTCTCCAGGAGAGGAGCGGCAGACAAACTGTGGAGATCTACAGACAGTGTGGCAGAGAACCACGACGAAAAAGTCACGTGCGCGAGGCCAAGCACAGTACGCATAACGAGCCTTTTTTCCACGCTGGGCGTCTCCCATCTTATCGGGGCGTCGCCACCACGGCTTGGCGGGGCGTGGCCACCATGGCTGGGCGGGGCGGGGCATGGCGGCGGATTAGCTGGCGCCCGGGCCGGGGTTCGGTTTTCCTGGGCCCAGTCGAGTAAACCGCAACCACAATGGCGCAGCGATGGGCGATGGGCACGCGGCCGGAAGGAGTTAGACATGGAGATGAGAGGCCGGCTTATCGATTTGCACTGGCGTCTTGGACGCCAGTGCAGGCGCCATGGTGTGCGGGGGAAGCGCACGTGACCAAAGGAGGGCTTCAAGCCCTTCGCCGACGCGTCGGCGGCTGATTTTTGGGAATGAGCGCACGTGACAAGATATGCTGCCGACGCGTCGGCAGCTGGTTTTCCTCCTGTGGCATTCTCGCTGTGTGCTGCCGTTTGCAGCAGTGTATGTCCTGGCTGCGGTGTCGGCGTGGGCTGCCCTCTGCAGCGACACAGCCGAGGCACTTAAGGGACGTTGGCATCCCTGCATCGCCTGCACCGTTTCCCTCCTTATCAGCGGGGCCTTTAGACACAGAGGCCCCGTGCCCTGCACGTCAAACAACAGCGACAAAGTCCGTGGAGGCAGTAGGGCGTGCCGATGTGTCCCTAAAGGCAGGTGTGATGGATTCACCTGTGCTTAACGGATATGCTGTGGTGGGTGGGGGAGGCGGAGTGTGTTTCTGTGGTGTTATAAATACCGTGGTGTAGGCCTCCCTGCTGTTTGAACGGGTGTCAGTTGCTCCTTCGTGTGTGGTAGATAGTTCGGGCTGTGTTCCTACTCACTCGTCACACACACACACTCACACTTACACACATACACACCAAATGTCGAACCCCCACTACAAACTGTACCCAAAGAAACACGTCACGGTGATCAAGGCGCCCTTCTCGGGCGGCCAGGGCAAATCGGGTGTCGAGGACGGTCCTGAACAGCTGCTCAAGTCCGGCTTGCTGCATCAAATCGAGTCGCTCGGGTGGGAGTGCTCAGTTGCCGACCCGCTCGAGGGCTTGGACTCGGCCAAAATGAAGGCCAACGTCGAGGACGTCTACGAACGGTGCAAGAGGCCGCAGATGGTGAGCGAATGCTGCGAGAGAATCTACAAGGCCGTCGAGACGTGCCACCAGCAGGGGTCGTTTCCGCTGACCGTGGGCGGGGACCACTCGATCGGGATGTCGACGATCACCGCTTTCGTCAACGCACACCCAAACGGAGGCATCATCTGGGTCGACGCACACGCAGACATCAACACCTCGTCGACAACGTGTTCCGGGAACTTGCACGGCTGTCCTGTGGCGTTTGCCATGGGCTTGGACAGGAAAAACTGGCCTCCGCAGTTCAAGTGGTTGGACGCACTCAAGACCCTCGTCAAGCCTGAGCAGATCACCTACATCGGCTTGAGAGACGTCGATGCTGGCGAGAAGAAGATCCTCAGAGACTTGGGAATAAAGGCCTTCAGCATGTACCACGTCGACAAATATGGCATCAACGAGGTTGTGCGCATGGCCATGGAGGCCGTCAACCCATCCGGCGAGAACCCAATACATTTGAGCTATGACGTCGACGGAATAGACCCATTGTACGTCGCAGCAACAGGCACCCCCGTCAGAGGCGGCTTGACCTTGAGAGAGGGGCTCTTTATCGTCGAGGAGGTGGCGAACTCGGGCAACTTGGCAGGTCTCGACATCGTCGAGGTGAACCCCTCCTTAGCCACAACGGACATACACATTGTCGATACGGTCAACACAGGTTTGTCCATCGCCAAATGCGCCTTGGGCGACACTATCCTCTAAAACAGGTCCAAACTCTTCCAAGCACAGCTACATAGATAACGTATACGTACACACAAAACTTAAAATAGTAACGAGACGATAGTCAGACACACTCCGCCGGCAGGGCATGTATAAGCGACAACGCATCGCCGGTAACGGGGAAACAACATCAAGAGAAAACTCCGCACCCACGGTTTTTTTCCAGCTCCTCGAGGAGTCATAGGCTCCTGTACTACACATGAAGCCTGGTACATAGGACCGTCGAAAAAGGTCCACCAATTTCCTTCTCTCTCACGGGCTGTCCTAGACGTGGACACCTTTTGATTTGACCAACTTTCAGCAGTGATACCCTAGAAAACATCGGTTTTTTTTTTCCCCAGAGCCATGCCAGAATCAAAAACAGAACCTCCTCCAAGATACGCCGGCTTCATCGCCGGTGTGTTCTCAGGAATGATGAAAAATGCCGTTGGCCATCCCTTCGACTCCGTGAAAGTCCGTCTGCAAACTTCCTCAGGCAGGTTTACCGGACCCCTAGATTGTACCATCAAAACGATTCGGAACGAAGGTGTGGCAGGGTTGTACAAGGGTTTCACACCACCCTTGGTCGGGTGGGTGCTCATGGACTCGGTCATGCTTGGTTCGTTGCATGTGTACCGGAGATTCGTCAAGGAGAACTTCTTTCCCGATGCCAAGAAAATGCCTCTGGTGGGTCACTGCGCTGCTGGACTTTTATCTGGGTGGACAGTGTCTCTAGTCGCAGCACCAATCGAACAGCTGAAAGCCAGATTGCAAGTCCAATACGACGCCAAGAGCAGGGTCTACACCGGCCCCATCGACTGCGCCTTCAAGCTCTGGAAACACGACGGCCTAAGAACCCTGTACAAGGGTTTGGTACCCACGATGATTTTCAGAACCAACTTCATCGTCTGGTGGGGATCCTATGAAATAATCACAAACTACTTCACCGAAAATACCAACATGAGCAAGGCAGCAGTCAACTTCTGGGCCGGTGGCCTCAGTGCAACCTGCTTCTGGATCACAGCCTACCCATCCGATGTTGTAAAGAACGTCATCATGATCGACAATGTCGACAACCCTAGATTCAAAAAATACACAGATGCCGTCAAGTACGTCTACACGGAGAGAGGAGGACTCAGGGGCTTTACCAGGGGCTTTGTTCCAAGTATTTTGCGGAGTTTTCCGGCCAATGCTGCTGCCCTAGCTGCCTTTGAGTTTGTTATGAGACTTTTCTAATTGCCTCGAACCTGTTTCCTAATTCCACTTCTCACTCCTCAACCCCCTCCCCTCCCCTCTTTATTTCCCTCCATCCCTTTTCTGCATCCGAGATGCCCAGCTGGATTTGGATCTCTCCTTTCTTTCATATTCCCCTCGTCTTCTCCTTAAAAATCGATATAGACCTTTATACACTGTTAACATTCCGACTCCAACGAGCTCTCAATTTCCTTAGATGATGACGTAAACGCGGAGATCAAAGTGGCAGGAAAAGTTCACCAGATTTTGTACCTTGAAGTGTTCACAACAACGGCCTCTTCATAGCTAGTCTTTACGCCACAAGGCGGCAAGCAAAGGCTAGTTCAAGAGACAGTGCACTAGGACTATGTCGAGTAACAGGAAGAAGAGACTGTCGTTGATCGACTTCTTCGGGAAATCCTCAGACACAGCGCCCAAAAGCGGCAAGAAACACCAACGCTCCTCTTCAGATACATCAAAGATTTCCGCCAAGAACAATCCTCACAGGTTGACATTCCAGATCCCCGATGAATCTATCGTATCGAAGGTAGACCTGTCAAAAATTCCAAAACCACCTGTGCCGGCAAAGAATAGATACGCCGGTTTGCAAAACACAAGCAGTTCACATACAAATGCCAACTCTAGTTCTAATAATAGTAGTCGAGTCAAAAGCTTGCCTGCGACGACATCATCTACCAACGGCATAGCTTTGCAAAAGGAGAACTCTAAGCTACCAGAAACTTCCAGGGAGAAACCGGAGTGGCAACGATCTAGCCCATACCATTCTAACTCACAGCCGTCAGAAAAAAGGCAAGTAAGCAATTCCAGCCTTTCCTCTTCGATGTACCCAAACGAACTGAGTCCCATCACAAGTCTGAGAAACACTAGCAATTCAACTTTGCCAGATTTTTCAAGGCAAACCTCTTCCATATACCCTGCCTCAACCTTTGCTCAGGATAGCCCCCATAAAAATTATCTCGAATCGTCAGGAACAATAAGTAAACGAACGGATTTGCTTCGAAAACGGAGGCCGCCTCCGCCATCGCTGAAAGTCAAGATATCAGATCCATCCATGACCCAACCAGAGCTTCAGTCGCCGTCTGACACAATGAAAGCATCGGCGGCAGACTCTAATCATCTATCAGAATATGATAGCACCGATGGAGAATTTACTCCATTGAACTTGATACCGCCCACCTCCATTCCTGCAGCCATGAAGAGTGGACAACTAAGTGCCGACAAACTTTTGAATCCTTCCAAAAATGTAATGTTTGTCAACTCAACCACAAGCTATGAACCTCCAAATTTTCATTCCGAGGACTACAAATATAATTCCAAAGACCAATATCAAGACAAAAATGTCCACAAGCATTCGAGAACATTGTCGAGTATTGAGGAAATTACCAGTGCTCTTGACAGTTTCCAATTAGAGCATGAGAAATCTTTCATGTCGGAAGGTTCTCAAGGTCGTATGGAGACAGAAGGAGATACAGATGGGGATGCAGCAGGAGGAACCCTTTCGTTTACTTCTAGTCCAGTAAGTGCCACAGAAAGACCAATAGCTCTGCACCTTACTCAAGATTTAGGCAAATCGAACTTGAATAATGATCTTGCAGCAGAAAACGGCGCCACAGATGAAAACAATGGTATCTTTGTAAAGGTGAAAGACCTGCCTCATCTACAAAATGGTGAAACGCTGGACCAATATATATCTAAACTGAAGACCGCTGCACCAGACTCTTACCTCTCTGCAGATGATAACAATAGTGAGAAAACTCATTTTCTTGAGCTGGAAAAACCTAAGTCTGTTGGGGGTGGATCTGAAAATTCTAGTGCTTCAGATGTGTTTTTCGACGTTGATGAGCCTTCCAAAGATGCCTCGCTTGATGGAAATATACATCGTGCCACATTTGATGAGGATGTGGGAGATTCACCTGAACAGCAAGCATCAGCTGTTAACAATATGAGTATTAGTGGAAATAAATATCATTCCGGAGAAGCTCGAAGCCTACAGCCTAATGGTTTTGCTGACTTGAGTGCTCAAGATATTGACGATGATGTCGAAAATGAAGTACTTGATGATTACTCAGAAGAGGATCTTATTGGCCCTCTGGATGGCTCTTTCGAATCATTAGTCCATCATGCGAAGCCGGTAAGTATTGCTGAAGACGAAAAGTATATTAGTGGTGATGTTATTGCCGAAACACAAACCATTTCCACTGTAGCTTCGAATATTCCGGAAAGTATTGAAGCAGATGATGGAGTTTGGGAAAGATACAGTAGTGCAACGAATTTTTTCAATAATGCTGATGAACTACATGATGGAAAGATTGTTGATGATGATGAAGAGGGCAATGATCGCGATGCCTTATATGGTGTTAAAAATGTCAGTACACATTCTGATAGCAGTCGATCTCTTATTTTGACGCCGACAGATAGTCGGCCTTACGTCGATATGGGAATGAATCTAAGCAACTCTTCTCCTCATCGTGACTTTGATCTGGGTGATGAGCTTGAAAATAACGTAACTGCTGTTTTGCCTGAAACTTCTAGTTCTAGGAGTCTTGAAGATCTCTATCCTACACATAGCAGTGATGGGGGTAATGAAGACGACGACGACGATGACGCTGATGATGATGTTGAAAACGACGATGATGAAAACAATGATCAGAACGATGATGATAATTATGATCGCTTCGAAGGATATGATAGCCAAGATAATGATAATATGAGCTACATTGTGGATGATGAACGCAATCACATGGATATCGGCAACTACACTTCCGGTGAAGACAGTTTCAAGCAGCAGCAATACAGTATGAAGAATAAGGCTGTTGAAACTAATGACTTGACCCCAACTGACTTTTCCAAAGGCGCAGTTGCTTCAGGTGAGAGCTCTTCGGAAGAAAACGATGATGATGACGATGGTGTGTTAGAGTTTTCTCCGAGATCTCCTCGGTCACCTCGGAGTGTTGATTCTATCGAAGAGATGGCTCAGACCCCAGAAATTTTCAGACACAACTCGATGTGTTCTAAAAGCTTGCTAGAAAAAGCAAGTGGTATCAATCTGACAGGAACTCCGACTGGTCTTGGAATAGGTCCACGTCAGCACTTGGTCATTACCAACCAAGAACAAAGGTCGCTGGACGAGAATAGTTTGAGTAACAGAAATAGCGATGAGATTGAAAGAGCCCCGATTCCTGATCTTGAGTCCAACTTCTCCTACGAATCACGTCCACACAATCTCCCAGAGGACGATCCAGAAAATGATAACGACAATCATCAGATTATCTATGACCGTCGAGAAGAGCCAACAGTGATGCCAATTCAGCATTCGCTAGTCGTGACGCCCGCCGCTCCTGTGATAGGTACTTCTTCAACCCTGAAAAAGAGAAGACCTCCACCGAGTTACCCGTCGACTGGAAGGAGAGGCCGTGGACTGTCTGAAACGACAGCCAACCCTGAGCTGTTTGCTAATGGGATTGCCCAGCAGCCCAAGCCTCAAAGCAACGATAATGAGAGTAGCGAGGCTATCAGCAGAGGGTTCATCACTGTGGCTAAGGATCAGGCTGAGACATCCGTCGCTGAGGGCGGCAAAGCTCCTGTGATTCCAGAACAAGAAGAAGTCAACGAAGAACTTGAGAGCCGGAAAGGTGAAAAGTGTATTTACATCGAGAACCTGAGACTGAGGAGTAAGAAGACTGCCATCAACACTAAACCATCCGTCCAGGTTCTTCCTCTTGCTATCCGGCAGAACGGCACAATTTCTCATAAGAAAATCCCTTCGCAGCAGTTGACGCATTCTTTTAAGTCGAACAAGCATATGATGGCCAAGCCAAAAACACGGATGCTTGCCAGCGAAATAAACGACGGAGAGTTGCCTGACGCTACATTGATCCACAGGGGTCAGAAAACGAAGGTGCCAATCCATCCGGACGCCGCTGTCATTTCAGCCTCAGAGCAATTCAGCAAGCTGGCAAAGCAACAGGCTGGCACTAGCAGTGGTGGTGGTGGCGATTTGGGCCGCTTCAACAGTGTTTTGAGTGTCCGTCCTCACTACGGGAACGGGATGCGGTTGTTCATCACGAACCCTGATAGTGACGACGAATAGTCCGTCTTGTGCTGACCAAGATCACCCACCGCTTTTATTCTACATCGTATAATTTTGACCTTGTAACTTTGTACCTCGTAACTCTTACTTCTAATATCATATCTTCAATAGCTTATTCAAGTCTATTATTACTGTCTCGAATGGACCAGATCTGCGTATAACCGCGCCACGCTACATTGCTGCCCCGTGTCTCATGCGCCACGGATCAGGGTGCCAGGTAGCTTTTTTGGCGAGGTGCGGCCGTCGAGGAAAGGTGGGTGTTGATGACGGTGTTGGTTTGGTGATCGAGCAGAAGAGGTACGTGTTTACTCCACGAAGGAAGAGCAGAAGAGCTGATTTGGAACATAACAACTTGCAAAAGAAACATTTTAAAGTGAAGCTCTGCAAACATGCCGGAGACTGCCACTTACACACTGGTCTATGAGGTATGTTCTCGTTCTTAGGGGTTATTGACTGTTGTTTTTCAACTGCTTCCAGATTTATTAGCTGGCGAAGCCACTGATTTGAACAGCATTTATGCGATTATTGTTTTTTTCTTTGCAGAAGTATACTAACATGTTTCAATTGAATAATTTAGCCAAGCACGTCGCCAAAATTCAGTGTCAATGAATTCAAGAACAAGCTTGAAAAGGGCGATGACGAGTCCAAGATTATCACGATGCGCCAGATCTTGATCACGATGATCAACACCGATCCAATGCCAGAGCTTTTGATGCATGTCATCAGATACGTGATGCCTTCCAAAAGCAAGGAATTGAAGAAGTTGTTGTATTTCTACTGGGAAATCTGCGAAAAGTATGACAAGGAAGGGAAGTTGAGACATGAAATGATCTTGGTCTGTAATGCCATCCAGAGAGACTTGCAGCACCCAAACGAATTTATTAGAGGTGCCACATTGAGATTCTTGACCAAGTTAAAGGAACCTGAGTTATTGGAAACATTGGTTCCAAACTGTAGGGTCTGCTTGGAGCATCGTCATGCCTATGTCAGAAAAAATGCCGTCTTTGCAATCTATTCCATTTTCAAAGTTTCAGATCACTTGATTCCTGATGCGCCAGATTTAATTCTTGACTTCTTGTCGGTTGAAAGCGATGCAACCTGTAGAAGAAACGCGTTTGTCTGTTTGAGCAATTTGAACAGAGAGGCGTCATTGAGATACATCCAGGAACAACCTCTTGACTCGTTGGATCCTTTGATCCAATTGGCCATCATCGAGTTCATCAGAAAAGACGCTTTGCAGTACTCAGACTTGAGATCACAATACCTACAAATTGTCACTTCTTTGTTAGATATCTCGAACACTGCAGTTGAGTACGAAGCTGCCACAACATTAAGTGTCTTGAGCTCTTCTCCAAGTGCTGTCAAAAGTGCCGCTGCCAAATTTGTTGAGCTAGCTGTGAAAGAGTCCGACATCAACGTGAAGTTAATTGCGCTTGAAAGAATCAGCGAGTTACATTCTGAAAACCAGGATGTTCTAGATGACATTTGCTTGGACATCTTGAAAGTTTTGTCTTCTCCTTCAGTTGACGTGAGAAATAAGGCAATTGAGATTGGTTTGAAGCTGGTTTCCAGTAAAAATGTCGAGGATGTTATCAAGCTTTTGAAAAAAGAATTGCATAGAACCACCAACTCAAATGAAGATAAGAATGTCGAATACAGACAAACTTTGATCAGTGCAATTCACTCAATCGCCATCAAGTTCCATGAAATCGCCGCTTCCGTTGTCGATCTCTTGTTGGAATTCATTGGCGAGTTGAACACAGCTGCTGCCTCCGAAGTGATCACCTTCGTCAAACAGGTGATTGAGAAATATCCTGATCTCAGAGTTAACATAATCAACAGATTGCTTATCTCTCTATCCAACGTCAAATCGGGTAAGGTTTACAGAGGAGCTTTGTGGATTTTGGGTGAATACTGTTTAGAGGAAGCAGACATTCAATCGACATGGAAGTACATTAGAACGAACATTGGTGAGATTCCAATTTTAGCAGCAGAGAAGAAGCTCAACGGTGCTGACGATGAAGAAAATAATGGTGAAGCAGCCGGTACCAAAGAAAATGGAGAATCCAAGTCGGGTCCTAAGATTTTGGCTGATGGTACATATGCCACAGAGAGTGCATATAGCGAGTCAAAGGAAATCAAGTCGAAATCAAATAAGAACCTGAGAACTCCAATTAGAAGCTTGATCATAGATGGTGACTTTTACCTTGCCTCTGTTTTGTCATCAACTTTGGTCAAATTGATCTTAAGATTGAATAAAGTTTCCGAACGTAAGGACCTTCTTAATGCATTAAAGGCAGAAGCTATGTTGATTATGGTTTCTATCTTGAGAGTCGGTGACTCGCAGTATGTGAAAAAGAAAATTGATGAGGATTCATCCGAAAGAATCATGTCTTGTATAAGATTTTTGTCTGAGGATCAAACTGACATCAAATTGTTGGAAGAGGCTTTCTTGGATGACACTATGGATGCCTTCAAGCAACAAGTGGAAGAACAACTCTCGAAGCAAGCACAAAACACGGAGACGTTGCATGTCACTCAAGAACAGGTTGATGAGCCTATCGCCTTCAGACAATTTGTTAACAAGGACAACAAGGTTGTTGATGATAATGAAAAAGAACTCAATGCTGTCCAGCACGGCGCCCAGCCAAAGGAAGATTTGACTTCGAGATTGAACAAGATTGTCCAGCTTACGGGTTTCTCTGATCCTGTTTATGCGGAGGCATACGTCAAGGTTCACCAATACGATGTCACCCTTGATGTCCTCATTGTCAACCAGACCACTACCACTTTGCGTAACTTGAGTGTCGAGTTTGCTGCATTGGGAGACTTGAAGGTTGTCGACAAGCCAACGTCGAACAACATTGCCCCACATGGTTTCCATAGATCGCAAACTACCATCAAGGTCTCGAGTGCCGATACCGGTGTCATCTTTGGTAACATTGTCTACGATGGGCAACATGCCGATAACAGCACGATCGTCATTCTAAGTGATGTCCACATTGACATCCTAGACTACATCAAGCCAGCTGTGTGTACCGAAGCACAGTTCAGAAAGATGTGGAACGAGTTCGAATGGGAGAACAAGATCAGCGTCAACTCCACCTTGCCTAGCTTAAAAGAGTACCTCGAGGAATTGTTGAGAGGCACGAACATGAACAACTTGACCCCTGGTGCCATCATCGGTGATTGCCAGTTCCTGTCTGCCAACTTGTATTCCAAGTCGACGTTCGGGGAAGATGCACTAGCCAATCTGTGTATCGAAAAGAACGCCGACGGCTTGATTGTCGGACACGTAAGAATCAGATCGAAGGGCCAAGGTCTTGCTCTCAGTCTTGGAGACAAGGTGGCTGCTGTGGCCAGAAAGACTAACGGTGTTGTGGTCACTGAAGTGTAGGTAGGCTCCTGTTTTAATATTCTTTTATTTATAGTCCGTATACAAAAGAAATGAACCAAATTCGAAATAAGTTGCAAGCACAACTTCTTTGTTGTGTCGTGCCGCGACGCCTACATTGTTGCACTCCACCTCTACAGCGGATGAGAAGGAAATCTCGTGTCTGGCTTTCACGCACTTTCCTCTCTTTGTTGTGGTTGTTACCACTGCACCTACCGCTCGGTCTATCCGAACTGAGTGAGATTCAGATTTGAAAAGAAGCGTCACTGTTCGTCGGAGACGGGAGGTTTTTCGGATATATAGTGGCGGAAAGCGGCATATCATTCGATGGAGTACATCAAGCAATTTCGTGAGCGTTATGCATACGACGACCCCTTAGCGGGCTTAAAGCCATTTGTGGATGCGACAATCAAGCCTTACGTTCCTTCCACATTTCAGGATACGGAACTGGTTTCCAATAACCTTCACACGATAGTGTTCGGTGTCACTTTGTACTCGGTACTCTTTCAGTTGTCTAAGTTGTTACTTCTCTTTCCTAGTGTTTCTGTCCCTCTGAAAAACAGAAAGAATCGCTTAGATTTCTGCATCAGAGTAGTGTCATTCATCCAGGCTGTGATCATATGCGGCTTAGGCATTCCTGTATTTGGCAACAGCTATCTTGCCGAGGATCGTGTATTTGCTACCACACCATACTCAAAGTTCTACACTTCGATGGCCCTGAGTTACTTCATATGGGACACGATATTTTCGACAATTTACGTTAGGTTTTTCGGTTTAGGGTTCCTAGTCCACGGCATCGTTTCCACGGCTGTTTTCTGCATTGCATGTGAATACAAGTTCATTCAGTACTATTCTGCCACATTCCTTTTGTTTGAAATCTCTACACCATTTTTGGATATAAGATGGGTTGGATTGAAGTATGATGTGTTGAGTGAAACGTTCAAGCTGGTGAACAACATCATTTTGATCTTGATTTTTTTCTTTATCCGGATCTGCTGGGGATGGTACCAGGTTGCCAGATTGGGAGTGGATCTCTACGCTGCCAGAAACAAAGAAGGCTTCACTACAGTGGGAGCACTCATCATTTTAGGCTGTAATATGGTGTTGGATCTTCTCAATGTTTACTGGTTCACCAAGATGATGACTGTTGCTATTGAAACCTTGAAAAAGATGTTCGGTTTCAAGCAAAATGACGATAAGCTGAAGCTCATGTAGATATCTCTAGTATAATATTTTATTTTTTTCCTATTGTGTCACTCCCGATTATTAGACCTTTTTAGACATTCGACACAACCAAGTAATCAATAAACAAGTGTATGTAAAAGACTTGATACAAATGCTATTCTAACATAGATTTACATTGCACGTAACCCTCTTTAGCAAGGTTCTCCAATCCGATGTCAACATCGAGTTGGATATCCTTCTTCAATGCTTCGATTCCCTCATAATCCAATTCAGGTCGAAGGTACCCACAAATGACAGCACTCAGATCTGCACCGTAGAAACTTTGGGAAAATTCGTGGATGATGTATATCTCACACGTCTTTTCCTTGTTACCGTAGTAAGGGTTCCATCCTAGTGACATCACCATTGGAAAGATGTGTAAATCCGTATCCTGTAGCTCACGACCATAGTTCAAAACCACAGATGACTTACCATCCACTCTATCCACTCGCTTGTCGTCTAGCTTCAAGTTTTCCGACTTGTACAGTTTTGCATATCCAAAATAGACACCAGCCTCGAGGTCTTGAAGTGCACTGCTGTCTTTGATGCTGACATTGGCAGTTGGGAACCCAAGATCCGAAGACCCACGGCCAAATCCAGGAATAACGGCAGTTTTCGATACTTTAACGGGGAAAGGTGCCACCGGAGCTGGTGGTATTTGGATATTGGGTCTAACCATCGTAATTAGAGCTGCTGTTTTTGGCTTATGCTCAATGCAATGAGATAAAGCCTGATAGCAGCCAGCTCGATACCTCGCAAAGAGAGTATGTCACCTTAAACGGTTATTTTTTAGCGGTGATTTATTACATAATAAAATTTGTGATCCAGTTGAAACAAGTTCATCTGTCTTTGCCCGATTGGTAGGGCTGCAATCTGTGAGCAGTATTAATATGTTACAGTCTAAATGTTCTATACAAAATCTATAAATTAGTGTTCATCTGGTGGAATCATGGTTCCATCTGAGGGAACGATTTAATGGAGCCCTTCATCCACTCTTCTCCGAGCAATCTCAATCTAACTTTTCCTGCGGATGAACCACCGTTAACCGAGGTCCATTGCTCGGAAACAAGTCTCAGAAGTTTCTGACTCTGCTTGCCGTACGCCTGGAGAAACTCAACAGAGCATGCGTCCCACCATGCGCCCACTATAGAGTAGTGGGTTTCCGACAACTGGTCCGTCGGCACGTCCACCATTCGAGAAAGAAATATCCACGAGTATTTGATAGGCAACGGGTGTTTCGTTGTTGAAGGATCGTATCCAACATATGAAGAGTCCAGTTTGAGACGAGTTATCACTGAGTACAGGGTAGATATACCGCATAACCGTTCGTTGTGTTGCTCTTCGATTTCCCACTTGCCTGTGTCTTCATCCCTGGTCCAGCCCAGCCGGACTCTCCCCTCCTCGGTGTCCTGAGAGCACGAGTAGCCAAGCAAGAAGGGACAAGAGGAATAGAACTTTGCCAGCAGAAAGTACCGTAGCTCGTCAAAGAGAATGAGCAAGTTCAACGTGAGTTTTGCCAATGGCAACGAAGCAGACGGTTTGACAGACACCTCGGTTTCCGCCTGAGAGATTATCGCATCGGAAATGAAATTGAGAATCCATTTGTAGACGGAGTCATGTGCCCTGGTCTGTTCAATCAAAAGCTTGATCTCGTTGGTGATTCGGACCAATTGGTTTTGGCTCTTGGTCAACTGGCCAAACTTGGGATTGATCTTACGTTTGTGGCTTCCAGCAGCTTTCTTTAGCTCCTTATTGGCGTTCATCGGCTGCACGATTTGGGTATCAATGTCCTTCACATCCTGCATATACTTCAAGTACAGCAACTCAATCTCCGCAGGTCTGACAACCATTTTAGAGGCTTCCTCTTTGGCTCTCTTGAGGGCCTCCTGTTTCTTTGCTGCTGCAGCTTCTTCCTCGGCCTTCTGCTTCTGCAAGCGTGCTTGCTCTTCCCTCTTCAGTGCCTCTTGTCTTGCCTTTTCCTCCTCTTGTCGACGTTTCAGTTCTTCTTCTTTCCTCCTCTGCTCTGCCAGAAGCTTCCTTTCGGTCTCTTCCTTTGCTTTCCTTGCAGCCTCTTCCTCTCTCCTTCTCTGTTCCTCGATTTTCCTCCTTCTTTCCTCCTCCTCTTTTCTGATGCGTTCTTCCTCGATTTTCAACAGACGTGTCACTGCATCTCTCCTCTTGGCTCTTTCATCCGTGAACTGTGATATGAAAAACTTCGACAAAGGTTCCGGTCCTTTGGCAGACGTCTCCGCAGCCGTCCCCGCCAAATCGCCTGTTGGCGTTTCGGGGTTGTGTTCAATATAGTACCCATGATCATCTTCCACATAACCGTAGAGAGAGGTGATTGCTGCACTGTTTTCAGCCAAGGTGCATGCCAAGTTGAACCGTTTTTCCAATCCTTGTGTGGATAGAAATTCGGGCAGCTTGCTCAAGTCTTCCAGCACTCCGACCTCGTCCCCCTTGCATACTGACGATGCAGAGCTGACATCACTCGTCACCTCTGCCTCTTCCGAGTTGACCACCCAGTTCGAGTGTGAGTTTGAGTTCACATCTGTATCTGTTTCTGTCTCTGAATCCGAGCAGTATTCTGGGTTCCACGGCTTTGTACTGGTCTGCAGCTCTGCATTCCTGTGAGGCACAAATCTCATCTTGTACTAACTTGTGCTTTATTCTTTGTACTATCTTGGCCTTCTAATTGCCTGTTCGTCACCTCTTTCTACGTTCTTTTACTGTCTTCTATGCTTTGTATTACAGACCCTCCCTTACTGTCAGGCTCCAGTTCCCGCTTACCCGGAAAAGACGGCTCTCTTTTTTTCCCCCCGGTTTTTCGCTTGGGAAGCTCAGCATTTTTCATGGCGGACACTAACAGAAGAATGCCGTGATGGGAGTAAGAGTAGCTTGAGTATGTGAAGCCAGCTTGGAGCCAGCCGCCAGACAGCAGACAGGAAACCAGAGACCCAGCTGCACAAAGATGTTTCCACAGTCGATCCGTCACTTTTCGTCATCGGCCGCCGCCCAGAAGGTCGGATGTTCGCAGGTCAAGCCTGTTCACCACAAGGTGAGAATCATCAAGAAGTTTCTTTCGCCACGGTTCCCAGAATTGAAGCTGGAGCCACACGACATCAGATCTCCCAAGTTTAGACCGTATCTGACCCACCAGGACCGGGTGCAGGAGCACTACCACAACACGCTGGAGTCGGACCTCCTTTTGATCAACTACAAGCACGGACAACAGCCTGTCTACGGAACCAAGAGAAGACAGTGGGACATGAGCTCGCCATACCACCTCAACAGACCGTTGAGAAAGCCAAAGGGCCAGATCGTGCCTTCGCCAACCATCGAGCCAAAGACGTACGAGAACGTGCCTAGACTCGAGGCAGTCACGTTGAACTGCTTTGTGAAGGACGCCAAGCTATACCCAGCACAGGCCATCTCTGCGGCGTTGCAGCTCCAGCAGATAACGGGTGCCAAGCCACAGCCAATCTTTGCGAAGACCAACGTGCCTAACTGGAAGCTCAGACCAGGTATGAAGATGGGCGCCAAGATCACCCTCCACGGCCGAGACGCCTCGCAGTTCATCTCCACCCTCACCGAAATTGTCTTGCCAAGAACAAGGGAGTTCTACGGGATCTCCAACAGGTCTGGTGACAGGTACGGAAACATCGCTTTCGGGATGACCGCCGAGCAGGTCAAACTCTTCCCGGAGATCGAAAACAACCAGGACTCATGGCCACAGAACTTTGGGTTTGACGTCACCCTCCACACCAGTGCCCAGACAGACGCTGACGCCAGAATACTCCTAAGTGGTCTTGGTTTCCCCTTCACCGGTAACGAGAGAATCCCAAAGACCCTTCTCAACGACACCGAGCAGCCCGAACCAGCTGCTGCAGCCTAATCTTCCTCACGTTCTCTCACCTCCTCCTTCCCATTACCACTTAGCTTACACTCCTGTATATATCACACCCGTGTGTAATCGTACATCTCTAATAGATCATCCCCTAAGGTAGACACGCAACATGTCCTTATCTTTGGTCCCCTGCATGTCCGCAGCAAATGAGTCGCAGCGGCCTATTTTCGCAGACACAAAGACCCAACGGGGAACAGGCTGATGACGCAGGCAGACCCCAAAGGAAAGAGTAGGTTTTAGCTGGGGAAGGCACACACAACGGGCCAGAGATACACTCCTGTCAGCATTTTGTTGGTTCGGAGTCACCGATGCAGAGTATCTTGTCTTCTGCTGCCGAAACGTGCACCATCCCAAGCGGCAACAATTCAACTGCCGAAATATGTCAGTTCCTGACAGAACACTGCTCTGGTGTCCGCCATGTTTACCTGCGATATTACTACTGTGCCAACCTGGATAGCCCTGTGCTCTCGAATGCCGTACTATGGCTGTTTGTCATCACGGCGATCGGAATGCTATTTCTCATTTTGGGTTTACTAGCGTCCGACTACCTAGTGCCGAATCTTTCTGCACTTTCGGAGGCTTTGAAGATGGATGAAAAGTTGGCCGGGTTGACGTTGCTAGCCTTTGCAAATGGGTCGCCGGACATGTTGTCGACATACATTGCGATGAAGAACGGGATGACCACAATGGCGATTGGGGAATTGCTAGGATCTGCGAACTTCGCCCTAACGGTCGTTATCGGTGTCATGGCGATATACAAGCCGTTCAAGGTCAACCACCAGACGTTCATCCGGGACCTCGTCATCTTCTCAACGCTCTTGCTGCTGTCACTCTACATCCTGTCTGATGGCGTGATAACTATGGTTGAGTCGATTGTGCTCTGTGTGCTATATCTCGTGTTCATTGTACTCAACTTCTTCCTGCCGCAAGGTGGCGAGATGGAGGAGTACAAGGTTGACACGGATGCGTTAGCGGAGAGTGCAGCCACGGATGCTAACGCTAATGTGATTCCACAGTTATACTCCCACAACCTCATGAATGCGAATACTGAGAGTAGTGGGAACAATGGCCACCCAGATGACCAGAGTATAGACTCTGACGCATCGAACGACTCAAATGCCAGCCACAACGACTACTATTTTGCTCACAATATTGACAACTTAGAGAGAGGGAGAGCGTACAAGATCGCATTAATTGATTCGTTGAAGTTGGCATGGTTGTGGCAACGCAAAAGCTCCAGCAAGGCGATACCCGTCGAAAGCGGAGACATAGAGCAGCTGAACACAATCTCAGAAGTCACTCCACTGAACTCTCCGCAGAACTCAAACATCAACAGCTACGACAATACGGATGAAGCAGATGAAATCCACAGCGAGGCTCCTGCTCCTGCTCCTGCCCAAGATGCAAGCAATTCGAGCCCGATTATTCACAGTAGAAAAGCCAGAGATAAAGACGATTTCCAAATATTATACCCTTCGAGACACTCGGTTCTAGCACGAACCGACTCCTCTCTCTCGTTCAAAAACAAAGCTCCCGACTCGAGCATACACAATGCCCGGAATTCCACTCCAATCATCAACATACAGCCGTCCACCGGGAAGTCGAGTTTGGGGAACGAGGGCGACACTGAGGAGAGGAAAGACGAGACAAGGACGGACATTCCGAACCACTCGAGATTTGACGAGACGCTCTTGCCGCCTCCCACCTTGTACCATTCGAGTTTGGAGCCTCCTCTCAGCCCGATGCTGAGACAATTGTCTTCAACTTCCACACTCATCCCCTATGTCGAGTACCAGAAGACAAGAAACATGCTCCTCAAGATCTGTCCCATCCATATAGTCACCGGGGCTAACTCAGTGAGTGAGAGGTGTCTTGCCGTGATTCTTCTTCCCTTTTCTACGCTGGCGAACCTAATCATTCCTGTTCCGCTTCCGAGGGAGCTTGAAGGCGAAATATTCAGACATGAGCAGGCTTTGTCGGCCAGGCTTTTCCACTTCCAGATCGCCATAACGCCAATGGTCTTGTTCGACTTCCAGTTCTCCATCCTACTGGTACTCGTCTCGATATCGCTCCCGGTATTCTCCATCCTCTTGAGACGTCTATCCCCAGGCGCCTTCGACCTGATTTTCCCCATCCTCTCCTCGGTGTGCGGGTTTCTCTCCGTCTTGAAGCTCATCTCGATGGCTGCCTCTGCCATCATCTCAGTCTTGAGAGACCTCGCCGAGATCTACTCGTTGAACGAGTCGATTCTAGGGTTGACTATTCTCTCCTTGGGCAACAGTGTTGGTGACGTGGTCACCAACCTGGCGCTTGCCGGCTTGGGCAGACCGTTGACCGGCCTCCATGCTTGTTTTGGAAGCCCGCTTCTCTACATACTCCTCGGAGTTGGAGCCTGCTCCTTGATTGTGCAGCTTGCCATCACCGGCACAAGGACAATCGAGTTCAACGTCGACCGCAGCTTGCAGTTGACTGCCCTAAGCATCATCTTCATGCTCGTACTCTACAGCGTGCTTGTTCCACTCAACAACTGGACGTTTAAGAAGTGGATGGGCTACATCGGTGTTACCCTCTGGTTTGCCGTGACCTCTTTCAACTTCATCTTGCACCGGTACAGATGAACTATCTTCTGCTGACGTAAGCAATGTGGGCCCCAGGTCCACACAGCTGTGGTTCCACGGCTGATAAGCGCCTCGAGGAGTTCGGGATTTGGTGTCTGCGCCTTATCGCAACGGTTATTGTGGACGGAAACGTCTTCTGCCGCAGGAGCCACAGGATGGGACTGTGGCTCAAGGGGACTGGGGCGATGACGGGCCTCGGGAAGATGACTCGAGGGATGGTGATGACAAAGAGGAGGACAGGAAGGGGGTGGCGACAACGGCAGTGGTGCTGGAGCGTGTGTTATAAAAGAGAGACACTCTTGTATGTGTAGGTTAATCCTTGAATATAGAGCAGTCGAGCCGTAGATGGAGTTGGTGTAGATAGAAAATGGTAACAACATAGAGGTTTTATACAGGTGATAAAAGCGATGTCAGTTTTGCGTAGAACCTACCACGACGGTGCGATCCACTTCCAGAAGGACAGCGATGAGAAGACAGACGGGATCTTGACGGTCTCCAAGGAGAACTTGAAGCGGTTGAAGTACCCGGAGTGGGCGCCTACGTGGGACCCGAAGGACGATCACGCTTTCCAGAACCCCAAGCCTTTCAAGCATGTCGACCGAGGGTTTGCGGGCGATGCGGCATTCAAGTCGTTGAGAGACGTCGAGGGCGTAAAGTTCAGACAGATCAGCCCCAAGCTGGGACTAGAGGTCGAGGGGATACAGTTGAGCTCTTTGACAGACCAGCAGAAGAACGACATTGCGCTTTTGGTGGAGGAGAAGGGTGTGGTGGCGTTCAAGAAACAGGATTTCAAGAACCAGTCCTTCGAGGAGATCAAGAACTGGGGCCGGTACTTCGGTCCTCTCCACGTGCATCCGACGTCGGGTGCTCCGCTAAACCACCCGGAGTTCCACATGACCTTCAGAAGGGGCAGCAAGAAGGAGCAGGAAAAATTCTTTGCGGACCGGTTGAACAACGTCTCGTGGCACTCAGACGTCACCTACGAGAACCAGCCGCCGGGAATCACGCTCTTTGCCATGTTGCAAAGCGGAGAGTGTGGCGGAGACACCCAGTTCTTGGACATGTTTGAGATCTACGACCGGTTGTCTCCGTTGATGAAGGAGAAGCTTGATGGCTTGAAGGCCGTCCACACGTCAAAAGAGCAGGTCAGTGCTGCCAAGCAGGAGGGCGGTATTGAGAGGAAGGACGTGATCGACTCGATTCACCCCGTGGTCAGATACCACCCTGTCCTCAAGAGAAAGAGTCTCTTTGTGCATCGGGGCTTCACGAGAAAGATCTTGGGCTTGAAGACGGAGGAGAGTGACAACCTTCTCCTTTTCCTCTTCAACCACACCGCTGCCTGTTTAGACGCCCACGTCAGAATGCAATACGAAGAGGATACAGTTGTGGTCTGGGACAACCGCAGAACCCTACACACGAGAACGATGGACTGGGACTCGGAAGACATTCGACATGCATTTAGAGTGACTTCCATTGGAGAGAGACCTGTGGGCAGCCAGGAGGAGTTTGAGAGCTGGACCCCAGAGCTCGAAGAGGCGAACATCAAGCTAACGGACCATTATATCAACCTGAGCGCTGAGGAGTATTTTAACGAGGTCATTGCTAAGGAGCGCAAATGAAAACAGACGGTCATGGACCTGCTGTCCTACTTCAAACGCTAGTTTATTATTATACAGAAGATTGTCTATTCTTTTAATGCGGAGTTCTTTTTTTTTCAGAAATACACGCATTCCCATCCTTGGGGGATTTTTGCTGCCTTCAACGGGTCCAAGCCGTCCAACTTGTAGGTTTCGTGAAACATCTTTTTTGCCTTGAGGTAGTGGGGGCTCTTTTTGTCCTTGAACATCTCAAAGATTTGCGCTAGCTTTTCGACGGTGATGCAGGAGTAGTCTAACATTTCAACAAAAAGCCAGTCGAACTGCTCTTCAAGCTCTTTGTTCTTCAGCTTGGGTATTTCGGTCAACTTGTTCACAATCAGCTTGGAGACGCTCGACGCCTGAGTGAAGTGTTGGATTTCTAGAAGCTTGCAAAACAGCTGTAGATTATTCGGAAGCAGTTGCAGCGACTCATAGACCAGACATCTGGCCTTGTCGAACTCCGAAGACAGTATGTATAGGTCGACCAACCTGAGGCGGACCTTCAAGTTCGCTACCGGGTTCAAATAGACACCCTTGAGAAGAACCAGCTTGGCAGAGTCGAGGTCGTTGTAGTTCAGGTAGTAGTTGGATAGCTTGATCCAGAAAAACGGATACGACGCGGCCGGTATAAGGCATCGACTGTAGAGGGTGTCGATCAAGGAGATGTTGTTCTTGATCAAAGAGAGCTCCTTTTCCTTTGTGGCTGCCTTCAAGTTCAGCGTCTCCACGTATTCTATGTAGGAGCGCCAGGTCTGCAACTCGAGTCGGGAGAGCTTTTCGTTCGGCACAAAGTAGTGGGTGGAGAGGTTTTTCTCGAAATAGTAGAACTTCCAAGAGTGGTACTGCACGGTGATGAAGAGGTCCAAGAACTTCTTGCGTAGCTCCAGCTTTAGCTTGCGCAGGTTCTCGTCCCTGAGGAGGTCGTCCCAGGTGAGGCCGAAATCCGCCTTCAGATCGCTCTTGGAGACCAGGAACTTGATTGTGTCCAGGTCGGCGTCCTCTATTAGGTTGAGGAACGTCTTGAAGTACTTCAGGTAGTCGTGCTGCGGAATCTCTATGATTTTCCGCAACACGAGGTGGTACTCCCGGACGAGTCTGTTGTTTTTCAAGAAGAGGAGGTACTTGTCGAAGAAGGGGCTGCCGAGGTAGTGATAGCCGATGGCCTCGCGGGCTCTCTCGAAGCTCGCCAACATCTGGGCGTTGTCTGAGTTTATTCTCAGCTGCACGTCGAGGTATGCGTTCCAGAGGAGCAGCGACTGCGGCAGGATGAGCAAGGCCCGTTCGAAGGTCTCCACCGCGCCGGCCAGGTCGTTGAAGGTGTAGAACCACGTTGCGTAGTTGACCCAGTACTGCTCCAGAAGCGGGAAGTTCACAAGCAGGTTTTCGTACGCCAGCAGCACCAGCCGCCTCTCCACGGCGGGCGAGCGGCTGCTGACCGGGTACTTGGTTTTGACGTTGAGCGACGGCAGGAACTCGGTCAGCTGGACCAGCTTCTCCCACGCCTCGAAGTCGTCCGGCCGGCCCGCCGCCTCCCTGGCGGCAGCCACCCACTGGTCTTTGTTTGGTATGCGGGACAGGTCTATCTCCATTGTCGCTGTCTGCAGAGAGAGAACCAGCTGCACTGCTGAGGAGCCTCTTTGGCAACCAGACAGAGCCGCCTCCCCTACCTGTGAAGCACAGATTTGCAGATTCATGCTGTCTTCTCGAAACGGAAGAGAGGCGGCTCGCGCCTTTGGTGAGGGAAAGCTCAGCGCAGCTCGGGAATGCTCAGCTGCTCAAGACAAGGCGGCTCTTGCCAGCAGACGTCTCTTGGCTCTGTCGGACACGCCTGCCAGCACAGAACGCAAGCAGCAAGCAAGCAGACATGTCCGGAAAGACCCTGTTCAAGCAGATGTACGCTGCGCTCGAGAAGAGCGTCGCGTCCAGCCACCAGACGCATCTCAAGGAAATCCTCAAGAAGCAGGACGCCCTGATCCACTACAAGCGGATGCAGTACATGAATGCCGGCAAGAAGCTCAGTGCCGACGAGGACGCCCGGCTAGCCGACGAAGTGCGGGAGAGGTTTGCGTCCAAGCTGCCCGCCCTCGACGTCCACCTGCTGGCACATCTCGACCAAGAACAGCTCCACCGGGCCGAGGCCGAGCACCTCCAGAACATCACCACCTTCCTCGACTCGCAGCGTGAGTACATCGAGCTTCTTGAGCGTTACAACCCGGGCATCAGCATGAAGCAGACCGACAAGGTCCGCAAGACTGCCCGCCGGGTCGGCCTTGAGGTGCCAGAGTAGTGGCCTTCCTCCAACCCTGTATATATAAACACTAACTTAACACTGCAAAACCGAATTTTGAGTCGATCGGCGTAAAATTCGCTTTTTTGAAGAATTTTTTCTTTTCTCCCGCTTTTTTCGTACAGCTGAAAAATTTTATCGCTATCAAGACATGAAAGAGAGAGACGGTTAAGAGGAAAAGAAGAACAGAGGAGAAGAGAGCAGAGCTGAGAATCCGGCAGACAGACAGACGGACACAGAGACACAGCAATGGGCAAAAAAGAGGGATCCGAGACAGACAACTACGACACAAAATTGCCGTACGTGCTACCGTTCGCACAGCCTCTGGCATCGAAGAAGCTGAACAAGAAGCTTCTCAAGACAGTGAAGAAGGCTGCAAAGGCCAAGCACGTGAAGCGGGGAGTGAAGGAAGTTGTGAAGGCGCTCAGAAAGGGGGAGAAGGGTCTTGTGATCATTGCTGGCGACATCTCGCCGGGCGACGTGATCTCGCACATCCCTGTCTTGTGCGAGGACAACGGGGTGCAGTACATATTTGTGCCAAGCAAGGAGGACCTTGGGGGTGCCGGCGGAACGAAGAGACCGACGAGTTGCATCATGGTTGTTCCTGGCGGCGGCAAGAAGGGCGACAAGTCGGGCAAGACGGAGGAGTACAAGGAGAGCTACGACGAGATCTCCAAGGAGATCAAGGCGCTATAGACCGGCCGGCACCACAGACATATATCTCAGTAGTATATAGGTATTACATAACTAATAATTACATACATTGCGACGTTGGGACGGGGGAGTGAATAATTTGGTTCTCGGAGCCGGCATCAGGCCGCTTGCTGCTTCAACTGCGCTCTCACCCAGCCTTCCAAGCCGCCTTCGATGATGATCTCCTGCAAGTTGGTGCCCAACTCGCCGACCTTGTTTGTGAGGACGACGTCGCCGGCCTCGTTGGAGACGGTGACGAGGGAGTTTGGAATGTCCCACTTCAGCGTCCAGCCCGTTCTGCGGGTCAGCTCCTTCTCGGAGCCGGCGTACTTGGCTCTCAACTTGTGGATGAGGTCCGGAAGCTCGAGCGTCAACAAGGCGTTGTTGATCGAGTTCCGGCCGAAGATGTTGCTGAATGAGCCGGCCGCAACGAGCTTGATGTCTCTGGCTAGGATGGCGGTGGCCGCCTGTTCTCTCGAGGATCCTGTGCCAAAGTTGAAGCCAGACACAATGATGTCGCCTGCGTGCGTCTTGCTGCCAAACTCCGAGTCGTAGTTCTCCATGCACACCTCAGCCATCTTCTCTCTAGGCACGTCGTCCTGGTACGTGTACTTACCCGGGTAGATCCCGTCAGTGTTGACGTTGTCCGCGTCACAGAAGATGACCTCTCCCTCGATCAGCTCGGGGAAGCCCTCCAACACGGACGACGAGGATGCAGACGCAGATGCAGCCTCTGCTGAAGCAGCGTCTGTGGTACTCTCGGGCTTCTTGTTCACCGTGACCACCTTCTTCACCTCTGTGGCAGGATGGCATGGCTCGCCGGCAACCTCTTCTGGGGCTGCAATCTTGCCCAAAACGGCGGAAGCGGCAACAACCTCAGGAGAGGCCAAGAACGCAAGAGCGTCCTTGGAGCCCATCCGGCCCTTGAAGTTTCTGTTCGTGGCAGAGATACCGATCTCCCCCTCCTTCAACAAACCGGCACCCAAGCCAATACAGGGGCCACACCCGGCCGGCAACGGGATGCATCCGGCTTCAATCAAGGTTTTCCATGCACCGTCTGCCTCGGCGTCCTGCTGAACCTCCGACGAGGCCGCAGCAATGTAGAACTCGACCCCAGGCGCAATTTTGTTGCCCTTGACCACGTCTGCAGCCGCCTTGATGTCGGACAAACGGGAGTTCGTGCACGAGACCAAGTACGCCTTGTTGATCTTCATGTTTTTGGAACTCAACTTGTCGATAGAGGTGCCGATCTTGACGGAATTAGGCCCGGCCACGTACGGACTCAAGGTCGAAAGGTCGATTCTCAAGGTCTTGGCATAGAAGGCATCCTCGTCGGCTGTGACCTTGTTTTGCTGCAAGTTCTCAACGGTCTTAACGTTGATTCTTGGGTGGTTAGGCCCCACCCTTAGCAGTCTGTTCGTGTACCAGTTGACAAGCGTCTCGTCGATGGGGAACACTCCGCTCAACGCACCCCATTCCGTTGTCATGTTGGCGATCGTCAACCGGTAGTCGACAGGAAGGTGTTTTACCGCCTCTCCGGTGAACTCTATCGCATGGTTCAACACCTCGTCGTTGTTGAACAATCCGCAAAGCGCCACAATAATGTCCTTACCCGTGGTCCCCTTTGGCAACTCTCCTTCCAAGACGACGTTCGCCACAGGTGGAATCTGCCACCAGGTCTGACCCGTCGCCCAGATGGCGGCCGCGTCTGTCCGCACGATGGCTGTTCCAAGCGCCCCGATACCACCGTAGGTGTTTGAGTGGGAGTCCGACGCAACAGTCATGTTCCCAGGGAAGGCGTACCCCTCCTCGATCATGATCTGATGCCCGATACCCCTTCCTGCTGGATAGAAGTCAATACCCTGCTCCTTTGCAAAGTTCTTGATGTTCTCGTACTTGGTGAGGTTCTTCTCCGTCTTGTTCTGCACGTCGTGATCCAACGTGTTCACAATTTGCCGGTTGTCCTTCACCTTCTTGGCGCCAAGCCCCTTAAACTTGAGTGCCACGGGCCACGAGTTGTCATGCGACATCACGTGTGCAGGCTGGATCGACACGTAGTCGCCTGTGTGGACCACCTTGTCCTTAGGCAAGCCCACAGCGTACTTTTGTACAATCTTTTCCACAAGGTTCTGGCCCTGGAGCGTGAACGAGGTCGTGGAAAACCTCCTTCCGCAAGCCTGCACTCTCATCCGGGTGCTACTGGCAAACATTCTCGCTCTTTGGTTCTCTTGTCGATGCCCTTTCTATCTGCACCCGAAACTACTCTCTCCAAGGACTCTCTAGAACATCTTCAACATCGGTGACGACGACGTTGATGACTGATTCCTATCTTCGGCCGGAGTCGCTGTGAAATTTCAGCACGCTAGCCGCGACCGCCTGTAACGGTCCGCCGTTGCCAGATGCGGTAATTGAGCTGACTAAGCGGCTTCCGGGACTGTTCATCTTCAGCACTTGTTCTTACTTATTGCTGCTATACAGGTCTACACGGGTGCATAAGGTGCCTAGAGTTCGGCGAGACGAGCGGCATCGTATCTGAGGATGGACTCGAGTAGGACGCGGAAGCCGAGCTCAAGATCCTCGGGCTCAGTGTGCTCCTCGGGGTTGTGAGAAATACCGTTTCTGCTTGGAACGAAGATCATGGCAGTTGGGACGACGAGGTTTGTAGCACATGAGTCGTGGCCAGCCCCACTGTACATTTTGTGCTTGAGGTCGTCGCCGACGACGGCAGCGGCGGACTGGTCGATCACGTCGACAAGAGTCTTGTCAAAGTGCGTCGCAGGGTATGGGTATGGATCGTCGATGGTGTAGGGCAGTCTGGTGCCGTTACCGGCCTTGTTGAGAGAGGCCTCTTCGATGACGGCAAGACAGTCTTTGCGGATGTGTGCGAGGCCCTCGTCGGTTTCGTGTCTGATGTCGAGGACAAAGTCGACCTCCCCGGGGACAACGTTGACTACGTCGGGGAGCAAGCTTAGCTTGGCGATGGACGCCAAGCCCTTGTGCTGCTTGGCGACCTCATTGATGCCTGTAATGATCTTCGCCGTGGCTAACAAGGCGTCTCTTCTGAACTCCATCGGGGTCGTCCCGGTGTGCTGCGACATGCCGGTGACCTTGATGTTCAACCAGTTGTACGCTTGCGCACCGGTCAACACGCCGATCTTCTTCTCGAGTTCCTCCAAAATGGGGCCCTGCTCGATGTGGATCTCGAAGTGGCACTTGAGTGGGTTTGCCTTATGGCAACACTTGGTCTCGCCCAGGTAGCCGATTCTCTTGAGCTCGTGTAGGACCGTCGTCTCGTTGTCGTAGACGTCCTTCAAGGCGTAGATCTCCTCCTTGGTCTTCACACCCGCCCAAACACTCGACGCCATCAAGCTCATGGCAAAACGGGCGCCCTCCTCGTTACACCAGTCGACAAGTGTGATGGGGAAGTTCGGGGTGATGTTGTTCTCCTTGAGGGTTCTCAACACCTGCAGCCCGGACAAGACACCGTAGATCCCGTCGTATCTTCCTCCGGTGGGCTGCGTGTCGAGATGGGAACCCATTCCTGTAGGAGCGTGATCGTCGTACTTGCCCGGGTATCTGGCAAAGATGTTGCCGCATTCATCGACCTTGATTGTGCACCCTAACTTCTCGGTTTCGGCAATGAACCAGTCTTTCACCTGCTTGTCGAGGTCACTCAACGCTAATCTGCATACACCGGTCTGCGTAGGTTCAGGACCCCACACGCCCTTGGCGCCGAACATGTCGGCAGTGGAGTGTATGGTATCTATCAACTCTCTTGAGTTGATTTTTAGATCTTGACTGTAGGATGTAATGGTCATGTTGTTTGTTGTTGTTCTCAATGTTGCTGAAAAACGTACGGAAAAATAAGTGGCTAATCTGTACCAACTGGGGAGGATCAGGTCGGTTTATATACCACAAAAGATTTATTATCTCTGTCGTCTTCTCCAGCCGGCTTCTTATCGGTTCGGCAAGAAGCCGTTTCTCTATTGATAGCGACCCTCGGCAAAGACCCCTGTTTCCCAATCGGGAAGGCATCTCGCCTGGAAATAAGGTTGATCCATACGTTTGCCGTGGCTTAAGCGATCCGTCCATCACTCTACAATCTATCTATAAATGTTGTCTAGTTAGCAGTCTCCCAAAACGGATTCCTCGATGAGCTCTTCTCGGGGAATCGAATTCATGTACGCATTTTTGTCCGCCGCATCATACACCGCCAATACCTCCTGCCAAAATCTGCTAACACTGAGGTCCTTTAAAACGTAAATCCCGTTCTGTTCATCTTTCTTTGCTCCGGTTATTGTTCCATATGATGCTGGCTCTATGCTCACTCCAAAGGTTCTTCTTTCGTACGTAAACTCCAACTCGTTTGTTACGCCTAAAAACTGCAAAAGCGCTACTAGCGCAACAGGATCGTGGATTACCGGCCCCTTGTAATCGGGGAGTTTCTTTGCTAGCATCCTCTTGTTGAAAGAATCGATGAGTTCGTACATCATTGCCCGAAAATTAGACGCTTGCTCCACGTCTTTCCCATCTAGAACTCCCTCCTGGATACTGCTCGAAATGAACACTTTGCTGGTTATATCTAGAGAGGCCTGGATCATTCTTCTGGATAAAATGTCGTCTTGCACAATTTCTTTAGCTGCAAAAGGGTCACAGAAATAATTGAACTCTGCATTCCCGTTGATGTTGAACACCTCAAATCCTCCTCCCATGACAGACAACCAGTTGATCTTACTCCTCAAATGTGGGTATTGCTTGAAAAATGTGGCTATATTTGTGAGCGGACCGGTTGCAACAATGTTAAGCCTACCTTCGTTCTCCTCAATCACCCGAGCTAGATGTGGGAAAAAATCCGACTTATTTCTAGGCTTCATTCTAGAGACAGGCAATAAGTTGGACCCATTGAGACCGGTCTTACCGTGGACGTCCGCTGCGAAAACCTCAGCGTAGTTATCCAGCGGTTTGGCTTCTCCTGGATAAACAGGAATTTCAGTTTTACCGATGGCTGTCAAGACCCTCAATGCATTGCATGTGGTGTTCTGCAGGGACACGTTTCCATGAACAGTCGATATTCCGAGGAGGTCAAAATGTACGCTATAGCATGCAATGATTATTGCAACTGTATCATCTTGGCCCGGATCACAATCCAGCCACACAGGAATTCTGCCAGTGTTAGTCATTTCGGATGGCAAAGTAATTGCTAGTCAGCCAGAGTAGCTGTAGGGCTAATGTAGAACAATCAAACAAAAAAATACCCCTTTTCTCGAAGACATATCCGGGATCAATCCTCAGAAGACACAAAACGGAGAAAAAAAGACTAAAAATTTAATGCGCAAGCCCGGAATCGAACCGGGGGCTCAACGATGGCAACGTTGAATTTTACCACTAAACCACTTGCGCTTTTGTTGAGTTTTTCAAACACAGCTCTATCCTGTCATTTTTTATTGAATTGCATAATGACAATTTTAGTAGATTTCAAACTTTGGAGCACTTTGTCAAGGCGATAAACTAATTTTTTATTGTTGTAATCTAGCTATTCTATTATGAATATCCATTGTATATGTTCACTTTTTCTTATGTTTGTTGCTTATTAATTTATAACTAATATAACTAGCCTACAAACTAATATTCTCAAACATAAATACAAGGGACAAACCTCTTGTATTTATACACTTACACCTTCGGTTAAACTTGCCATTATTCATTTATCATGGCGGCTAACTTTCCAGTTTTAGATTACTTAAGATGCCTTATCATGATAAGACTCTTATCTCTTATCACTCGATCATGATTGGCTTCGGCATCTTATCTCAACACCCCACCATAATCTAAACACTTGTAGATATGTTCGACATTCCAGCTAGACCAACAAACTTATTGAATTTAATCTTGGCTAAACTTTTAGTCAACATATCCGCAACCATATTTTCAGTGTTGATTGAAACTATTTCACAGTTTCCTTCTGAAATATGATGTCTAAC